CTGGTAGTGGTGTGCACCTATTCAGGCTGGGTAGAAGCATGTCCTACTCGTACAGAGAAAGCAGGAGAAGTCGTGAGATTCCTGCTACGAGAAATAATACCCGATATGGACTACCCTGCTCTATAGGATCGGACAATGGTCCAGCTTTTGTTCATCAGTGCCTACAACAATTGACTCATATGCTTGGTATAAAGTGGAGGCTTCATACGGCATATAGACCCCAGAGTTCTGGTAAGGTAGAGAGAATGAATAGAACTATTAAGAATCAGTTGGCTAAAATGTGTCAGGAAACCCAACTTAAGTGGAACGTTCTCTTGCCCATAGCTCTATTGCGAATCCGTAGTACACCTACCAGAAGGATGGGCCTCTCTCCTTTTGAAATCATGTACGGGCGACCACCTCCCGTGCTTGGTAACTTAAGGGGGGATTTGAGTCAGATGGGAGAAGGAATTACCCGGCAGCAGGTTGTAGAGTTGGGTAAGACTATGGAGGAGGTACAGAAATGGGTACAAGATAGATTACCTGTGAATATTTATCCCCCAATTCATAGTTACCACCCAGGCGACCAAGTGTGGATTAAAGAGTGGAATAATGTGCCGTTAGGGCCCAAGTGGAGAGGTCCTTATGTTGTTCTTCTGTCTACCCCTACAGCGATAAAAGTAGCCGAAGTGGCTCCGTGGATACATCACTCCAGGGTTAAACCAGCAGCAGCCGATTCCTGGCAAGTTACAGCAAATCCAGAGAATCCCTGCAAAATCCGGTTAAAACGCACGACTCAGTCGGAGTGACGAGGAACCTTGTGGATCACAAATTTTATTGTTTCAGAGACTTGGTAAGTGAGTGAGAAGGCCATAATAAAGCCTGTCCACTCACCAACGAGTGTATAAGTCAGGGAAAGTCTTGAGGGGACCCCTGTGAAGACGAGCAGAACTCCATTCCCTGCAGCCCTTACATCCTGGAAGCTGAGGTGCCTTCGCACGGACGAAGACTGAGGATGACGACGAAAGATGTATTTTTAATAATGTTTATTTATGTGTATTTTTATATTCAGGAAGGTAGAGGTACCGACACTCCTAGCTGTGAGGTATGCATTAAGACTACAAGAACAGGTAACCATATATCCCAGACCCTAATTTGGCATTCGCAATATGAGTGTAAAGGAGATGTATCAAGATGTAGATACTTAAATATAGAATATAGTGTGTGTCATTTAGGAGTAGGAGAACCTAAGTGCTTCAGTCCTGAGTATCAACCCCGTACAATTTGGTTGACTCTCAGAAATGGAGATCCTCAGGGGACCCTAATTAATAAGACGGTATTAAAATCCGTATATTCTTCAGGTGCTCTGCTATTTGATGCGTGTAAAGCAATATCAAGTGGTAGAAAGCCGTGGAATGTATGTGGGGATCTTAGATGGGAGAGGACGTATGGGTCTAACGATAAATATATTTGTCCCAGTAGTAAAAATAGATATGTAAGTCCAAGATGTCCAAATAGAGATTATAACTTCTGCCCATATTGGTCTTGTGTGGGGTGGGCGACTTGGGGACAGACAGTAGACAAGGACATGATTGTGACTAAGTTGCCTATTGATCCATATTGTAAGTCTATGGAATGCAATCCAATCCATATACTTATAAATAACCCTGACAAGTTCTTAGATAAATATGGTAATTTATTTGGGTTTCAAATATATGGGACGGGTTTAGACCCTGGGACAATATTGTTTATAGGGATAGAGACTGATACGGTAACCTCCCAAACTCATCAAGTATACCATTCCTTTTATGAAGAGATGAGCATAGATAATAAGATCCCCCATAATGCTAAAAACTTGTTCATTGATTTAGCCGAGAGTATTGCCGGTAGTCTTAATGTTACCAACTGCTATGTGTGTGGAGGTACTAACATGGGAGACCAATGGCCTTGGGAAGCAAAGGAGGTAATGTCCGGTTCTGAGGCAGTTGACCAATTAATATCTACACAAGCCGACTATCATATGAGTGTTAGAGGTAAATCTGAGTGGAGATTGAAGACCTCCATCATAGGTTATGTTTGCATAGCGAGGAAAGGAATGATGTATAATACTTCTGTAGGAGAATTAACTTGTCTAGGGCAAAAAGCTTATGATGATGATACAAAGAATACAACTTGGTGGTCGGCTTCAAATGTCTCAGAACCATCTAACCCGTTTGCAAGATATGCCAATTTAAAGGACGTATGGTTTGATCTATCCATCACATCTAACTGGAGAGCCCCAGCGAATTTGTACTGGATCTGTGGTAAGAAGGCCTATTCGGAGTTACCACAGGACTGGGAAGGGGCATGTGTGTTGGGTATGTTAAAACCATCCTTCTTCTTGTTGCCTATTGAAACAGGTGAGACTTTAGGTGTTAAAGTGTATGATGTGAATCATAGGAAGAAAAGGGGACCCATAGAGATAGGTGCCTGGGAAGATAATGAATGGCCTCCCCAGCGTATTATAGATTATTATGGGCCAGCCACGTGGGCAGAGGATGGTACCTTTGGTTATAGAACCCCTATTTATATGCTCAACCGCATTATAAGGTTACAGGCGGTGGTTGAGATCATTACTAACGAGACATCACAAGCGCTCAATCTTCTAGCGAAGCATAATACCAGGATGAGGACAGCAGTTTACCAAAATAGATTAGCCTTGGATTATCTTTTGGCAGTAGAGGGAGGTGTATGTGGGAAGTTTAACCTGAGCAATTGCTGTCTTCAAATAGATGACGAAGGGCAAGCAATAGCTGAGCTTACTAGCCATATGGTTAAACTAGCGCATGTGCCTACTCAGGTATGGAAAGGGTACAATCCAAGTAGTTGGTTTGGTAGCTGGTATGAGTGGTTTGGAGGGCTTAAGGCAGTGGTAGGTGGAGTCCTACTGATTTTAATGTTGTGTCTACTCCTGCCGTGTCTTATACCCTTAGTAGTTAGGTCTGTGCAAAGCCTGATAGAAAATATAGCAGAGAGGAAGGCTGCTGCACAGATAATGGCAATTTATAAATATAAGGCTCTAGATCAGGGAGAACTAATGCAGGAAGATGAGTGTTGAAGATTCACATCATAGGATAAGTCTGGTCTGGTTCAAAGGTAACTTGTGGTGTATGCAAACCAAGGTTAAGTGATGCCTCAAGTAATTGTAAAATATCAAGAGGCATCAAAGGGGGGAATGTGGTGGAATCTCGGTAAAAATAAATTTAGTAGGCCGAGATTACCACGTGGCATGTGTACGTGCATATGCTGACGTATCGATCAGTTGGTTGCACGAGGCAAGATACGATCAGTAGTGTACGGAGCATGTGCAAGAATACAGGATGTAGTATTCCCCTCCTCCATTGTGCTGGACAAGCCATGTGGTCAAGCAGGAAGTTAATTCTTATTTGTAATGATTGGTCAAGAGAATGTGCGGGTGGAGCTTAATATGGGAGGAGTTATGTGCCTATATAGGAAGCCTGCACTATTGTTCAGGGCTCAGAACTTGCTGTATTTTTGGTGACATTAGTCCCGATCGGTGATCCAATAAAGAATCTCTTCCTTCCTGAAGAAACCTGTGTCCATCCCTCTGTGCTTTGCTTCCGTCAGTTTCTCCGGTATCAGATCTGGTAACCCAATGTCAGAATGATGTAAACACAGGTACAAATAATAAATGCAAATGATGACTAACTAGGATTTACACTAGTAATGTAAGGATTCCATAGCCAATCCCTGGCATACAGGACATGACACACACACAGACAGAAAATACTCTGATGGCTGGCAGAGCATCATGGGAAATGTGGCTCAGAAACATGGGGGGCGCCATGTTTACCCAGCAGCACTGCTATGCCACTGGCACAGAGCCCCTGCACCAGCAGGGTTTGCAAGAGTTAAGGGGTGAAAACACAAGGCAGTCACGCACCGGGTGCTTAGCAGCCACTGCATCATCCACTCGTGACAGGCCCACGGTCACCATCCTTCAGGTGGATTTCTCAATGTCAAATTCTCCTTGTCTCTCTGTGGAACGCAAAACAAAGTCACAACTTCCTACTTCCGGGGTCGTGACACGCAAACAATCATAGCTTCCTGCTTCCGGCTCAATGAACAGTTTCCACTTCTAACTAGACCGTAGTGCTCTGCCGCAGCGCTACCAACAGGCGAGGAGTGCTCACTACAGTTTCAATGGAAATCAGCCATTATAATATGTTGGCATTTAATAATGTTCATTAATGACAGACCCCACTACATGCCTTTAACCCCCTGAGTGCCACATGTTTGTTCAGTGTACTGAACAGCAACATGTTTTATATTTCATTGGCCACATTGAAGATTTAAAAGTGATTATAATAAATCTATTACATGAGAAATTCAGAAACTGAATTGCAAAATTCAACCAAAAATAGCCAAGCTGTGAGTGAATAGGAGACGTTTCCCGAATTGGTTATTTTGCCCTGAATTATGTATTTGTCTTTCCAGTTCACTATAATCCTGTGTTTCGTGAACAAAGCAGTTTTTTAAATCAAGTTAAATTATTTCTTCTCCTCTTCAGATATCCTCCTTGTTCGAGCAAAACCATTCTCACTTTACCCTATATCCTAATTTATCCTCCGCCCTTAGCATGGGCGCGGGATAATACCTATAATGGGCTGTTAAAGGGTTAATAAAAGGTAACATTTCAGAGTCAGAGTATTCACTGTTTTCCCCCGCATGTCGATTAGATATATTTTATGTGAAATGGTTTGATTTTATCACATAATAATAATTTAAAAAAAAAACACAGCTGAATTTATCTAATTTCTCCATCAAACTACGATGAGTAATGATAATTGTGGTTATGATAACATTCCCATCCAATCGAACACAGGCAAGTTTAATTTGAAGGAATGTATGTTAATTCTCTGCTGAGAAATCAGCGATTCTGAGTCGTCATTTCCGGGAACAGAAACCAAAAGTACGCTTCGTGTTAGGAATTCCGAGGCATAATGGCTAGCCGTTTCCCACGGAAACACAAAATGGATATAACATATAGACTTCTTCACACGATTATCGCCCTAAGGAGGTAAGATATATCTCAACGTTATCTCGTGCTGATTCAGAAATTTGTGATGACTTTGCCTTTTTTTAAAGGGCTGGTCAGATATGGACGTATATATGCATGGAATGTTCTGTATGTGGGCGTTATTGTATATTACAGCTCATTGTTGTGGTTATGGTTACGTGTTTTTATTTTTTTGTCACACCATTGTGGAGTCATTTGACAAAAAATTTGATTTTTCTGCATTATGTAGAGCAAAACCGTCTAACCTGTATGGCCATTTTAGGCTGAGGACTCTGGGTGTGGTTTAGTCGGATTGTCGAGGTGTATAGACAGGTTCACAAAGTAAATTTTTTTAATGATATTTGTTTATATATTTTAACTGTCCTCAAGAAAGATCTAACTGAAAGATCTAGAACTGAAACGTCGACCTTTAATTTATTGATTAAGAAGGAATTTGTTGTAAAAGACCAATACTGCTAGATTTATCCAAAGCTATTTACAAGTATTTGTCCAAGCATCGGTCAAGTAAGGATAATGGGAGTTGAAGTGCAGGTCAGATCTTGGAAAATAAATATATATTTATTATTATTTTTTTATATAATCTTTTTTAAACTTTGCTTTTTTTATCTGGCTGAGCAGCCATGTTTGGTTTTCTGACGAACTGTGATTGCAATGAACCTTTAAAAAAATGTGGTATGTGTCTGGAGTGGTCCAGTACGCTGTAGTACTAATGGTTCCAGTAGTACCCTGGCTCCCCCACAGTATAGTTACCAGCTCCAGAGAAATTGGCAGCAGACACCCGGCAGACCTCAGGTAAATTGTCGAACCAGTCTTAAACAGTTTATTTATTAGGAGAAAGGGGCGTGACAGTTAACTCCAGCCACCATAACCACTACAGCAATCTGTAGTGCTTGCTGTCTTATTTTAATCCTGGCAGTGACTTATTTAACCCCTTACGAACACTAAAGCACTTAGTGTCTCTCTGCTTTTTTAAATACAGAGTTCCCCTCTTTGCCATTAAAATATATAAAATAATTATTTTACTTACCTCTTACCCAGCTCCCTCCATGCTGCATATACCTGTCTGCCTCCCGTGATGTCATGTAAGAGGTATGGCCTCTTCAGCGATTGCCCTATCTAATACTCATCGTAGAGGAGCATTGGAGATCTGATGCGCATGAGTGGTGAGCACTGACTGCGCATGTATCCAAGCTTCCCTATAGAATACCAATGCTTTACTAGAGGGGCTTCCGTGGCGCATGTCGAAGTTATACTCTATTATTTCTTATTCATTTAGCATAGCTCACAGTTTAAGGAATAATTCTTTAAACAGTTGTAGAATATTACTATGTTCCTATTTATATTCATAGTAGGCATGGATGTCTAATGGGTTAAAAAGAACAGATGGTACTTTGCTATGTTGTACCGGGAGAACTCTGGAATGTGGTAATTGAGGGTCGTGTCCTTATATGGCTAGAGTTATACTCTGACGTCATTATGGTCATATCCATATAGGATAATGTACGAAGGACCACGAGGTTGTTCTTCTTGTCCGGCTGTCCTCTAACTATGTAGAGACTAACTCGCCCTTCAGGAGTCCAGCAACAATTTTATTACAACAGTGAATTGCAAACTTCAGACTGAAATACCCAAGCTGTGATTATAGCCGAGTTAAAAACTAAATCAGCACTTTTTCTCTTTAAATATAAAAAAAATTGGCTTCTAATTCTCTACAAAGTTCTATTCAATGAATAAACCACTTTAGTGTATAACCCTCTTTGTGTGAGACGGGGTTAAAAGTAAATAGCTGCAGTACTAGATTCTGTAAACAAAAACGTTAAATAGAAGTGCAAACAGTGATATGTTTTCTCTGTAGCGCATGTGCATGAGCTGGACTGCTTTGCTTCTGGTGACGCGGAATCAGCTGTTTCTCCGCAGTTCCATCTGCAGCGCATACACGCAAGCACTCCTTCTGACAGGCCAAGGAAAATAATAGAACAGGGCTGCCAGCATAGTCAGCACCAAAAATGACACACCCAGAGATTCAGGAACCATGTTTCCAGAGCCTATACTTGGGAATTGTGCCTGGACATCTGGGGGGGGGGGGCAATCCTACCAGGGATACTGTGTCTGAGGTTCTGGGGGACACTCCAACCGGGGGTACTGTGTCTGGGCATGTGGGGGCAATCCTACCAGGGATACTGTGCCTGGACATCTGGGGGGGGGCAATCCTACCAGGGATACTGTGCCTGAGTATCTGGGGGACACTCCAACCAGGGGTTCTGTGTCTGGGGATGTGAGGGCAATCCTAACAGGGGTACTGCACCTGGGCATGTTGGGGGTACTCCAATCAGGGGTACTGTGCCTAGGCATATGGGGGCAATCCCATCAGCGGTACTGTTCCTGAGGATCTGGGGGACACTCCAGCCAGGGGTACTGTGCCTGGGCATGTGGGGGCAATCCTACCAGGGGTCCTGTGTCTGGGCATGTAGGGGGCACTCTCTTTGGGGGTACTGTGCCTGGGCATGTGAGGGGCACTCTATCCGGGGGTACTGTGCCTGTGCATGTGGGGTAGTGCCTGGGCATGTGGGAAGCACTCCAACTGGGGGTACTGTTCCTGAGAATCTGGGGGACACTCCAACTGGGGGTACTGTGCCTGGGCATGTGGGGAGCAATCCAACCAGGGGTACCTGTGCCTAGGCATGTGAAGACAATCCCACCGACGGTACTGTTCTTGAGGATCTGGGGGACACTCCTACCTAACTAATATACATATTTATTTAAAAATGTTTGTGTGTATTTATAAATAATTATGTGGATTTTAATAATTAAATATTGAGGGACTTACCTGACAACCCAGACAGAAAGTCCAGAGAAATTAATGTGAACGCTTTATGCTTGACCCTGTAACTTTCCAAAACCCCACAAAACGTGTACATGGGGGTACTGTTATACTCGGGAGACATTGCTGAATATAATATATATTTTATTGAAGTTAAAATCAGTTAAAATGCCATGCATGAGTAAGTAACAACATTTCTTAATTTCTCACATTTTAATAGAAAGATAATTAATATAATAATAATATAATGATAATATAATAATAAAATAACAATAATAATATAATGATAATATAATAACAATATGATACTAATATAAAGATAATTAATATAATAATAATAACATAACAATATTAATATAATGATAATATAATAACAATATGACTATACTAATATAAAGATAATTAATATAATAATAATAATATAATAACAATATGATACTAATATAAAGATAATGAATATAATAATAATAATAATATAATGATAATATAATAATAATAAAATAACAATATTAATATAATAATATAATAACAATATGATAATACTAATATAAAGATAATGAATATAATAATAATAATATAATAATATAATGATAATATAATAATAATAAAATAATAATAATATAATGATAATATAATAACAATATAATGATTCTAATATAAAGATAATAATAATAATATAATGATAATATAATAAAAATATGACTATACTACTATAAAGATAATTAATATAATAATAATAATATAATGATATTAATTAGCCAATTAAAGGAGGGGTTTAATGATTGCCAGCTGTGTCTCCCCACTCGGCAATTCCCGGAACTCCTGCCCCATTTGCCGATGGTTTCCGGAGATTGCCGATGGTTTCCGGTGATTGCCGATGGTTTCCGGAGATTGCCGATGGTTTCCGGTGATTTCCGTCCGCTCCCCGATCGCTCCGCCCAGCAGACTCCGTGTCCAGGGTTTGTGTAACGCGGCTCGGTAAGTGTCTCTGGGCCGACCCGGGCTCGGGCTGCCATGGGGAGGAGAGAGGGGCGGCCAGACCGGACTGGAAATACATAGACTGACCGGGGGGGCCGGATTGGGGGTGATGGGGGTCCTGATAGGGGGCTGGGGGTGATGGGAGTCCTGATTGGAGGCTGGGGTGATGGGAGTCCTGATTGGGGCTGGGGGTGATGGGGAGTCCTGATTGGAGGCTGGGGTGATGGGGGTCCTGATTGGGGCTGGGAGTCCTGATTGGAGGCTGGGGTGATGGGAGTCCTGATTGGGGCTGGGGGTGATGGGGGTCCTGATTGGAGGCTGGGGTGATGGGGGTCCTGATTGGGCTGGGAGTGATGGGGGTCCTGGATTGGGGCTGGGGAGTCCTGATTGGAGGCTGGGGTGATGGGAGTCCGATTGGAGGCTGGGGTGATGGGAGTCCTGATTGGGGCTGGGGGAGTCCTGATTGGAGCTGGGGTGATGGGGGTCCTGATTGGAGGCTGGGGGTGATGGGGGTTGATTGGAGGCTGGGGTGATGGGGTCCTGATTGGAGGCTGGGGGTGATGGGAGTCCTGATTGGAGGCTGGGGGTGATGGGAGTCCTGATTGGAGGCTGGGGGTGATGGGAGTCCTGATTGGGGGCTGGGGGTGATGGGGGTCCTCCACGGGATTTCCTTTATTTAGCAACTCATTTCACCATAAGGAGCGGTGAGTTTGTAAAAAATTATCTTTTAACTGTTGAGTTATGCGGGTCATATTTTGTGTTATGTTTGTTTATTTTCTTTAGAATAGTTTGATCTAATAATCATCTGAGGAAAGGGATTTAGGGGTGATTATTTCTGATGACTTAAAGGGTTACTATAGTCACCTGAACAACTTTAGCTTAATGAAGCAGTTTTGGTGTATAGAACATGCCCCTGCAGCCTCACTGCTCAATCCTCTGCCATTTAGGAGTTAAATCCCTTTGTTTATGAACCCTAGTCACACCTCCCTGCATGTGACTTGCACAGCCTTCCATAAACACTTCCTGTAAAGAGAGCCCTATTTAGGCTTTCTTTATTGCAAGTTCTGTTTAATTAAGATGTTCTTATCCCTGCTATGTTCATAGCTTGCTAGACCCTGCAACAGCCTCCTGTATGTGATTACAGTTCAATTTAGAGATTGAGATACAATTAAGGTAAATTACATCTGTTTGAAAGTGAAACCAGTTTTTTTTTTTTTCATGCGGGCTCTGTCAGTCATAGCCAGGGGAGGTGTGGCTAGGGCTGCATAAACAGAAACAAAGTGATTTAACTCCTAAATGACAGTGAATTGAGCAGTGAAATTGCAGGGGAATGATCTATACACTAAAACTGCTTTATTTAGCTAAAGTAATTTAGGTGACTAAAGTGTTCCTTTAAAGGTAGGCAGACAATGTAATAGAGTAGCAGGAAATGCTAGCAGAATGCTTGGTTGTATAGGGAGAGGTATTAGCAGTAGAAAGAGGGAAGTGCTCATGCCATTGTACAGAACACTGGTGAGACCTCACTTGGAGTGTTGTACACAGTACTGGAAACCGTATCTTCAGAAGGATATTGATACCTTAGAGAGAGTTCAGAGAAGGGCTATTAAACTGGTTCATGGATTGCGGGATAAAACTTACCAGGAAAGGTTAAAGGGACACTATAGTCACCCAGACCACTTCAGCTTAATGAAGTGGTCTGGGTGCAATGTCCCTCAGGTTTTAACCCTTCAGAGGCAAACATAGCAGTTTCAGAGAAACTGCTATGTTTACATTTGGGGTTAAGCCAGCCTCTAGTGGCTGTCTTCCGGACAGCCACCAAAGGCGCATCTGTGACGCTGGAGGCATATTATGGCTCTATCGCGCAGAGCATCCATAGGAAAGCATTGAGAAATGCTTTCCTGTAGACACTTTGCGCACGTGGCACTTGCCGCGCATGCGCATTCAGCTCAGCTGACGTCGGACGGGGAGGAGAGGTCACCAGCGCCGAGGGAGCCCTGCGCTGGAATAAGGTAAGCTGCTAAAGGGGTTTTAACCTTCTGTGCCACAGGAGGGGGACCCTGAGGGCGGGAGCACCCTCAGGGCACTATAGTGTCAGGAAAACCGCTTTGTTTTCCTGACACTATAGTGATCCTTTAAAGGATCTTAACATGTATGATAGAAACAACACAGTAAAGGAGGAGACTATATTTAAAAGAAGAAAAACTACCACAACAAGAGGACATAATTTTAAATTAGAGGGGCAAAGATTTAAAAATATCAGGAAGTGTTACTTTACTGAGAGGGTAGTGGATGCATGGAATAGCCTTCCAGCTGAAGTGGTAGAGGTTAACACAGTAAAGGAGTTTAAGCATGCGTGGGATTGGCATAAGGCTATCCTAACTATAAGATAAGGCCAGGGACTAATGAAAGTATTTAGAAAATTGGGCAGACTAGATGGGCCGAATGGTTCTTATCTGCCATCACATTCTATGTTTCTCCTTATTGGAAGCTGGGGGTGATGGGGGGGGGGGAGTCCTAATTGGAGGCTGGGGGTGATGGGGGGAGTACTCCTTATTGGAGGCTGGCTGTGCTGGGTGTGGTATATGCTCAGTATTAGGTGTCTTACATGAGTTCTCATAATGCCTGTCCTGCTGAGGGTTTTTTGAGTCCAGTAAACCCCTGCCTGCCCCTCTAATGGTTTTATTTGAGGTAATTGGAGAGTGAATTCAATAAAAATCTTCCCAAATGCAGAATTAGAGTGAAATTAAAATCTGAGGAACCTGGATACTGTGTGTAATGAAGATCCCATGTTATTCAAGATGTTGTGTGAATTTAGGAACTACTTTATCTTATTATTATTATTGCCATTTATTTCCGTAGCGCTTTACAATAATATGAGAGGGGGGATTTAACTATAAATAGGACTATTACAAGAAAATTAACAGGAACGATAGGTTGAAGAGGATCCTGCTCAAACGAGCTTACAGTCTATATCTTACCTGGCAATTGAGATAAAAAATAAATAAATAAAAAAAAAAACACTGCTAGTGGCCACTAGTGTGGTGGGAGTGACTAAGCTCCATTTCCACTTATGTGAATTTGCAAAATGGGTTATCTGTTAGTTTGAGAACTAACTACCACGACTACTAGAATCAGAAAGAGGAAGCCATAAGGTAACGTAATCCTTACAGTCACAAGATAAACCTTGAGAACAGGACTTATGGGGGTTAAAATTGGCTCACTATTTTCGGAGAGCAATGCCTCCTTATTCACACTGAACTGTGAATTCAGAGGGAATTTCAAATCACTCTAGACGTGGCTCATTAACTAAAGTGAGAATATAATGTGAATTTCAAATTTAGGTCCTAAGTAGCCGAAATAAAAGCTGATTTAGAGAATATGTCCAGTTTGGCTACCTTGTCCTTAAGTTTGAAATTCACTATGAAGTCTCCATTTAGTAGATAACCCTGTATGGGTGATGGTGACCCCTTCATGGGGGCTGCATGTACAACATTGCATTTAGGATATAATTCACCAAACTTGTATTTCAGATTAGCCTTAACTTGCCAACGTCAGCTGAATTTTTATTTTTATTTTTTTTGTGCCTAAATTCTGCTGACTTTAGTTTAACATAATGTATTGTTTTGTAAATAAACCCAACATGTCAATTTATTACATATCTTTTTTTTACATTTTTTATAATTATTGCATGTCATTTTATCACACTATCTTTTTTATTTATTTATTTATAATTATTGCTTTATTAAAAAGAAGCAAAGGTTGATAATAAAAGTTTGTTTGAACAGTTTTGTGGTTATAAGCTTGTTAGAAATTTAAAGATTAAACTCTGTTAACTCTTTAGTGATTATATTCTATTTTGTTTCAATTCTAGCATATTAAACCACATAAAAGTGGATACTAACTCTGAAACTAAACTAATGGGGATTATTTCTTGAACTCTGATTGGGAGGGACATTTATAGTAAGATAGCCAAGTTCTCACTATAGGGTTGTTAGAGAATTTATCCAAAATCAGTACTTTTTTTTGCCTAAATTTTACTTTGGTTTTTAATTCATTACCCTTTCTTTTAATAAATAATTTATGGTGTAATAAATTAGCCTGACAACTTTCACAACTAGGGTTACAGATTGCTAAACCGTTAATGTCATTCATTGATCTATTGCCCAATTTAAACAATTCCAAGCGCATACCATGAATGTGATTCACACATTGCTCAGAGCCCGTATTTGCAATATGCATAGTTTTGTCTAATTTGTTTTTATCTAGAATTTTTTTTATTTTTTTTAAACATTGTGTCTTTGCAAAAACATTTTATTTTTCTTTGTATATAATTGCACACAGGCTCATAGCAGTTCATAATACTGCTTTCATGTCCTTTATACACTATGATCAGGGGCCCAGAGTTTATACATCACAAAGTTTGAACCATTCATCAATAGGAATGTTGGCTCAGTGACCAGTTCTGCAGCTAGAATTTACTGAACATTAACCTACACCGTAACCCCTTAAGGGCCAAACTTCTGGAATAAAAGGGAATCATGACATGTCACACGTCATGTGTCCTTAAGGGGTTAATTAACCTACACCTTAATTCAAATCTTGCCAGTATCTCGAGGGATTTGCAGTGGAGAAAGCACTGTAGCTTTTATGAATACTGTGTTGTGGCCAGTTTAAAACTTGATTTAATAGAGTAAAACCTCACTTTATGGTACTTTGCGAATACAGTGCTTTTCAATTTGTAGTAAGATGCTCGTTTAAGGCTAGCAATACATACAGTGGTAACAACATTGTCATTATTTTTACTTTTACATAACATAACTTACATAATCTTACGTTTCCTTGAGCTGCATTGGGAAGTCTGTGATTGGACAGCTACGAAATCTGGTTGGGTTTAGAAGGGGAGGACTTGTAAAGGCTGCAGACAAGAGATCGGCAGCATTTGCAAACTGTCTTTAGATAGAAATAGCCCCAATGGGAAAAAAATGCATAAACATGTTTTATTGGAGAGGTGTGTGTGTGTATATATACTAAACAGTGATTTTAAAAATCTATATATTGTATTTGGGCAGTGGTGTGTGACAGGGCAGCTATAATTAAATGGAGATTCCTTTTTGAGCCATCCGAAGAAAAACACTGATTTAAGGCCAAACTAGTGTATTGGGGGGACATAAGTGTAACAAAGCCTAATCATTTCTCTTTCCCAGGCGTGGCTATTTATTTTTCAAGTTAATTCTCAGAATGCCAATCACAGTTTATTGGATAAACCCCAGTGATTGTACTAACACATTTAAAACCATTCAGCTTCTTTCACAGTATGTTTTATATCTGTCTGGCCTGCGCTTTTTGAATACATGTCTTTCTAAGCTTTGTAATGAGCCCTAGAGGGCTTGTTATATGTTTATTGGGAGGATTGGAGGAACTGTGTAGGGACCCCCAATTTCAGTGCAATATGAGGATTGGGTTACATGTAGTTGTGCTATATGTTTGTATGTATATCGTATCACTGTAAACAATGTTACCATTTGAATTTACGTCAGAAAGCTGATAACTGGGCTACAACTCATATTAAAGGGACACTATAGTCACCTGAACAACTTTAGCTTAATGAAGCAGTTTTGGTGTATAGAACATGCCCCTGCAGCCTCACTGCTCAATCCTCTGCCATTTAGGAGTTAAATCCCTTTGTTTATGAACCCTAGTCACACCTCCCAGCATGTGACTTGCACAGCCTTCCATAAACACTTCCTGTAAAGAGAGCCCTATTTAGGCTTTCTTTATTGCAAGTTCTGTTTAATTAAGATTTTCTTATCCTCTGCTATGGGGTCCACCCCTGAATTCGCCCACAAAGATGCAGTGTGTTTGTGTAGTGGATGCAGTGTGTGTGCGTTTGTGTAGTGGATGCAGTGTGTGTGTGTGCGCGTTTGTGTAGTGTGTGTGTGCGCGTTTGTGTAGTGTGTGTGTGTGTGTGTGTGAAAGTGGTCAAAATGTAGATCCCCAACTGTGGTACAAGTCCCAGAATGCTTTGCTGGCCCGGGATCTACAATTTTCCCATCCTTGCAGGGTTGTATTAAGCAGTGAGCAGTGTATGTGTGTTTGAATGTAAGCATGTTTTTTTTTTATGGAGTATGTTTGTATGTGAATGTGGTGTTTGAATGCAGGTGTGCATTTGTGTGTAGTGTATACATTGCCACAGACACACACGCACAGACAAAGTTACACACATTGATACATAGTTACACACACAATACAGGTGTTAGCTGGGAGGAAGTGACCAGATCTCATTTCCTTCCAGTACTGCCAGGAACATTAAAGGAGCCTGGCCTCGCTATTAGAGATTCACAGTGCTGACCGGGCCCCTTAAGGCCACCCGATTAGCATATGTCATAAGTGCATGGTCACCCCGGTGCAGCAACACCAGCGGTAGTTCTGCAGCTGCCAGGGCACATATAGCCTTAAGTGCTATATATGTATGTATGTGCACATTGGGACAGCCTGGCTCGTGACAGCAGTCATGGTTGTCACCCCCTGATGGTGGACCCTGAAAGCTTCTGCCATCTTCTTCTTGCAGACCATCGACGGTCCCTGGTGCTTCATTTGACAGGAGCTGCGTTAGTGCTGTACCCCCACTCATATCGCAGAAGCTTTCGTAGATCACATCTATGTGATAAGCGAGACATTGCCTGAATCCCACAGCCATCTCTTGTGATGACTGCTGCGATTGGACAATTTTTGATGAAGCTCCACCTTTGGTCCACTTTTGTCAAACTCCAGTTAAGTTTACACAGTGTAACCAAACCTTGTTTCATAACATCTTTGTATTGTGTAGCAGTTAATACAGGTGAATTGCTGTATTATATTCTGTGTGTATCCCCATTATTTTCCTATAAATGTGCCTGCTCCCTGTTTGGGAGGTCTTACACGAAGGGAATGCATTCACCTCCTAAACGGGGTCCACCCTAATAACTCGTTTAGAATGTTCGCACTTCGTAATGAGGTCTCAAAACCAAAAACCGCAAGCGAAGCCCTCGGCGCGTGCCTCTCCTGGGTGGCAGCCCATTTGTTAGACGAACGCCATTCAGGGGGAGCATTCGTGTATTGCTTCCCACCTCATTCGGTTCCCGGACGAGGACCTACCCAGTGCCCCTTGGAATATCAGTTTAGAACGTTGGCAACTTGCAACTTAAGTGTGACACCGCAAGGAAAGTAATTGAGTGCGTTCCTGGGTGGCCGCCGTTCGTATAGACGAGCTGCGGCCAGGGGGAGCATTCGTGTCCCGGAAGGAGACTCTTCCCTTGCCTGGTTTCACCCAGGGACCCCACAAACGGAGGTTTTCTGTAGCTGGGAGTCAAAGATGCGAGAAACTTTACTGTGCTGGGGCTCCCAGGTACAGAGGCTCATGGGATAAAGACCCACCTGTCCCCGGAGGTGGGAAACTGAGGATGGGTGGCGGGACAAAGGGACTGGGATTCTGGATCCGTGATACGACCCCTGAGAGGGGGAGGACCCTGGGAGGGGACATTGTCTTTATGTGTGATCCACCCCAGGCATGGGGAAAAGTATAAAGCAGAATGTGGCCAATACAGTTGTTGTCATATCCCCAGCACTGTGTGTCGTCCGGTTACTGGGGGGAAATGGGTCTCTCTGCATTATAACGTATTCCCTTCCAGGGACAAGACGTAGCTGATCACGGGCAACCGGTCGGGTTGGTAGGATGCCCACTACAGCAGTCAAACAGAGTATTTCATAAAGAAGATATGGGGGATTGGGATGGTTTTTAGCAGATAAAGCATTTCTCTTTTAAAGTGGCATTTTCATCAGAAAAACTATTGATAAAATGTAATATTCTAAAACTGACTGCATTGTGCCTGATTTACTTACATCTATTCAACAGTGTTTTAATTTGAATTAAAGATTTGTCACTAACCTTGTGACACCTATGACATAGAATCCATAATGATAAATAATGTTTATTTTAGTAGAAATGAATGTGGAAAGCAACAAGGGAATGTGACCTACAATATATAGATATATAATGTGCTAAAGGCCAGTGACCTTAAAATCTGACCATACAGCACTACATACAAAGTGCTGATCGAGCTGGGAACTTTCTTAAAAGTAGACTCCAAACCCCTAAAGCATTTAAGCAGTTTTGATGTATCTGTTGTGGTTTAATTTTGATTAAAGTCCATTTTAAAGGCTAACGGTCTCCTTAGCACTATTTTTTTTAATATAATGATCCTTCCATCACATTTTGTAAGGAAAAAGATTGTGTTAAATGAAGTATATGTGTAAAATTTCTTTAGAAAACTCATTCCTACCTTTTAGTAAATGACCAGATCTTTCAGCTATATACGTACACCTTGGGTCAGACATTGTTTGAAAACCAACAATTAGTCTCTATGGTCTCCCCTGCCCAGCGCAGTCACATCATCCGACCCAATAACTGTATATGTAAATGTATAAGCACCAAAGCAACTTTAATGCATTTGATAGATTTTGGTCTCATTAATATGTATTTTTTGCATGCTCAATCCTTTGTAGTTTTTGGGCCAAAAAAAGTTTTGCAGAATAATAAATAAACCTGCTTCCTTAACCAGACCCCATAATATCATATTGAGTTCTTGTACAAAGGTATGTACACAATTTCAGCCCTAACACCACTGAGTGAGCCGCTTTTAATTCACAACCTGGTTGCAGACCGTACGAGAAACAAAAACAGGCAGTTAAATCCTTACTATATGTCTTCCTGGGTGTCCTCTCCTTCTAATGTTGCTTGTTCAGATCATTCAGTTCTGTAAGGGCTGAGCTGTGTACGTACATTGATAAGGAAGTATCTAATAAAGTGGGGGACTTGTTAAACCCAACTCTGCAAAGGGTTAAGTATGGGGGGTGATTGATTAGTAAGTTTTAAAGGTCTCCGTGCAAAGCCTCAGTTCTGCTTCGAGCAGAGTTTGGTTTTATGAAAGTTGTAAACCATAGTACAACTTCCTGAAACATTTGTTCTGCTTATTTAATAGAAGGCGATTTGGAATGTAGGACACAGGGTTAATATGAAGAATGCTGCAAAACAGATTAAACAAGATCTATAAAATGTATAAACGCGAGTGCTGACATGTTCCATTTAGTCAATTTCCTTACTTTGCATGTTTGCGTTCTAGGTTGTGGCTTTTTGCACATCAAGATATATATCCACAATCAGATAAATGATATATCATACATTTAATTTAACTGCTTAGTGCACAAACATGTGTATTGTGTAACCTTGGAAACCTCGACTTAACTGGAAAAGCATTTATTTTCTATAATTTAAAATATTCCAAAGTACATCTGTCATATTTTAAATATAAATTAAACAAAAAATACATGTACAGTCAAAGGAAATCTAGCTACCACTTCCTGCTTAAGCAAAGCTCTCGTCACAACTGAGGTGTGTGTGTGTGTGTGTGTATATATATATATATATATAGTCTGCCTGACTGCTCTCACACATCACAAGCATATTACAACTCAAGGCCTACGCGTTTCACATTGTATTCCCAATGCACGCAGTTCCTGTTAGCTCTCTTGCGTGGCCAGATCATTGGCTGAGATTGCCAGCTGATCACTCTCAGCCGCTAAGCCCTGCACCTGCCTTCCCTTTTTTCTTTTTATAATTCTCACCGCACTTATTGTTCCCTATTGATGGATAGTTCATAAGCCCCTGGAAATTCGGTATCCTGTATCGTTCAGTCACTTGATATTTTTGCTGGAGGTCAGATTTCTAGGTACTTTATGTGTAGATTAACAATCCAATAAAAACAGAATGTTGGCTGACAATGAATTCTACAGTATTTGTGATTTACAGATAGTTTGCGTGATTCGATTCCCACCCACCGGTGTGCGCCAAATGAACTGTCAGAGCCTGCGGGGCTTGATTACCCACAATAAAATGTATTGTGTGTCACTGTATACACAACATTCTTTGTGTATCTATTTGAAGTCTAAACATGCTGATATATACACACCCAAACGTGGGAACTAACTTTGAGAAAAATCAAACGGTTTAATAATAATACTCGAAGGCCTATTCTCTGAGTAGTTTTAGCACACTTCTTAATGTAGAGAAGAGATGTTACGGGACGTCACCTTTTCATGGTGACGATATTTTTACTTTGTGTGTGGGTGACTTCTCGTTAACTCACTCAGAATTGCCGTTGTATGTTGGTATAAATGATTCAGCCTTCACACCAAGTACTGCTGTTTGGAATACTATGTATAATTTGTATCTCATTTACCTGCACTGCGGGAAATGCAAATAGTTGTCAACGTGCGACTATTACCTAGTAATACCAGTGTAGCCAGCTCTGTGCTTAGTGCACTATATACCAGAAAGGCTGGAATGCAAAATCATTTAACCTCTGATAATATTATCTCTATCTTTTCACCCATCCTCCAGATGTGGGACTTTGCCCATACCACTCCTATCCCTCCCAATTCGTAACCTCTTGCTGTCTGCCTCCCCACATTCCACAGCTTTAACCACTTCCTCTAGCATTTTCTACCATATTCTCCTATATTAAAGGAGCGCGGTCACATCCCAGGATTTGTAATATTGTGTGTCTGTATCCTCCACATTTAACAAATGTGTACGCGTGAGCTCTGAAAAAGCGAATAAAATGTAGAAATTCACCCACTGTATTTAGTTCTACCCTGGTACTGTGTGCCGCCATCTTGGCTCTCTGTCAACGATTGTGTAAGCTCCGCTGAATTATCAATATATGGAAACTCGTTTCACAGGTGACTTTTCAATATATATTTCAATAGTGTAATTTTTAGAGACGTGCTGGTAACGCTCTCAAGTTGCTCCTATCGTGTTTGTTTTTATAACTTCCTCATGCTACTGGTAGGTAGATTGAAACTTTTAAACCTGTTTTTCCTGCTTGAACACATTTGTCTCCTTCCTTGAAATCTCGCCAGTTGCGGTTGGCCTCCATGCAATCCTGGACACTTCAATTCGTTCACCTTTATTGTATTAATAAGCTGCTGGATGGTAATCGGTAGATCACTGCTTGATTATTGATTGTTCAAAGGGGGAAACACTTTTCATGTACTTCCCAACAGAACAAACAAATGATTTGTACCTTGGTAAATTATGTATATCTGGCAGGAATCCCATGAACCGTGTGTAAAGATTTTTTACCCCGCTTAGTGATAAAACTAATCGAATCCGGCTGAGCATCTTGGAGAGTTGTTTAATCAATGACTTGCATATCAAGCATTTTGTACTTTAAACCATTATAAATAGACCAATTTTGCATAATACGTTATTCCATAAAATGATCGATCGCTTTAAAAAAAAATAAAAAATCTAAATCTGTTTGCAGTAGCTTTATTTGCCAGCAGTGTGTTGACTGACTTCTTTTAATTCTATTTGTTTATTTTTCTTTGTTTGTAGGTTATTTGGTTATTTCTGTTAATGTCATTTTTTTTTTTATATTGTCTTTGCGTGTTTCCAGGCTGTAACTCTGGAAAAGGATCAGTCATTAACCGTGGCTGGCATGTTCCTGCACGCTGGTTTAAATGTAAACAAGAGATTAAAGGATCACTATAGTGTCAGGAAAACAAACCCATTTTCCTGCCACTGTCACCCTTGGGGGACCCTCACACTCAGGGTACCCCTCCCATGGCACTGTAGGGGTTAAAACCCCTTCAGCAGCTTACCTTAATCTGCGTGCACATTCTAACAGTCCATAGGAAAGCATTTCTCAATGCTTTTCTATGGACGTTCTGCACGTTGGATGCAAATTTCACATCCAGCGTCAGGAAGACAGCTACTGGAGGTTGGATTAACCCTGCCATGTCAACATAGCAGTTCCTCTGAAACTGCTATGTTTACATGTGAAGGGTTAAAACCTGAGGGACCTGGCACCCAGACCACTTCATTGAGCTGAAGTGGTCTGTGTGACTTTAGTGTCCCTTTAACCCCTTAAGGACCAAACTTCTGGAATAAAAGGGAATCATGACATGTCATGTGTCCTTAAGGGGTTAAATGCATTATAAAACATGGAATAATAAAGGTACCTGTGGTTGCGGAAAACAAACTATATTTTCAGTTGCTGTGATGAAGTATCTATATTTATTACTGAGATAAAATCTGTAGAAGATACGAGAAATAATGAGTTTCTCAGATTGTTGGTAGAGATCTAAAGAAAGAAAAAACAAAAATAAACCCTCCAATGTTTGAAATGTCATGACATACCACCAGTGACATTTTGTTTGAATATTTTTCTTATAAATCACGCATAGTAGTTGAATACACCCTAATAAGGATTGCATCTGAACGGTGACTGTGTTTATAAGGGGGGGCTGAGAGTACAGGGAATAAAGTGCAAGATTTGAAGAACTGTTGCATATAGTACCCACGTGTTATTACTTCGTCGGCCGTGGTTTTCCCACTTCAGTAAGTGGTCACAGTTTCTCATCTGGTTTGAGGAGTCGACCTGTTAGATATGTTTAACTCCACTTCAGGAGAGATAGGAGGAGCTCCCGCCAGCAGATTTTAAGGCTTTCAGTACTGATTGGTGCATGTTTTGGGGGACTGCTGAGGTTCCAGCCCTAGCACACAGAACTTGTGCTAGGGCCCTCCCTCGTCCACTCCCTCTCTGGCTCATACTGCGCATGCATCCTGAGCCAATGAGACCGGTCCAGTGAAATGCTTTACTGTGACATCAGAGATGGAGGGAGTGAAGCAGCGTGATATCAGACGGGGTGTGGGATAACGTCGCCTGGCGTTTTGGTTATGTCAGTTCTGTCTTTGTTACAGAGCATTTTTCATTTAAAAAAAAAAAAAAAAAAGTGCTCGGTTAGGGATTTTAAAATAAAGGACTCCTAAGAAAGGGTTGATGTAACCCTACAATGATATTTGCTGAGCATTTCTGCAAAAATAAGAAAAGCATTGCCATGTAATAGAGCAGTAAGGGGTGATTTAGTTGCAGATAGTACTCCTTTAACACCTGTGACCTGCGTTATACTTATCTGTGAGATCAAACTGCAACTGATAGTTAACTTCAATATAAAGCTAAACCGCCATCTGCTTCATGGGAAACGGTTTGGCCTCACCTTGAACCAAGAATACAGGAGCTCTGCATTTAGCATCCTGCACCAACTCCCACAACTCTCAGGCCTCACCTTATACTCCCAGAACCAGCAATACAGGAGCTTTGCATTTAGCATCCCGCACCAACTCCCAGGCCTCACCTTGCACTCCCAGAACCAACAATACTCAAGCTCTGCTCAACCCACGTTCCCCCTAAATAAGTAGCCTGCTCCTCCAGCTGTTTGAGATTCTCACTCAATTACCTCTCCACTCCCTCTATATTCTACCAATAGCTGCAACTCTCCATTAACTCTTTTAGCCACCACTTCCAAACTTCCCCTGCTACCTTTTTGTCTCAAATCCCCACTGCATCCTTTAGATTGTAAGCTCACTGGCAATCTAGCTAAGCACTTTGTGTAAAAGAGCTCCAATGGCTAGATATCAGCTTACAGTCAGGTACCCTCTCTACCTTTTGTATTTGTCTGTGTGTATATTGTACATTCTCCACTAATTGTACAGCGCTGCGGAATCTGTTTGCACTTTATAAATACCAATAATAAGAAAATTAAAACACCGCATTGTGTAGCTAGCCATAATTTAATCAGTTAAAGGCACAAACTGGCAACATGAAGGTTCCAATACTCCACTGATCTTATGGGATCCGTATATGTTGTGATCCAAGCAGAGATGTGAAGAAATAAATGAAATTCAAACTTTATAATGCAAATTAAAAACAGATAAGTTCACCCCTTTTATAATGGACTCCTTTCCAAGTGAAGTCACGCCAGAGAATAGTTCGTCCGGTGCTGGCAATCTCTGTCCTTTTGATTCTACAGTCTGGGACGAACTATTTGAGTTCTAGGAGGCGGGGCTTGACGTACTACGTCGATGGCAGCGGGATAACGCGTTTTGCCGTAGATGGCTTCTTCAGATCTGAAGCTAGGGTTTTAGTTTGTTTATTTGGCCTACAACTTGGGATACAGTAACCTACCCAGTGAGGGTTATTTTCTTAACGCACCGAACTATAGTGAATTTAAATCCGAATTGTAATATATAGGATTTGGACCTCTTGTGTTCTGATGCTGGCTAGCAATATAGTGGGTTTTTGAGCCTCTGTACTATTCCAAGGGTTAATGATAAGACTCAGTCCTTTATTTAGCTATCCTCTGTCTCTCGGTAATGAGAGGGCCTCATTTCACAGGAAGGCTATATTGGTCACTTCTGCTCTAGCTGAAGGAAACTAGGCCAAAAATAATCTTGCCGGAAGAATAACTAGAATAAGTAAAAAATTTTACATTTTGTACTTTTCGCTTAATATTCCCTTCTGTGCAATTTTCAGCTTAGCAAATTAACTCCTAGTTTCTGCTGTATTTTAACCCAGAGAGCTTACATTCTGAGTATGATTGTTAAAGCAGCACGGTCACCCCCCCATCCCATCCACCCATGAAAAGTGAATGTCATATGGATAGAATATTTATAAAATACTTATACTGTTAGAATTCCACTGAAACTGTGACCCAATCAAGAGATATATACTGAGACTCCCGTGACTACTACAGGGAATTGGCTCTGTCTTTGGAGGATTTTGCAGGATCAAAGAGTAGACCCCCAGTGGTGGTTTCACTGTCAGGGGCTCTGCGAATTCTGCAAAGTCGTCCAACGGGGACATAGAACCCCTTCTGCCACTTACCTTTATCCAGTGCTGGGCTTCCTCGGCGCTGGTGACCTCTCCTCTCCATCCGACGTCAGCTCTCAAATGGAGCCGAATGCGCATGCGTGGCCAGAGCTGTGCGCGCATTCAAACTGCCCATAGGAAAGCATTACTCAATGCTTTCCTTTGGACATTCTGCGTGCTTGATGTGATTTTCGCATTGAGCGAAAGCACCTCTAGCGGCTGTCAGGAAGACCGTTTATCTGAAACTGTTTTACAGCTGTAGGGTTAAAACCTGGGGGACCTGGCACCCAGACCACTTCATTGAGCTGAAGTGGTCTGTGTTACTATGGTGGTCCTTTAAGACTTTCTAACGTGAAATAACTGTGCTGTAAGATGTGATTGAAAATGAAACCATTTTTTTCAGGATGACTGAAACAGAAACAAAAGTGATTTAACTCCTAAATGGCAGAGAATTGAGCAGTGAGACTGTAGGTACATGATCTGTACTCCAAAACTGCTTCATTAAGCTAAAGTTGTTTTGGTCCCTCTAGTGTCCCTTTAACGCACGTTAGAGGGGAGTTTCACAATTTTATTCAGTGATGTTATTCCAGAGAGAGGGCGGTTCCCTTTAATGCTTATTTGTCCCCCCATGATCCTACAATTGTTTATTTTGCTTCAATGGCGGCAGTGTTGGCTGAAATGCAGGCGTCATGTCTGCTCTTAAAAGTAATCTGCAGAGTATCGCCCACCCCATAATGCTTGTGGGTTTTTTTAGGACTGAAAAACTATTTCCATTTCATTGCACTCAACCGGGGTAATTCTATTCATACGTTGTCGTGTTGGCATTACTGTTAGTTTTGTGCTTTAACATTAAGTGCGTTTTTTACAAATACAGCTGGCGTTTATGTCCACACAGATCGTAATTTCCTTGTGAAGCAAATGGCATTGTTTATAAAGGGAAAATGTCTTTCTTAAAGTGCACCTGCTGAATTGATATCAATTTTTTTTTTTCCTGTTTTGTCAGATATGAAGCAGATGGGAATCATTTTATTATTTTTGCCTTTAGCCCTGTGCACCCTCGAAAAATCCTGCAATTTTCCTGCAGGCTTGACATAATAAAACTCTGCAAATAAATATATTTAACATTTTTTATTTGGAGTATGTATAACCGCTTGGAGAAGCTGCAGATTTCTTGTCTGCAGCCTTTGCAAACCCGCCCAATCCCCCTTATTATTATTTTTGCCAAATATTTATTCAAGAAGGATTTTTTTTCCCTAGTTTGTTGCAGAATTGGAAGCGTTTCAAATTGGGTTTTTTGCCTTCTTTTGGATCAACAGCAAAAACATACGTGAGGAAGGCTGAACTTGCTGGACGCTAGTCTCTTTTCAGCTATGTAACTATGTAACATAAGGTTTTGTAATTTGAAAAACGGAGAAGTTGTGAATACTTACATCTGTTTCAATACATTGTAATATTTGTAGCGTTCGAAACAAGCTATACCACGTTTTCTAGATTCCCATACATGTGCTGAATGTTCGTCCAGTATATTACTGGGACAGTCATGCTTATCATATTTTAATCCAGCTGCTTGAATTAAATTCTCCTGCAATACCTTCTGTTTTTTTTTAAAAAAAACAATCCATTCGACATTGCTATGTGAAAAGTGAGATTAAGAAGCATCAAAGCCTGCCCTATCCCTCCAAACTAGGTACTCTCAGAAAGCTGCGGGGCCCCAGCACTTCTCCAACCACTTGCCCCCTCAGTGCTTCGAAATGTATGCATCCCCTGGATACCATTGTTCCGCGTGCTTTGCACCAGTTTCTGAGACACTGGCAAGTAGGTCCTCCGCTACGTTCATTTCCTCTACGTTTGTAAACCACTGTTCTTTAGTAGGATAATTGGAACAGTGCTGGAGGGCAGACACAAAAAACTTGGCTGCGTTAAGCAAATGCCATTGGATATGGGTAAAAGGGTAATGTGCAACAGGACATACTCATACTTAAATGGGGCAGGTTCTCAAGAGATATCTATCAGGACCTTTCTGACAATCTGCCAGTATGATTTTATCCCCGGACAGTCCCACCATACATGTTTGGTTCCAACAACCCCCCCTTCCCCCACATATCCAATAGCAGGAAGATATCGAGAGGAAGGTCCTGTGTGATCTCTCCGGAGTGTGATACCAGTGTGAAAGTAACTTGTAATTAATTTCCTGGTTTTGGGAAATGATGGAACTTAAATGACCCGCTCAAGTCAGCCCCCCCCCACACACAGATATTTAAACCTCATCTGGTCTTAGATACTATTTAGCATAAACTAGGCCAAAGGTATCATTTTCGAGAACAGAATGTGCCAGTTTTATAACTTCATGAGCAATGAAACTGAAATGCAAATCTGCTTCATAAAAGCACTTCGGCAAGATAAATTGTTTAGGGAAGTTATGGAAGGCATGTCATTGGCCTAGAGGTCTCGACCATTTCCTGGTGTGACTGAAGATTAGGTGTGTTGCAATAACTCCTAAGACAGGAAGGAGCATTGTCTGAAAACTATTTTATATTTTTAAATACATTATTCATATATTGTATGAAGCAAAAAGGGCGGTAAATCCGCCCACCTGAGGCTTCTAAAAGGTTTCTGGACTCACCAAACCCTAGAGGGATCTCTGCAATAATTACTGCCTGCCGGTTGTAACCACCCTCTCACACCCATTGTTTAATTGTAAGATAACAAACCCCCTTTGCATTAAATTGTTGGCATAGTCAGCTGACTCCCAGGACCCTGCTAGCCGGTTTATAATGAGCACGTACCCGGGGCTGGTTTTATCCTTTACCCCTCCTGTGTACGGACTGGTAACTCACAGCGTCCTGCAGTATGTGTGTTTGCATATTCAGTTTAAGCTTTTTGTTTTTTGATATTAACGAAGTAAAAGCTTATATTGTGACTGACTTTCACTTAACCTTTTTTTTTCCTCATTAAGGTGGTTGTAGCACCTGCTTAATATTCAAACTTTGTGGTCAAAGTATTTATAGCAAATCGCTTTTTTATTTATTTTTTATTTTTTTCTCTTTACATTAGATCTCTGTATTTTTCTGGGTGGCGGGCCTACCACACGTTATTGGAGTGTGAGTAAGTAGCATGATTTTATTATTACGATTCATTAATATGGTGGAAATAAGTATCTCATTTTTTATGAACAAGAAAATAACCAGTGTTGGCTCAAAGGGACATTATGGTCATCAAATCAACTTTAATGAAGCAGTGTTGGTGTATAGAACATGCCCCTGCAGCCTCACTGCTCAATCCTCTGCCATTTAGGAGGAAAATCCCTTTGTTTATAATTCTTCCCGCATGTGACTTACACACCTTTTCTGAACACACCCTGAAAAGAAAAGTTTAAACTTCCTTTGTACACTTGCACATTCTGTTTAATTTAGAATTTCCTATCTCCTGCACTGCTAATGGCCTTCTAGACTCTGCAGGAGCCTACTGTGTGTATTTAACGATTTAATTTCACGTTCAACAGAGCAAATACAAAAATACTAAAGTAAGTTTGCATGTGTTTGAAAATTATATATATATATATATATATATATTTTTTTTTTAATGCAGCCTGTGTCAGTCAGAGAAAGGAACGCTGTGGCTAGGGCTGCAAAACCGAAACTAAAGTGATTTAACTCCTGAATGGCAGATAATTGAGCAGTGTGACTGCAATGATCTATACTCCAAAACTGCTTCATTAAGATGACGTTTGTTGCCTATAGTGTGCCTGTTGTGGATTGATGTTCCTATGCTGTCCAGCCAGCAGAAAGACTTGACATTGGCTCTGAATGATGGAACAGTTTGTTCACAAACATAAAAGGCCCCTGGCTTACCCATGACTGCAGTAGAGAATTACCACATAGCTCTGGTATTTGAGTGCCAAAAGCTGGGGATTTAGATAAATTCATACTACACTTGTCATCACGGGGGAATTAAGTTAGTTTTTTTTTTCCGTATCATTTGTCTGTTGTGGTAATGACTGACACATGATGCATGATGACTTGTCTGGGTATCTATAACTGATAAAGCTTTCTATAGTCAAGGCTAATTTAAAGTCCCACAGAAATATCTGATCACTCATTCATAATAACTCTCCCGGTGTAGGAAATTCTCAGTGTGCAAATATTTCGCAGTGCTACAGATTGGGACATGCTTGCATAAAAAGGAAGGAAGGGCAGATTTCTAACGTTACATCCATATCCTGTAATATTTCATCATACACTGTGCTTTTATGTTTCATAGTTAACTCTACAGCATCTTTGCCGCCTCTTGGTTTAAAGGGTTAGGACCTCCCATGGCGATAACTGACATTCTATACAAGGCATTAAAATGATGTCATTTCCCGTGTCCCTTTTAATAGTCGCACATTAAATGCAGACTGGATTTATGCTCCAGTGGAAAAAACAAAAACGTTATCCTTGTGTGTAGAATACATCTGTGATGTTGATAGTGTTCTCCGTTTCACATTGATTTTAGCAATGCCTGGTGTGCCATCTTTAGTTCACCGTCCTTATTGGCTGTTGTGTGGGTGACAACATGGACCTTCAGTGTCACGCTGTGTTATGGCGTGGACTGATCTTCTGTCTTGTGCCAGCGCAGACGTGGCCCCACTGCCACGATTCTGCCCAATATGTTCACATGAAACCTTCGCATATTGCAGGGTGTCAACACTAAATGAAACCACAATGTGGCTTGCTGCGCTGGCATTGACGTTGTATCCCATATCCACTGGCGTCCTCTTTGATGGAATTAGCGTGAACATGTTATTGAGGTTTTATTTAGTTATATGAAGTTTCTACTGGTCTGATTGAATTAGATATCTGTAAAAGCTTTGCTGGCTAATCTGTAGCGATGGTTGCTGCCCCTTCCTGCCTCACTAATGTATAATTTACTGAACGCTACTTAACTCCATGCTAATTAACTCGGATCCTCTGATTTTTGCCGAAGATCCGCATCAGATGTCTGTTTGCAGTAATTACAAGTGGATCATAGTGATTAAAGTAAGACGAGATTAAATCACACATGCTTTCTCTGCAAACAGAGGTTTAGGTTTGCGTAAAAGGGCTCCACAGGATTATTTTCTTCCGTCTAATAAACTGTTTGCGTGATTCGTTCAGGAGTGGGGGGTTACTTGGTGTTTTTGGAGTCTTAATAATGTTTTTATCTCTATGAATTATTCCTTTTGAGTTTAGAGGTTTGTACGGCTACTGCTATACATGTGTCCCTCTAAAAGCACTGAACTGGCTGTCTAAACGTATTGAGAGTCATAATCCACAGCAGCTGGCAATTCAGAGGGCGGCCAGGAGAGGAGTGTGCGTAATTAGTCCCACAGTTTACTTCTTCGTTGTATTCATGAGCGATGATTAGTACCTGTTCAGGACAAGAGCATTCTCATTAGGCAAACAGATTCCCTTTTTGTGTTTTTATATAAAATGGTGCTTTCCTTTGACGACAGTTTTTCATTCTGGTTTTTTTTTTTTTATTCATTTTTTTTTAATCAACAGTGGTTTTATCACATGGCCACTGCCGCACCACCCAACAATACACCGCCGGCATCACTGGATGTCAATCAGCCAGGCTTCAAAAAGGAAATCCTTGGAACCAAATTAGAAGTTAAATATTTATGCTCTGACTGCAAGAATATCCTGCGCAGACCTTTTCAGGCCCAGTGTGGCCATCGCTACTGCTCCCATTGTCTACGAAAAATTCTTAGGTAAGGAACACTTATCTTTAAACAACATATTATTAGCAGAATAAGAGTATGTCATCATGAGATACATTTTGCTTGGTTTTGAATGAGAATAACTGCATCTCTGTCTCTTGCGTCCTCAGCTCTGGCCCACAGAAGTGCGCGGCGTGTGTCCAGGAAGGAATATATGAGGAAGGCGTGTCACTAATAGAAAGCAGCTCAGTAAGTTCCCCTTTTATGTAAATTCCTCCTTGTGATTCCTGCAATTATTGGATTTATTGGCAGAGTAGGGGTCATTTGAGTCTTGTGATCTGCTGGTGGGGCTAGTAAAGAGATGTATTGCTCCCACAAGGCACAGATTGTTACCTTCCTTAGACTTTTGGTTTCATATATTTGGATGTAAGACCCTGGCTTACATGAGAACCATTCAGCTCCAAGTATTTGCCCCGAGCCTCGGAGAGCCTTTCGATTTGCCCCGAGCCTCGGAGAGCCTTTCGATTTGCCCCGAGCCTCGGAGAGCCTTTCGATTTGCCCCGAGCCTCGGAGAGCCTTTCGATTTGCCCCGAGCCTCGGAGAGCCTTTCGATTTGCCCCGAGTCTCGAAGAACCTGACGATTTGCCCTGAGCCTCTGAGAGCCTTTCGATTTGCCCCGAATCTCGAAGAACCTGACGATTTGCCCTGAGCCTCTGAGAGCCTTTCGATTTGCCCCGAGTCTCGAAGAACCTGACGATTTGCCCCGAGCCTCTGAGAGCCTTTCGATTTGCCCGAGTCTCGAAGAACCTGACGATTTGCCCTGAGCCTCTGAGAGCCTTTCGATTTGCCCCGAGTCACAGGAGAGCCATTCAACCCCAAGCATCTGTCCATTCAACCTGAGAATCAGTCTATTCACCTAGAGTCTGAGGGAATCTGTCAATAAGCCCCAGGGAATTCTGTTGATTTTTGCATAGAGTCAATGTGTCAATTTTACACTTTGGCCCAGTGTAATTATCCTCTGTTTGAGGCCTTTGATAGTAGATTTGACTTTAATCCCCTTAATATCCATACTAATAATACCAATAATCTTACAGTACGGTGTAGCTGTTTCTGCCGCGGCGTGTTTTTCTATACGCTTTTCATTCCTTGTGATCTGTTGTCAGATTTGGGCAGAATCCATGCAGAGGAGGGCGATTTACAGTTGATGTTTTAGTTTTGGTGAACATGTGAAAGATTCTCTTAACACAGACCGCATCAGACATCAGTCGTGTGATGTTTGTGAAGTTTAATCATTTTAATAAGTATAAATACATGTTAATCAGAGGTCACTGTATTATGTGTGTTAGGGGTTTATTCTCCAGGAAATTAATTCCAGAAACCTGAAAGCAGAATTGGATAAATGAAGCTAAATTACCTGCTCAGGTTTTGCATTTTGAGTCTCAGTTCTACAGTTCTGTGTTTAATGAATAAGGCCCTCTGTGATAACTAGCCGTGTAGAGGGGGTTAGGACTAGACTTTGACCCAAATTAATTTCAGCTGCTCCAAATGAACCAAATGCCTTTTAATCTGAGCCCAATCAATCCTTAAGGGATTTACCAAACGGAGTCTTATTCGTTGAATAATGAATTCCAAACGGATCAGTTAGTTCGGGAACAGATAACCGGCTTTTGATTAGTTCTTATCCGGTGAAATTAGTTTGTGCACAAGTCTAGTTAGGACTAACTTTGTAGGATTAATGTGTTGGTTTCTTTTCTTCACAGCATTTCATTCTCCATAGAATCCCTTTATTTACAAACTCCAAAAATACCTCCTGTGTATATAACATGACATCGAGAAACTTTCCGTCGCAGACTGCCAAAAAACATAAATACGATTGGTTAACTCACTCAACTGAAGCATGTAAAAATTCAGAGTATCCGGGAGGGGATTTAATGGGTATGGTTTCATTTTCCAGCTATGGGTATTTCGCCACATCCTTCGATACCTCCTATGCACATATTTAGTTTGTGTGTGAACAGGGTTTTTTTTTTTCTTCAGTCTTAGAAAAAGTGCAGATTTTAATCAAATGTCAGCTTTATAAATTAACCTGGTTACACCCCACAGGCTGTCAGTCAGATAAGCAGTTCTGTTACTTCCTGGTTTGTTTAGCTCAGTGGACATAAAGTAAGGGGCAGCAATTGCCCCGAGCACCTGCCTTGCAAAGCTGCATTGGGCGTCTTGGGTTAGAAGGGGAGGGCTTGCAAAAGCTGCAGACACGAGATCTGTAGCTTTTCCAATCTGTATTTAGATATACCCTCAGTGCCAAAAAAAGCCTTATTAAATGCATTTGTTTTCATTGGGAGTATGTTTACTAAATAGTGTTTTGTTTAGTTTTTTTAATATTTTTATGTTGTTTTTTTTTTTATTCAGGCAGTCATTTGTCCCTTTTAAACCTATAATGTGATTAATTTGAGCCAAAACATACATATATATATATATATATATATATATATATATATATATATATATATATATATATATATATATATATATATATATATATATATATATATAAAATATTTTTTTTTTTTTTTTTTTTTTTTTAAATACGCTGTGTCTTCATTTGTCCACAGGTGGTATTTTATTTATTATGCCTGATAGAATTATGGGCTTTATTTACTAAACTACAAATGTGATAAATTTAAATCCAAATGTCAAAATTTAGGCAAAAATATCTCATTTGGAAAAAATCTCCATCTCTACTTAAGTCACAGCTTGCCTATTTTTTTCCTGAATCTTACCATTCTTACCATAAACTGGCTACAATTTTGGAGTTTGTGGAACGAGCCTCTGATGTTATTGACACGATACGTTTCATTACTCTGCTATGTGCTTCCTAGTCCCCGCTGTATCTCATGACATGAGTATCAGAGCTCCGTATTTAACCAAGTTATTCTGAGATACCATGAATGCCATACTGGCAGCTTGACCCTGGCGTTTTGTTTAATGAATTATGTCATTCAAATCCTCTTCTATTCTCTATCACTTGGCAAACCATTAATTCTGTACTCTGTTCATTCCTGCACTCTAGCTCATTCCCTCTGTCTATGTTGTTTGTTTACTTGTTCACTCACTGTAGCTTACAGACTCATTCAATCGCTCTCACTCATAGACTTGTTTCAGCGTCAGACTGTCTGCTGTAAGTGTGCAATGATTGAGTTCCATGTTAGCTCTGGTGTGCCCCTAAAAGATTATTCTGTGTACACAGAGCTTATCAGGTGTGCCTTGTGATGTTTGAAATATTTTGATGTTTTTTTAGTACTTACTAAACATTTTATGTTTTTATTTTATATTTTGCTTTGTTTAATTATTCTAATATATTCGCTTTTGTACTCGTTTATTAATTCATAACTCATGTACTAACATCTTAATGCTAGATTTCGAAAAATTATTTTATATTATGTAGACAATTCCCTCTGTATTTTTGTTTGATAGTTAACCAACTTCTATTCAGAATCAAACGGAGCCTGTCTATCTCTTTTACAGGCATTTCCCGATAACGCAGCCCGTCGAGAGGTAGAGAGTCTTCCTGCAGTGTGTAAAAATAATGGCTGCTCATGGACCGGCACTATTAAGGAATATGAGGTGAGAACAGTATCCTGTAGTTACCACAGTGCTGTAACTTTTTTGTTTAGTTTGTTTTGCTTTCGTTTTTATTTCACGGAAACGATTACATGTATTCTAGCCTTTGTGTTTAGTATTGTGAGAGATAGATAGATATAATATAAAATCAACACAAAGGCTATAATACATGTAATCGTAAATACCCCCTTTTTCATTTTTGCATGTTTAGAAATCCTTATATCCTGGTCAAGCACAATGCATCACAAAAACTTTTTCAAGGCCAACTTAATCCATTGAAATTTCACATGCTCACTCTCACCCATTAATGGTAAGCCACACAAAGAGGAATTTACTCGTATTGATGCGTTACAAAACCCTACACTGGATAACTGGACAGAACACCCTACACTGGATAACTAGCCTTCAACATAGATTTTTATGCTGTAGAATAAAAAAAAGGCAAGCAACCCAATTTGAATAGTTTTTTTTTTTTTTTTTATTGTACCACAAGCAGGCAAAAATGTACGGGCAATTGGATATCTCAACATCCATATTAACTATTAAATCCTTTAATGTTATGCTTTTCTGAAGAAAAAAACTTTAAAAAAGAAAACTCCACAGAATACAATAAAAGAGCCTCTTTAGATAGTGAGTTCCACATTTGTATTATTCTTACTGTAAATAATCATTTTGTCTGCTGTAGATGAAATCTCCTTTCTTCAAGTCTCAAAGGATGATCTTTTTTTTTTTTTTTTGTTCAGTCCTATTAATGAACAGGCTACCAGAGAGCAGTTTATACCAACACTTTATTTGTATAAGGTTACTAAGAGTAAACAAATCTCATTTATCCAGTCTTTCTTCATAACTAAATTTTTCCATTCTATTTATTAATTCCATGGCCTGCTTCTGCACTTTTTTTGAATTCAATAAAATCCTTTATTTATTTTTAAACTGGTGCCCACAGTTGTACCGCATATTAAGTCTGAGTTACAACCAAGATTTTATAGACAATATTAGTGGATCCGTCCTGTGAAGTTATCCCTCTTTTTATATAGAACAATACCTTACTGGCCTTTGCAACTGCTGACTGTCTAATTATTCCCATATCCTTCTCCTTTACAGTTAACACCAAGTCAGCCTCATTAAGGGTATAAGTTGCTTGTTGGTTCCTCATCCCAAAATATTTCATGCACCCGTTTTACCCAATGTCATATGTTAGAAACTCGGGGAAGGGCGAGTCATTGTGCATAACTAGTTAATGTTTAATAAAATCCATCACATTAACTGCCTACATGCACTGCAAACACCAATTAATAATGGTTAAGTTGGTAAACAAACACACCTGTGTTGTGTAACCCACGGATGGGCACACCTTCTGTTCTCACTGTGGTGTAATCATTAACCTGGGAATTGGGGGGGTTTGACAATGGGATCACAAATGTAAGGGCAAAACTGGGAAAAATTCTCCAATTCGGCTCCTCTGGTTTAAACCTTTGTTTTGTCTTTATCATTCTCCACAGTTCCCTGTGGAATATATATATATTTGCAAGTTTACCTGTCGCTGACATTACGGTGTGAGACTTCTCTCTCCAGACTAGCTGAGCATTATTGTAAATGTAGTTATTGCATTGTGACATCCCTTGATCTCGAACAGTAATGACTGGAGGCTTTGTGAATTACATTCCCTATCATCCTCAGCCAGCCTTGTGGGGTAAAGTTTTAGCAATGTTTTGTGCCATGTTATTGTTCATTGTGTGCCCATGCTTCATTTTGTTACATTGACAGCTTTTCTTCACCAATAACGGGATGTGCATTTATTAGAGGAATGGACCTTTAATGTAGCTTCCATGAATAACCCATTAAATGAACTCCAGAAACTGCCTGTATTTTCTTTTTATTAAATTTCTAACATTATGATAATTAGTTGGTCCTTAGTTATTGGAGATAGCTTTACGCTGTCACTCTGTACCTTGCTAGCCCATGTTATAGCCGGTGAGATAGCTCAGTGGGCTAAATGAGGTAAACTAGAAAAATGGTAAGATTCGTGGCAACTGACATTTAATGTGGATAACTGCAAGATAATGCATCTTGGACGTAAAAACCCAAGGGCAGAGTACAGAATATTTGATAGAGTTCTAACCTCAACAAATGAAGAAAGGGATTTAGGGGTGATTATTTCTGATGACTTAAAGGTAGGCAGACAATGTAATAGAGCAGCAGGAAATGCTAGCGGAATGCTTGGTTGTATAGGGAGAGGTATTAGCAGTAGAAAGAGGGAAGTGCTCATGCCATTGTACAGAACACTGGTGAGACCTCACTTGGGGTATTGTACACAGTACTGGAGACCGTATCTTCAGAAGGATATTGATACCTTAGAGAGGGTTCAGAGAAGGGCTACTAAACTGGTTCATGGATTGCGGGATAAAACTTACCAGGAAAGGTTAAAGGATCTTAACATGTATAGCTTGGAGGAAAGACGAGACAGGGGGGATATGATAAACATTTAAATATATAAAGGGATTCAACACCGTAAAGGAGGAGACTATATTTAAAAGAAGAAAAACTACCACAACAAGAGGACATAGTCTTAAATTAGAGGGGAAGAGGTTTAAAAATATCGGGAACTATTACTTAACTGAAAGGGTAGTGGATGCATGGAATAGCCTTTCAGGTGAAGTGGTAGAGGTTAACACAGTGAAGGAGTTTAAGCATGCGTGGGATAGGCGTAAAGCTATCCTAACTATAAGATAAGGCCAGGGACTAATGAAAGTATTTAGAAAACTGGGCAGACTAGATGGGCCGAATGGTTCTTATCTCCCCTCACATTCTATGTTTCTATGTAATGCATCTTCAGTAGAATCTGTTCAACCCTTGGAGAGCTCAGGTTCAAATCTCGGCAGGGTTGACTCTTCATCCTTTCCGAGGTAGATAAAATGAGTACCATTAAATTGGGCAAAAGTAACATCTACAGGAAGGACGTACTTGGAAACCAGAACAATCTGAATGTACCTTTCCTGGTTAAATCCTTTGTTGTTAATATTATTATCATTATTATTGGAGATGGCTTTACGCTGTCTCCCTGTACGTTGGTAGCCCGTATTATTGGAGATGGCTTTACGCTGTCTCTCTGTACGTTGGTAGCCCGTATTATTGGAGATGGCTTTACGCTGTCTCCCTGTACGTTGGTAGCCCGTATTATTGGAGATGGCTTTACGCTACCATTGGGCAGGGAGAGTGGGAGTGTTTCAGTGTAGTCACTGCTGTTTAGCTGTGCGGTGTAATGGCATGTTCGGAATGTTCGTCATACGATTTTAGACTCTGCTTAATGTATTGTAAAAATCATCAACAATGCCACTAAATGTTTTTAATGTTTTAGTTGTGTAATACAGCCCTGCTCGCCTGTTTCTGGGAGACTAAGCATGGTTGACGATAACAGGCTGTGTTTGCATACTTACTGACTTATTGTGTGTCCTCCTAGCTATAGCAACGGTCCTTGACCTAGCTTGAAAAGAACCCAAACTGCATACAAGCCGTTTCCTTGGTGGCCTATCCATCATTAACTGTAAAAATAGCTCAGAAGCCCATCTTCTAATTGTCCTATAATCTATAACAAACACAAGTCTACAAAATGTCATTAGCTGCTTCCAGGTGTCTAACAGAGTGTCCACACACCTGAAAGTACAGCTGGGTAAAGATCCGTGTGACAAGCTTGGTCCAAGCAATGGGGGCACCGTTTTGGGATTAATAATTACGAAGAGTCTGCTTTGCTAGGGTTTGGGTTATAAATATATGCTCCTCCATAGCAATTAACAGAATATAGCTTATAGTTTACTGCTGGCTGGATTTGTTGTGAAAGTGGTTTCCTGGCAATTAAAAAAAAAAAAAAAAAAAAAAACTTGTTTAAATTCCAGTGAATGGAAATGATCAGGTAAGCGTGAAACAGCTCTGTGAGAGAGGCTACGTTATTAATGTAAATAAATGAGACCTTGTGGCCATCCCTGCATTAGACGTACGCCTTGCCAATAGGTCCGATCGGATTATTATTATGTAGACATCTTCGACACAGCTTTTGGATCCATTATATCATTCAACCATCACCATCACTTAACATAGTTGCACTTTCAAAAGGCAGGTATGTCAACCTGTCGTACACTTACAGCACCCCATAATTCTTTGCTAGCCAATATCTGTGTAGCCCTCTGGCTGGGGGCTATTATTTTCATGGTGGACAAGTTGTTAGAAAATGTATCTTTAAATGATATTTTTCATACATGATATATAACCTGACCGGCAATTCCACTGGGTATTCATGCAAAGATCCCCCCTCCACACGTCCGGTAAGTCCACAGCCTGAGGGAGAGAAAGACTGAAGATTTTTATTAAATCATTCTTAAAAGTTGCGGATAAATTCTGTCATTATTTTGATTGCATTTATTAAAAAGTGACGGCTCTTTTCATACTAAGTGCCACCAGTTTTCACAGAAAATCTTTTTTCAGAATATCACCAAACGTATACTGGATGAAAAATTCTGACCCTTTTCTGTCAGAAAAGGTAGAGGAAATATTCATAAATCCGTTGCGTCGGCAAAAGAATGTTGCAAATAAAAAAATGACAGTTATGGCTTGGAAAATAAAAGCAACACGTGAAAAAAAAAAAAAAGTTAACAAGAGGAGAGAAAACTCAAATAACAATTCAGAATTTTCTTTTTGTCAGACATGCAGGGGTTGGGATTACACAAGGTACGAATTTAGCAAACCCCATCCCCATCCCCATCCCCACCCGCCACATTCCCCCCCTGGTTTCTGTGATTATATATATATACACACACACACACACACACAGTCATGGTAAAAAAAGAAAGTACAACCTCTTCGAATTCTATGGTTTTACATATCCGGACATAACAATCATCTGTTCCTTAGCTGGTCTTAAAATTAGGTCACTACAACTTCAGATGAAGAACACATGACATATTACACCGTGTCATTATTTATTGAACAAAAATAAAGGCAGAATGCAGAATCCGTGTGTGAAAAACGAAGTACACCTGATGATTCAATAGCTTGCATAGCCACTGTTCGCACTAATAACTGAAGGAATCGTTTTCTGTATTCCTTTATCAGTCTCTCACAGCGCTGGGTAGGAATTGTGGCTCGCTGTTCTTTACAACGTTGCTTCATTGAGGTTTGTTGGCATTCGTTTATGCACAGCTCTCCTAAGGTCCTGCAACAGCATTTCAATCTGGTTGAGTTCTGGACTTTGACTGGGCCAATGCAACACCTTCAATCAATGATTAGCAGAACATCTAATGTGCACGTGCTGCTCTAAATTATAAGTGTCTCATATACTTAATAAATACAAATAACCCAACATCCAGAGTGCACACTGTGCTATGAACACCCACTAAAGATACTGGTATACAGTGTAATGTAAAAATATAAAGATTCCACAATCTTCTCCTACACAGGATAAGGAGAATATAAAAGTCTATATAAATAACAGAGCAAAGACAAACATAAAAATACATTGATAATACTGTAATGTAGGTGAATGCATTTAGTAGATAGAGCCACTCACATGTACTAGAGCCGTGATCAGGCTCTATATAATAGGGTCCTGGGTGCCCTCTTTATGCCCACTGCAGGCGAATTTTTTTTTTTTTTTTTACTGTTTAAAACAATTATTTAAAAACAGCAAGGAAAGACAAAAATTAAAAAGAAATGGTGAAATAAAGATATAACGTTTTTCAACAATAATAAGCTTTCCAAAAGCACAACCCGTTTTCAAACAGTTTGAACTGCACCTGATGAAAACCTTTTGGCTAAAATGTGTTGTAATTATTGAAAGCTTATTATTGTTGATAAATAGTGATGTCCCGAACTGTTCGCCGCGGACGGTTCGCTGCGGACTCATCATTGAGTAAACTTTGACCCTGTACCTCACAGTCAGCAGACACATTCCAGCCAATCAGCAGCAGACCCTCCATCCCAGACCCTCCCACCTCCTGGACAGCTCACTAAGAATGCAGCTTCACAATGGATGCTGTCCAGGAGGTGGGAGGGTCTGGGAGGGAGGGTCTGCTGCTGATTGGCTGGAATGTGTCTGCTGACTGTGAGGTACAGGGTCAAAGTTTACTCAATGATGAGTCCGCGGCGTTCGGGACATCACTATTGATAAATATTCACCATGTATTTGTTTTTACACTGGTCCATTGGCTGGTGTGTTGGAGACTCCTCTTTTAACCAATGCCCATGAAGGGGCTCTCTAGAGCATATAATATAGAGCCTGATCACGGCTCTGGTACATGTGAGTGCTTCTATCTACTAATTTGTTCATTCACCTACATTAAAGTATTACACTATGTATTTTTATTTTTGCTCTGTATTTTTATGTGGCCTTATAAATACTTCTTATCCTGTGTATGAGAAGATTGTGGAATCTTTGTATTTAAAGGGGAAGTATTTGACTTTTTAAGATTATACTATATACCACTATATTTGCTGGGTGTTTATAGCACAGAGTGCACTTTACACGTTGTTTTATTTACTGCCTTAATGTTCTGCGTAATGTAAATTGCGTGTGAAGTTTAGTCCAGTTAATTTGGTACGGAACATACGGCAACTGAGAAATCTGGTCAAACTTACCCGGCAGCCTTTACTGGGATTCCTGCCAGCTGTGTAAGAATGACTCTCCAGTGCTTTATGGGGTGTATTGCGGTGTACGCACGGATTGTGTTTAAAACGCGAAATACTGAATATTGACATGCCATATCTTGTAATGTCCGATCCTGAATATGTAACCGGAAATATTCCCAAATCTTGGCCGTTCTAGACATTCTGTGAGGATAAAACTATTTTGTGTTGTGCCACATTTGGTAAACAAACCTGTGTAAAGAAATTGAGAAGATCAAAGGAGAAAGGTCAACGCTGCGTATCGTCCTGACTGACATTTTTTCTGTAAGTCGGTGCTTATAAATGTTTGAATATATAACTTACATGTTGGGTGATCATTTATGGCCTCATCCAAGATAGGCTGAAATGTCAGTCAAGGAGCCCTGGTTTATATTTTTGTGATTAGTGCTTGGCCTTTACTGGTATGAACAGCAGAACACTGGCTCTCTGGAGCCCTGGTCTGCTTCCTTCTAAACCTTTCCCCATCTCATTTTCTTACCTCAAGTCATACCCACTGCTAGAAGTCTCACTTTTACCTTCTTTTACTCATACTCCTGCTGCTGGTGACATCTCTCCTAAACCTGGTCCGGTAACACCTACTGTCACACTCCTGTTTCATCTTCCATAGTAAAATCCCTAGGCCACCCAACCCTAACAATCTAATTTCCATTAACCCATTGCGTTTATCACCTGTCTTTTCTTGTGCTCTCTGCAATGTGTGCTTGATCCGTGTGTAACATACTTGCAGCCGTCCACAATCTATTTGTTTCCAACTCTTTTAGCCTTCAGCAATTACTGAAACATGGCTGTCTTCTTCCGACACTGCTTCCTTTGCTGCTTTCACACTTGGTGGCTTCTATTTTAGTCATACCGTGAGGTGAGAAACATGGTGGCAGTGCTGGGATCCAACTCTCTCAGTCCTTCACATATCAGTACCTGCCTCCTCTCCCATCTTTCTCCTCCTCCTTTTAAAGTCCACTGCATTCACCTCTTCTCTCCTCTCTTGCGGCATGGTAATTATCTATCACCCTCTGGGACCAACCTTCCAGTTCCTTGACAACTTTGCTGCCTGTCTACCTCAGTTTCTCTCTCAAAATATGCCATCACTAATACTTGGGGACTTAAACACCACCGACAAACCTTTAGTTTCTCTCAACCTCCTACTCTCCATGTTGCACACTCTATTGACCTACTATTTTCCTATGTCTGCTCTCTGACTTCAGCTGTCTCCTTTTTCCCACTTCAGACCATCACCTTTTCTATATACTCTCAGTATCTCGGCTAAACCTACTTCTCGTCCATCTTGCCTGCGCACCTGTAGAAATGGCACACTGTGGATCTCTAATCTTCCATACTTACTCTCTTACTACCTTCAGCTCTCTTCCACCTGCACTACCCCCGTTGTCTGCCCAAAAACCAAAACTATTACTACCCAAACACAAACTTACAAAACATTCCGCCTCCAACGAAGGTCACCCCCACTGCGATTCTCTGCTTCTTTCCCCCAGCCACCGAGGATGAAGTTTCTACTCTCTTCTTTACGCCTCACTGCCTGCCATCTCAATCCTATCCCTTTTATATTTAATATCTTCTCTTCCTTCCACCCTCACTTTTGCTTTCATTTACATCTTCAACCTATCCTTTTCTATCAGTTAGTTCATATCTCCTTTAAACCACACAAAGGTCACTTGCATACTCTAGAAACCCTCCCTTGACCCCAATTCTTCTGCAAACTTCCAACCAATTTCACTGCTTTCCTTAGCATCAAAACTACTGGAAAAACTAGTTTACAACAGACATTATTGATCAGGGAAGCCTACCGCTCAATTCTGTAATCAATGCCTTTAACATAATAAATGCCGTCATCTCACTTGGTGTTAACATCATTCTTACCCCCTCATCCATGTAAATCAGCCATGTCAAACTGGCGGCCAACAACTAATATTTATGTGGGTCGTGGCGAGGGAGCACTGAGTGTAAGCTCTCCTTCTCAGCTCCCCGCAGTGATGCTGGTAGCCGGAATATGACATCACTGCGGTGCGCCCCCTGCCCAGCAGCCCCCCTAGACCCCAGGTAAGAGACCAACTCAGTCTCTGTGTGTCTGTCTGTGTGTATAGGTATATGGCTGTGTATAGGTGTATGGCTGTGTGTGTCTGTCTGTGTGTATAGATGTCTGGCTGTCTGCGTGCATGGCTGTGTGTGTGTCTGTCGTAGTGATTCTGTGTGTGTGAGGGTTTCAAGGAGCAACGGGAGGATCCGCTTTTCTAAGGTGCAGATGGGGCTATTAGGGGTATGCCAGAGGCCGGACTCTGGACCATGCTTGTTGGCTGTTTTTTTAAATGTATTTATTTTTAAACAGGGGCAGTGGTTTAGTAGACGGGGGGGGACTGGGAATTAGTAGATGGGGGGAGGAGGGCTGGAGTTTAGTAGAGGGGGTGAAAATTTAACCCCTTAAGGACCAAACTTCTGGAATAAAAGGGAATCATGACATGCCACACATGTCATGTGTCCTTAAGGGGTTAAACTTGGTTTATTTGGCCCTTGCTAGGCTTTGAGTTTGACATGCTTGATGTAGATTGTAAGTTCCCACGACAATAGGACCACCATCTCCTTCTGTATTCCTTTGTCAAATTTTGTATTGTCTCTTTGTTATATTGTAATGTGTTTTCACTTGCAACAATATAGTATAGACATGGACAGTGCTGTGGAATGTGATGGCGCTTTATAAAATAATAAAAATAATTATTGGCCATCTTTGCTCAGAGCAGATATAAGCAAACCTTGTATTTAGCAATCCTTAATAAGGGCAAATTAAACCCATTCTGTTAGGGGCACAGAAAGCCACTTCCTGTTTTCAGCCATCTTTGTTAGGGGCACAGGAAGCCACATCCTGTTTTCAGCCATCTTTGTTAGGGGGCACAGAAAGCCACTTCCTGTTTTCAGCCATCTTTGTTAGGGGCACAGGAAGCCACATCCTGTTTTCAGCCATCTTTGTTAGGGGCACAGAAAGCCACTTCCTGTTTTCAGCCATCTTATTTAGGGGCACAGGAAGTCACATCTTGTTTTCAGCCATCTTTGTTAGGGGCACAGATGGCCACTTCCTTTTCTTCAGCCATCTTTCTTAGGGGCACAAGAGGAGACTTCCTGTCTTCAGCCATATTTGTTAGGGGCACATAAAGCCACTTCCTGTCTTCAGCCATATTTGTTAGGGGCACATGAAGCTTCTTCCTGTCTTCAGCCATCTTTATTAGGGGCACATGAAGCTACTTACTGTTTTCAGCCATTTTTGTTAGGGGCACAGAAAGTCACTTCTTATGCTTTTCCATCTAGAGCAGGCTTCCCCAAACTCCGGCCCTCTAGATGTTGCTGAACTACAGCTCCCATGATTCACAGCCCATCTATTTCATTCATAGAATCTTGGAAATTGTAGTTCAGCAACATCTGGAGGGCCGGAGTTTGGGGATGCCTGATCTTGAGGCACGGAAAGCCACTTCCTGTTTTCACCTATTGTTATGTGGGTAACATCCTGTTAGGGGGGTTCGGTAAGGAAATTCCAAGTAGTTTACTGTAAGTGAGACTGGTTTCCGACTTTTAATGCTGTTCTCTTTAACATGGCTTGTTTTAGCCGAGGCCATGCTGTAGCTATGAGCCGCTGGCAGCTTGGCGGACGATGTATGTTGATTATAGATCCAGTCGTGACATTTCAGAAGGTGTAATATACACACGAGCCGGAGGTATCATCAGAATAAAATTCCAGGATCTCAATTATCCCTCTGTGTGTTTTAATATCTTTCTTAGGCATGACTGAAAACTGAGCTGTACAAATTGGGTTTTATTTTGTTTGTTACTGGAGTGGTGGAAAGTACCTGGAATCCAGTCTGTTTAAATAAAGCAGAGATATAAATCATTCTAAACCTGCAACTGAAACCTTCCATTGGCTCTGACGCCCACGCTAATTCTATGCTCTGTCTGTTTTCCCAGAGAGATTGAAGCTGAATTAAGTTTGTTAAGGTTCAGATATTGGTCACTGACTTTTTAACGTAGAGTCATTCTCTCAAGCCAAATTCCCGTGCAGGACGAAAGCAGGAGGAGAGATTAGTCCCCTCCCCAAAGTGGAAAAGGGGGGGGGGGAAATGAAAGGGAGGAAAACAAGAGGAATACTCGATTTCCTTACCCTCTCTTCCCCCGTAGAGATACAGGGAACATGTTCTAAAGTTCAGTTCGCGCAGTTGCGCTCGGTTGTTCAGTTACTCACAGAGACTGGGTAGGGACACACAGGCGGAAAATAGGGAGGGAGCATTGCCGTATGTGCGACAATATGCTTGATGTCTGTAAGCTTTACAATTCTTTATTATCTGTTTGTATACATACTGTGCTTCAATAAAAACGAAGATTGACAAAAAAAAAAAAGTTTGTTAAGGTCAGGGGAGATGTAGTTTGTAACGTCTGTGTTGCCGAAGGTTCTCTAGCCCCCCCCCCCCCTTCTCTAGTGTATTTTCTTTCTTTACCAAGAATATATACCGGTAAATCTGATTGCTATTATGGAGTCAGCGAGGATTTATTTCCCCTCTTTGTGACATATTTGGAAATGGATACAATTGTGTTTTTTTGCCTTCTTTTGGATCCGCTGCATAAAATCATGGGTTTCAGGGTTGAACAATATATTTTTTATTTTTGGGGGGGGATGAAAGGGGGGCGTCAGCTGCTTGAAATGAAACGTGGCATTTCCTGTTTTGTAACTGCCAGCCATCTGTGTCTAAGCCTGTATTGATAACGTCCATCTGTTGCAATTAGTCAGAAATCTATACCGACAGGCTTCAGTCATTCTTGGCTGTGTAACGAACATACTCAACTATTCTCCAAAAACGTGCCTCTTGGCTGACATTTCTCCTCAGATTCCAGTTTGAGGGTCACGCTCCATCTTTAAGATGTTGGTCGAAATTTTTGTAATATTTTAAGCTTAGAATTTAGAAGTGGTAGAAGTTCGACAAAAAACGTGAATCTCTCCAGACGACTTGATAACGCAGATTCATGAATGTTTCATTTATGGCACAACTTGGCCTGTCGCGGATATTTCCTGTTTGCATTGGTCTTGCCTCATTTTGTCTAGTAATTTCAAGTATGAGTGTCTACATACAAGGTTTCTGTAAACTGTTTCCCTGCAGCATTCTCTGCCGGGAGACATGGGACCTCCTTACACCATAACCTTATAGCTGCCGTTATAATACACTGTGTGCGGGGAGATAGGGGAAACTCCTTACACCATAACCTTATAGCTGCAGTTATAATACACTGTGTGCGGGGAGACAGGGGACCTCCTTACACCATAACCTTATAGCTGCAGTTATAATACACTGTGTGCGGGGAGACAGGGGACCTCCTTACACCATAATCTTATAGCTGCAGTTATAATACACTGTGTGCGGGGAGACAGGGGACCTCCTTACACCATAACCTTATAGCTGCAGTTATAATACGCTGTGTGCAGGGAGACAAGGGACCTCCTTACACCATAACCTTACAGCTGCAGTTATAATACACTGTGTGCAGGGGGACAGGGGGCATCCTTACACCATAACCTTATAGCTGCAGTTATAATACACTGTGTGCGGGGAGACAGGGGACCTCCTTACACCATAACTTTATAGCTGCAGTTATAATACACTGTGTGCGGGGAGACAGGGGACCTCATTACACCATAACCTTATAGCTGCAGTTATAATACACTGTGTGTGGGGGAGACAGGGGACCTCCTTACACCATAACCTTATAGCTGCAGTTATAATACACTGTGTGGGGAGACAGGGGACCTCCTTACACCATAACCTTATCGCTGCAGTTATAATACACTGTGTGCGGGGAGACAGGGGACCTCCTTACACCATAACCTTATAGCTGTAGTTATAATACACTGTGTGCGGGGAGACAGGGGACCTCCTTACACCATAACCTTATAGCTGCAGTTATAATACACTGTGTGCGGGGAGACAGGGGACCTCCTTACACCATAACCTTATAGCTGCAGTTATAATACACTGTGTGCTGGGAGACAGGGGACCTCCTTACACCATAACCTTATAGCTGCAGTTATAATACACTGTGTGTGGGGAGATAGGGGACCTCCTTACACCATAACCTTATAGGTGCAAGTTTAAATACACTGTGTGCAGGGAGACAGGGGACCTCCTTACACCATAACCTTATAGCTGCAGTTATAATACACTGTGTGCAGGGAGACAGGGGACCTCCTTACACCATAACCCTTATAGCTGCAGTTATAATACACTGTGTGCGGGGAGACAGGGGACCTCCTTACACCATAACCTTATAGCTGCAGCTATAATACACTGTGTGCGGGGAGACAGGGGACCTCCTTACACCATAACCTTATAGCTGCAGTTATAATACACTGTGTGCGGGGAGACAGGGGACCTCCTTACACCATAACCTTATAGCTGCAGTTATAATACACTGTGTGCGGGGAGACAGGGGACCTCCTTACACCATAATCTTATAGCTGCAATTATAATACACTGTGTGCGGGGAGACAGGGGATCTCCTTACACCATAACCTTATAGCTGCAGTTATAATACACTGTGTGCGGGGAGACAGGGGACCTCCTTACACCATAACCTTATAGCTGCAGTTATAATACACTGTGTGCGGGGAGACAGGGGATCTCTTTACACCATAACCTTACAGCTGCAGTTATAATACACTGTGTGCGGGGGGGCAAGGGACCTCCTTACTCCATAACGTTATAGCTGCAGTTATAATACACTGTGTGCTGGGAGACATGGGACCTCCTTACACCATAACCTTATATCTGCAGTTATAATACACTGTGTGCGGGGAGACAGGGGACCTCCTTACACCATAACCTTATAGGTGCAGTTATAATACACTGTGTGCTGGGAGACAGGGGACCTCCTTACACCATAACCTTATATCTGCAGTTATAATACACTGTGTGCTCCCGCAGGGGACCTCCTTACACCATAACCTTATAGCTGCAGTTATAATACACTGTGTGCGGGGAGACAGGGGACCTCCTTACACCATAACCTTATAGCTGCAGTTATAATACACTGTGTGCTGGGAGACAGGGGGCCTCCTTACACCATAACCTTATAGCTGCAGTTATAATACACTGTGTGCTGGGAGACAGGGGACCTCCTTACACCATAACCTTATAGCTGCAGTTGTAATACACTGTGTGCTGGACAACAGGGGACCTCCTTACACCATAACCTTATAGCTGCAGTTATAATACACTGTGTGCTGGGAGACAGGGGACCTCCTTACACCATAACCTTATAGCTGCAGTTATAATACACTGTGTGCAGGGAGACAGGGGACCTCCTTACACCATAACCTTATAGCTGCAGTTATAATACACTGTGTGCAGGGAGACAGGGGACCTCCTTACACCATAACCTTATAGCTGCAGTTACAATACACTGTGTGCGGGGAGACAGGGGATTTCCTTACACCATAACCTTATAGCTGCAGTTATAATACACTGTGTGCGGGGAGACAGGGGACCTCCTTACACCATAACCTTATAGCTGCAGTTATAATACACCCTCCTTACACCATAACCTTATAGCTGCAGTTATAATACACTGTGTGCGGGGAGACAGGGGACCTCCTTACACCATAACCTTATAGCTGCAGTTATAATACACTGTGTGCGGGGAGACAGGGGACCTCCTTACACCATAACCTTATAGCTGCAGTTATAATACACTGTGTGCGGGGAGACAGGGGACCTCCTTACACCATAACCTTATAGCTGCAGTTATAATACACTGTGTGCGGGGAGACAGGGGACCTCCTTACACCATAACCTTATAGCTGCAGTTATAATACACTGTGTGCGGGGAGACAGGGGACCTCCTTACACCATAACCTTATAGCTGCAGTTATAATACACTGTGTGCGGGGAGACAGGGGACCTCCTTACACCATAACCTTATAGCTGCAGTTATAATACACTGTGTGCGGGGAGACAGGGGACCTCCTTACACCATAACCTTATAGCTGCAGTTACAATACACTGTGTGCGGGGAGACAGGGGACCTCCTTACACCATAACCTTATAGCTGCAGTTATAATACACTGTGTGCGGGGAGACAGGGGACCTCCTTACACCATAACCTTATAGCTGCAGTTATAATACACTGTGTGCGGGAGACAGGGGACCTCCTTACACCATAACCTTATAGCTGCAGTTATAATACACTGTGTGCGGGGAGACAGGGGACCTCCTTACACCATAACCTTACAGCTGCAGTTATAATACACTGGGTGTGGGGAGACAGGGGACCTCCTTACACCATAACCTTACAGCTGCAGTTATAATACACTGTGTGCTGGGAGACAGGGGACCTCCTTACACCATAACCTTATAGCTGCAGTTATAATACACTGTGTGCGGGGAGACAGGGGACCTCCTCACACCATAACCTTATAGCTGCAGTTATAATACACTGTGTGCTGGGAGACAGGGGACCTCCTTACACCATAACCTTATAGCTGAAGTTATAATACACTGTGTGCGGGGAGACAGGGGACCTCCTCACACCATAACCTTATAGCTGCAGTTACAATACACTGTGTGCAGGGAGACAGGGAACCTCCTTACACCATAACCTTATAGCTGCAGTTATAATACACTGTGTGCGGGGAGACAGGGGACCTCCTTACACCATAACCTTATAGCTGCAGTTATAATACACTGTGTGCGGGGAGACAGGGGACCTCCTTACACCATAACCTTATAGCTGCAGTTACAATACACTGTGTGCAGGGAGACAGGGGACCTCCTTACACCATAACCTTATAGCTGCAGTTATAATACACTGTGTGCGGGGAGACAGGGGACCTCCTTACACCATAACCTTATAGCTGCAGTTATAATACACTGTGTGCAGGGAGACAGGGGATCTCCTTACACCATAACCTTATAGCTGCAGTTATAATACACTGTGTGCGGGGACACAGGGGACCCCCTTACATCATAACCTTATAGCTGCAGTTATAATACACTGTGTGCGGGGACACAGGGGACCTCCTTATACCATAACCTTATAGCTCCAGTTATAATACACTGTTTGTGGTTAGACAGGGGACCTCCTTACACCATAACCTACACAATGTATGTATGCTGCAAGTTTAAAATCCCTAAAATAATATCCAAAAATAGTCTTTCTATGCAGCGCTCTAGAACATTTGGTATTATACTGACTTTTGCAGCATCGCTAAATGCCATTACCCACATTATAAACGTTATACTGGCAGTCTGATCACTCCTTATCATGTGAATTGTTTCCACATGAAGTAACGCAGGCATTTAAAGACATACTAATCCTGAAGATACACTACGCCAAAAGTATAAAGGTGCAAGCTAGAATCTTATCTAAAGTCAGAATTTTGGGGGAATTCAAATTGAATTTCAAATTTAAAGTCAAAGTAGTCAAACTAGAAAAATTCTCCAAACCATCTATCTTTCCAGCTTGGCTACTTTGTCCTTAAGTTTGAAACTCGCTTTGAATTCCTGACAATTCTCCCTTTATGTTAATAATTGTATATACACATTTAGTAACAATATGTCTAACTCAATGTCAGCCTTGAATGCAGCGTAAATAATGCAATAAATACATAAACAGTTTTGTGTTTTGTGTCCCATCGTCATGTGAAGATACGCGGTATGTGTTTGACCTTGTATTGTTGTTTATGGTTTGTTTGTTGGTTTTGTTACACGAAGGATAGCGTGATGATAATATAGAGCGGAATTAAAGGGAGATTCCGTTGGCATTGTGGATATTACGGAAGGACAGTCTGTAGTTTGTTGTTACTGGGTGGAACTGCCTGATCAGTGGGGAAACAGTTCCAGTCCTAGGCGGCGGGTAACCTTGTATAGTGTATTTTTATCTCTTGTTTTCCTGTTTATTTATTGTTCTCCCTTTGTGAAAATTAGTTCCTCAATCGCCCGTCACTTCTGCGCAAATCAAATCCGCCATGTTACAACCTTTATCTAAATATCAGCAAAGAGCTGACACTCTTACAGGGATATCAGAGGGGCACAGCGACCCCATAGCCATACACAGCAAGAAGATCTGACCCAGATTGTTTATACATAAGATCTCATATAGACTAGTAATTCACGATTGCTAAATAACTCATGATACCTTAGGCTGTATCCGATATGGGTTTCCAAGTAACCACTTAAAGGGACACTCTGGTCACCATAGCAACTTCACCTAAATGGAGTTGTTATAGAGCCAGGAAAACCTCAGGCACACTCTCTTACCTTAAAGGGTTAAGCCATTCTCGATTCTCGGTCCCCCAGGTGGCATATGGCTTCTGAATCTGTTTCAGGACGAGTTGAGTGCCGCTGGGCATAGGTGCCGCCAATCCGTAGCTCCCCAATGATAAAATAAGTGCTTTTCTTTTTTTCTTTTTTTTTTTTTTTTAATGGATAGCTACTGATTGGCTTAGAGTGCTCATGGTGACCTCCAGGCACCATAACAACTTAATTTACATGGGGCCAGAGTGTCCCTTTAATGATGTAGTCCTCGTACTAACTTTAACAATTAAAGTTACCCTGCATATGTCAGTATGAGTTCAAGATCCTAAGCTATTAAGAAAATAAAACCTGCTTCATCAGATAAGAAAATATTTCAGCTTTTTACGAGGAATTCTGATTCTCAGGCGCCTAGATACGTTTCTCAGAGCTGACTGACCTTGTATTCACTAAACCGACTGCAAATGTTTATATAGGTCACAAGAACAAGTGTGTCAAAGTGTTCAGCTGCTTACATAGAAAGGAAAATGACAGAAACCGAATAGAATTCTAACCATTTTATACCCAAATTAACCATAACACTACAATGATTATCTCCAGGGCTATTTGTCCAGCTCAGCAATCCTCAACAAAATGAAGTCGTTTCCAATTCTCTGGTCAGTTCTCCACAATTCATTGCTTAGTGAATAATCCCCAATGCACTTTCAGAATCAATCTGTGGCGATCAAGTGTATGTTTTACACAAACTTGGATAATGACCTTACAAAGAATATTCCCTTGGAACAATATAGTTGTTATATTGGGGGGAGGGGGGGGAATATCTTTTAGTTTTATTATTTTTTTGTGTCCACTTTTCAATTAGATTCACAACTCTACAGAACTTACCGTTTAGTGATTTATTTTGTTATTTTTATATCTGGTTGTGTTTTTGTACTGTTGTCACACTAATCATTTTCTTTTGCATAATTTTTCTGTGGTTGTAAAAATTTGCGTGGATAATGTCAGGGTACTGTAACCTATCAGCCGTCGGATGTTCTGCACTGCATGGCATGTTATCTGGTAGTGGAGAGGTTAAGGGACGGTTGTCTGTTACGCCCCACCTGTTTAATGCGTCTGCCTGTCTGTGTGACTCTGAAATTATCTTCATAATTCGTTCTAATCAATGTGTTCCAGGCAAACCATGAAGGGAAATGCCCGTATATGCTGGCACCGTGCCCAGCCTGCAAAGAACTGATCCGCTGCCTTGACAAAGACTGGCACAACGAGAGAGAGTGCCCGGAAAGAAAGCTAAACTGCAGATACTGCAAGCTGTCCTTTTACTTTCCAGAGATTAAGGTGCAGCCCAGCCCCCATATTAACCTCTTCCTGTCCATTCTATATTATGATTCCGTCAGAGTACGGGTGTTGAGTACTTATGTCTTATGTTAGTGCTGATGGTGTGTGCAGCAGGTAGGCCAGAGCTTACATCATATGACAAGCTTCCTTAATTTACACCCATTTTAAACCACATAAAATATCACTTCCTTCTTTTTTTAAACGTACATTAAAGCAGGATGTATCAATTTAAAACGGCATTCACATAAACGCAGTATTATGCCGTGTGTCCACTAAACCGTATTGAATAAATAAGAGTGGATGATTTAAAGTTCCAAATGTATTATCTGTATACATCGCTGGAAAGCTAAAAATGCCTGGAGTGTCCCTTTAATAATATAAACCCACCCAGTATAACTGTAACCTAACCTACACAGTGCACCTAACGTGTGTGGGAGCCTGGAGTGTCCCTTTAATAATATAAACCCACCCAGTATAACTAACTGTAACCTAACCTACACAGTGCATCTAACGTGTGTGGGAGCCTGGAGTGTCCCTTTAATAATATAAACCCACCCAGTATAACTAACTGTAACCTAACCTACACAGTGCATCTAACGTGTGTGGGAGCCTGGAGTGTCCCTTTAATAATATAAACCCACCCAGTATAACTAACTGTAACCTAACCTACACAGTGCATCTAACGTGTGTGGGAGCCTGGAGTGTCTCTTTAATAATATAAACCCACCCAGTATAACTAACTGTAACCTAACCTACACAGTGTGCCTAACGTGTGTGGGAGCCTGGATTGTCCCTTAAATAATATAAACCCACCCAGTATAACTAACTGTAACCTAACCTACACAGTGCACCTAACATGTGTGGGAGCCTGGAGTGTCCCTTTAATAATATAAACCCACCCAATATAACTAACTGTAACCTAACCTACACAGTGCATCTAACGTGTGTGGGAGCCTGGAGTGTCCCTTTATAATATAAACCCACCCAGTATAACTAACTGTAACCTAACCTACACAGTGCACCTAACGTGTGTGAGAGCCTGGAGTGTCCCTTTAATAATATAAACCCACCGAGTATAACTAACTGTAACCTAACCTACACAGTGCACCTTATGTGTGTGGGAGCCTGGAGTGTCCCTTTAATAATATAAACCCACCCAGTATAACTGTAACCTAACCTACACAGTGCATCTAACGTGTGTGGGAGCCTGGAGGGTCCCTTTAATAATATAAACCCACCCAGTATAACTAACTGTAACCTAACCTACACAGTGCATCTAACGTGTGTGGGAGCCTGGAGTGTCCCTTTAATAATATAAACCCACCCAGTATAACTAACTGTAACCTAACCTACACAGTGCACCTAACGTGTGTGGGAGCCTGGAGTGTCCCTTTAATAATATAAACCCACCCAGTATAACTAACTGTAACCTAACCTACACAGTGCACCTAACGTGTGTGGGAGCCTGGAGTGTCCCTTTAATAATATAAACCCACCCAGTATAACTAACTGTAACCTAACCTACACAGTGCATCTAACGTGTGTGGGAGCCTGGAGTGTCCCTTTAATAATATAAACCCACCCAGTATAACTAACTGTAACCTAACCTACACAGTGCATCTAACGTGTGTGGGAGCCTGGAGTGTCCCTTTAATAATATAAACCCACCCAGTATAACTAACTGTAACCTAACCTACACAGTGCACCTAACGTGTGTGGGAGCCTGGAGTGTCCCTTTAATAATATAAACCCACCCAGTAACTTACTGTAACCTAACCTACACAGTGCATCTAACGTGTGTGGGAGCCTGGAGTGTCCCTTTAATAATATAAACCCACCCAGTATAACTAACTGTAACCTAACCTACACAGTGCATCTAACGTGTGTGGGAGCCTGGAGTGTCCCTTTAATAATATAAACCCACCCAGTATAACTAACTGTAACCTAACCTACACAGTGCATCTAACGTGTGTGGGAGCCTGGAGTGTCCCTTTAATAATATAAACCCACCCAGTATAACTAACTGTAACCTAACCTACACTGTGCATCTAACGTGTGTGGGAGCCTGGAGTGTCCCTTTAACAATATAAACCCACCCAGTATAACTAACTGTAACCTAACCTACACAGTGCATCTAACGTGTGTGGGAGCCTGGAGTGTCCCTTTAATAATATAAACCCACCCAGTATAACTAACTTTAACCTAACCTACACAGTGCATCTAACGTGTGTGGGAGCCTGGAGTGTCCCTTTAATAATATAAACCCACCCAGTATAGCTAACTGTAACCTAACCTACACAGTGCATCTAACGTGTGTGGGAGCCTGGAGTGTCCCTTTAATAATATAAACCCACCCAGTATAACTAACTGTAACCTAACCTACACAGTGCACCTAACGTGTGTGGGAACCTGGAGTGTCCCTTTAATAATATAAACCCACCCAGTATAACTAACTGTAAAGTAACCTACACAGTGCACCTAACGTGTGTGGGAACCTGGAGTGTCCCTTTAATAATATAAACCCACCCAGTATAACTAACTGTAACCTAACCAACACAGTGCATCTAACGTGTGTGGGAACCTGGAGTGTCCCTTTAATAATATAAACCCACCCAGTATAACTAACTGTAACCTAACCTACACAGTGCATCTAACGTGCGTGGGAGCCTGGAGTGTCCTTTAATAATATAATCCCCACCCGGTATAACTAACTGTAACCTAACCTACACAGTGCATCTAGCGTCGATGTGGGAGCCTGGAGTGTCCTTTAATAATATAAACCCACCCAGTATAACTAACTGTAACCTAACCTACACGAGTGCACCTAACATGTGTGGGAGCCTGGAGTGTCCCTTTAATAATATAAACCCACCCAGTATAACTAACTGTAACCTAACCTACACGAGTGCATCCCTAGCGTGTGTGGGGCCTGGAGTGTCCCTTTAATAATATAAACCCACCCAGTACCTTAACTGTAACCTAACACACAGTGCATCCTAGCGTGTGTGTGGGAGCCTGGAGTGTCCCTTTAATAATATAAACCCACCCAGTATAACTAACTGTAACCTAACCTACACAGTGCACCTAACGTGTGTGTGAGCCTGGAGTGTCCCTTTAATAATATAAACCCACCCAGTATAACTAACTGTAACCTAACCTACACAGTGCACCTAACGGGTGTGGGAGCCTGGAGTGTCCCTTTAATAATATAAACCCACCCAGTATAACTAACTGTAACCTAACCTGCACAGTGCATCTAACGTGTGTGGGAGCCTGGAGTGTCCCTTTAATAATATAAACCCACCCAGTATAACTAACTGTAACCTAACCTACACAGTGCATCTAACGTGTGTGTGAGCATGGAGTGTCCCTTTAATAATATAAACCCACCCAGTATAACTAACTGTAACCTAACCTACACAGTGCATCTAACGTGTGTGGGAGCCTGGAGTGTCCCTTTAATAATATAAACCCACACAGTATAACTAACTGTAACCTAACCTACACAGTGCATCTAACGTGTGTGGGAGCCTGGAGTGTCCCTTTAATAATATAAACCCACCCAGTATAACTAACTGTAACCTAACCTACACAGAGCATCTAACGTGTGTGGGAGCCTGGTGTGTCCCTTTAATAATATAAACCCACCCAGTATAACTAACTGTAACCTAACTTACACAGTGCATCTAACGTGTGTGGGAGCCTGGAGTGTCCCTTTAATAATATAAACACACCCAGTATAACTAACTGTAACCTAACCTACACAGTGCATCTAACGTGTGTGGGAGCCTGGAGTGTCCCTTTAATAATATAAACCCCCTCAGTATAACTAACTGTAATCTAACCTACACAGTGCATCTAACGTGTGTGGGAGCCTGGAGTGTCCCTTTAATAATATAAACACACCCAGTATAACTAACTGTAACCTAACCTACACAATGCATCTAACGTGTGTGGGAGCCTGGAGTGTCCCTTTATTAATATAAACCCACTCAGGCATCTTGAATTATTAACGTAATGGACTCCTTTAAGTTTCACCGTCCAATATGTAATCTTTTCATCTCTTGTTAATGGAATAGGCTCACGATGAAATCTGCCCGAAGTTCCCCATGACGTGCGAAGGCTGTGGGAAAAAGAAAATTCCTAGAGAAAAGGTAAATAAACCAGATCGATATCGTTTTTTTTCTATTTTCTAAAAATGACACAGAAACAAGGAAAATCTAGGAAATGAATCAAGGAACAAATAATCGATAAATCTAGTTTGTTTAAACAGAATAGTAAAAATAGGAGGGAACACGAGAGAGCTGAAAACGTTTGTGATGAGATCTGTTTATTGCACATAGTATTGCTGGCTTACACTAAGAGCTGTGCAGCCTATTAAAGCCTCGTGGCTGCAGGTTGAAGCTCTGTGAAAGGGCCTCAGTATTAATAGAAAGCCGGCCTCATTGTAGCAACACCCACACTGTGTCCCGTCAGAGCAGCAAACCTTTTGCTGAATCTCCCAAGTTTTACCTCTAACTGAAACCTTTAACATAAAGTCTACGCTTTACAAGCAAGACATGTTCTATTCCTGTGCGTGTTGCTTGATATAATCATATCGTATCCAGACTGACTTGTACTGAACTGGGCCAATCCGTGGTTTCCAAGTCACTGAAGCTCGTGGTGAAGCCTTATTCCGAGAGGTGTAATTGAGCTGGCTCTCTCTCTCCCTCCCTCACTCACTCCAGCTTCTCGGATGATGAAATGTCTATTTCTGCTGAAATGACGCTATTGTCATTAGGCTGCAACAAGACATAAGTGTTTTAGTTTCAGGATAGAAACCAGTAAATATACAGAATTTATATACTTTATACAGATTGAAAGTTGTTTTTTTTCCTTCTTAGAGGTGTCAGACTGAATTATTTGCTGTTATATCGGTTGCCATGTTTTTTTAATAAACCATCAAGTTTCACGAACTGAGCAGAGATTTTCAAATCTATACCCAAATCAAAACCCAAACGAGTTTGCAAGAGCTGTAGCGTTTATGGCTAAAATTTAGTAATTCCTTGCTCAGCCCCTGATAATACCCATTTTATTGAAGAAACCTGTGTACAACCTTTTTTGTTGCCCTATTTTCTGGCGGCCATTACATGCGCAGGACACAGCTCTGGGTTTTAGATATGTTTCTGTAGCCAAGATATGTTTCTGTAGCAGAGTAGGCACAATGTCGTATAACTGTTACTATATTTATGTATGGTGTCATATTCTCCGTTAACACTCTCTGACTCTGTCATAGTTCCAAGATCACGTTAAATCATGTGGCAAATGCCGAGTGCCGTGCCGCTATCATGTTGTGGGATGTGCGGAGATGGTAAGTGACTGATTGTCTTTACACCTGTAGAAAGGGGGTAACACTGGACGTTCAGTGTGTTTAGGGGTGCAGGAAGAGCGTCCGGGAAATAATGCTGGCTGCGTTCTACACTTTAGATTCGGCTCCTGAGGAGAATATCTGCAGTAATTTAGCTGAGTTTAAGTTTCAGCTATGCAGTATCTCCTGCTCTTCCCCAGTCTTGTGATTGCCAGAGGGTTACAGAACGCATTACAGCACAGTCAAAGGGTTAAAGGCCAAGGTTAGTAGAGTTTTTTTTTTTTTTTAGGGGAGATTGGATAGACATGCCTGAAATTAATTTAAAGGGATTCTCCAAGCACCATAACTGCCATGTTTTATTGCGGAATATGTCCATGAAAACTTAGATTTTAGTTCCTTTGCAAGTTTGTTTATTGTGTTCTTTATCACTTTTATTGCAAAACATTTTTTTTTTATATATGTGTAATCGGATATAGCTGCAGCAGCATGAATAATACATTATATTAGATTCCATTCTTGTATTGAAGTACAATAAACAAATTAATAATAAATAAATAAAACCAAGAACCATAAAGGCGGTACGCAGGCCCACCGTAAATGATGCCTGGAGAAGGCAATATACAAACGATAACATTTGTTCCAAGATTCAAGGTCGACAGGCAAAAACATTCAAACCCAAAACCTAAAAAAAAAAAATTTCTACAGGAACTGATGTGGATCAGAAATGTATGGGAAATTTATCAAGGAAGGGCTTGGACGCCTTACTAACAATTATTTATCTCAGGTGCCAAAGTTCCAGCCCATTCCACAGGCAATCTGTAGGCTTCCAAATTAAGCCCCTACAGATAAAAAAGATTGGGAAGCATGGCGTGAGCAGGCAGTGTATACGCGCACTTTACACATGTTTTTGATGGTTTAATAGGGTAGTAAGGAATCTGAAAACTGCAGATTGAGAAGGAAATGCACTAGAATTAAGAGACTTTTCCATGAGTTTACAGTAAGCTGTAGTGGTTATGGTGTTTGCCATTTCCTTTTAAATATCTCAAACGTGGTAATGGATATTTGTATAATCCTATACCACATGGTTCTAAATTCACCATTGGTCTTTTAGTTTACCCACTCCTGGGTCGGTAAGAGTATTGATTGTAAAAACTAAGAAGAACTGATCATTCACATTTCTTTTACAAGTTCTGAAAAATGATCCATATCTCTTAAAGCCTTACAAGGATCGTTTCCCCAGGAAATCGATACATTTTAATGTGTGTATTAAATATCTCCGAACGGAACCCATTGCTGTACCTTTAACATGACTCAGAGTGACAGGGACATATACACAGTTGATGTTTTCTTTTCTGGTTATAGTGATGTGTAGCATCTTTAAATTATATTTCTTAAAGGTCAATTCAATAATGTTCCACCATAAATCTTTTCTGATGTTCTTAGGTGGAGAACGACAAATCTTTGGAACATGAAAACAAGAGCCTGGCTGAACACTTGGCGAAAGTACTTGACGTTATTCAGCAGAACAAAAAGGAGCATGTGGAGCTGTCCCACCGAATGGGTTCACTGTCTGTGCAGGGCAGCCCAGCTTCACTCTCCAGCAAGAACCCACCTTCAGCATTGGACCCATCCAAGGGATCGGATACACAGTGGCTGTTTGAAATGCTTGAGAAAAAGATGATAACGTTCGAGAACATAGTGTGTGTGCTCAACAAAGAGGTGGAACGGACGTCTTCCGTGGTGGAAGAGCTAATGAGGCAACGACGCTCTGATCAAGAAAAAATAGATGGCTTAAATACCAAGGTCAGCACAAAGAGACTGCAACATATTCCTTCGTTATCAAAGAATTTCCACATCATGCTTAATTATCAGATATAATAGGGGAGGGTGTTAGATCACAGGATGGGAGAAGGATTTCCGCTTAAAATTGAGTAATGGGCAGGCGGCGAGTATGTGAAATGCAATTTATGGATTCCATTAAATAATTTACTTTCACAGCATTGGTTACATTCAGCAAGAAGTTACACTTTCCAACAAAGCGATTGTATATACTTTCACTTTCATTACTCATCTTATCCAATGAAGCTTTTATAGCCCTGAAACCAGGAGACTGGGCTGGTTTGGCATTAGATTGATTTGATCAGCGAAACGTAAACTCGTAAATTCTATGTTGAAATAGAGAGCTTTTACTAGAAACTAAGATTTTACAGAAGATATGTTTGGGCTGACTCGCTTATAAAATAAATGCATATAGTGATTTACATCATTGTTAATTAGGCTGAAGAACATGGGATTCTAATGAACCAAATACTGTCTATCAAATCATTATGTAGCAAGCATGACCTGTTTAAACATTGGGTTGTAATTATTATTTTTTTAATAGCTGAGAATAACCTGTTCCTTCGCTGTAGATGAAGTCTCCTTCCCTTCTTAGTAGATGACCTGTTTGATCTTTGTACTGTTCTGTTCAGGAGATCACTTTGTATCCCCCCAGTGTAAATAAAGAGTTCATCAAAGGAAGATCATCTAACATATGTTTATCTTGTATATACTCTATAAACACCTCACAATGTTCTCATACCTTATTGATAAAGTTGGATGTTTTGTTTTGATTGGAAATATCAGCGAAGGCCTAGTATAGTGTGTCTAACCCTCTCTCGACCTTTTAAAATCCCACCAATGCAATCTTCCAAGATGAGTTTGACTTACACAATGTGATTGTCCTGTACCAACAGGTTCGGCAGTTGGAAAGAACCATTGGCCAGAAAGATGTTCTCATGACGGAAATGGAAACCCGACTTCAAGAGATCGATTTGTCGACCCACGATGGGATCTTTATCTGGAAAATCACAGATATCTCCAAGAAAAGGCAGGATGCCATTGTGGGTCGATGTCCGGCCATGTTCTCTCCTCGTAAGTTACCAGTCATGGACGATAATTCACCATGGTGTGGGGAAATCGAATGATCTGCAAATTTGTCTTAACACCTTGCTTCTTAGACAAGGCTAGGTTTTAATTATCGAACGTGTTGCATTATTTTTTTTTTATTATAATTTTTTTTTGAGTTCCTTTATTTAGGGTGGTGTTGCTGTAAATAGAAGTACTTAAGAGAACTGCTGGTTTACTAACCCCAGATTAGTAGCCTTCACTCTGTCTCACCAGAACGGCTCAAAACTCCAGCTCATTGAGTAAATGTATTCATTTATTTGACCAGAATAATTGGAATTTACATGGCTTTCCTTATCAAGATATTTTAACATAATGTATAAGGCGGACTGCAAAACAATTTTTTTTATTCTATCTTCAAGTAGAATGAGTCGTTCATCAAGTGTTTCTTGGCTAAATATGAAGTATGTATCTTGGCAATAAAAAAAATATTTACACTGCCCAACGCTGTACAAAGTTTTACTGCAGAAACCAACAGTAAACCATTGCGATTAGTGTTAGTTTTGGCCGCGTAAATTAACCTTCATATGGTTCCATTCTACCTCTAGCTTTCTACACCAACAAATACGGCTACAAGATGTGTTTACGCATTTACCTTAATGGCGATGGCACCGGTCGGGGAACACACATTTCTCTCTTCTTCGTGGTGATGAAGGGACCCAACGATGCCTTGCTACGATGGCCTTTCAACCAGAAAGTAAGTGTTATACCAAATTAATGGCCGTAAACATTGCGGGGACTGTTCACCATAGTTAATCATGTGAAATCCAGGGTGATATTATAGAAAAGGCTTTTGAAAATAGTTTTCTCTCTTGTTTTGCCATATCTGTTTCTATATGTATATGAATACATGGCTTCCGAAGGTTATATTATCTCGTTGATAAATAATTGTTTAGCTGCCAGCTGACTTTATTATTTAGCTCTAAAACGTTCTAATGAAACAATTTGACAGATGTCACCTTCAGCTGTACAAAGCATTCTGGGGCATTTTTTCACGTTCTTACTTTTTTATAAATAATTTTTCTGGCTGCAAGCCTATGCTCCCCAGTATACATCCCTGCTTAGATGGGGTGGGAGGTGTATTCTCTTTGAAGAATTAGGTGACAATTTGCATTTTATGCCACTGATTTTAATGTAAACAATCAGCACATCTCATCACGTATCATATGTCAGAGGTGTAAATTCTGCTTTGGTTATGCTGTATTTGCTAAAAATATATATATTTTTTTACAGATTTTAAACTTTCTGCAGTGCTCTAATACGTAATATTACCATTTAATGCAGCTCAAACCTTGCAGTGAACTTCTCACTTTCGTTTTATACACTCCTGTTGTACATTCAGCAGACACATGCGATTAGCTCTGTTTTGTATATGTTGCCAGCGGTAAATCCATTGTCTCAAGATCCCATCTGTGTATTGCCGTGCACATGCAAACTTTAAAGGGATACTCCATGCACCAAAATAACTATCTTAATGAAGCAGTGTTTGTGTATAAATTGTTCCCCTGTAACATCAGTGTTCAATTCTCAATTTATTAGTTAAATCACTTTGTTTACACAGTCCTAGCGTCACATCATCTGGCTGTAACGCACATACAGCCTCACTACAATACACTTCCTGTAAAGAGAGATGTAATTTTTAAACTACCTTCATTGCACAGTGTTAGTTTAGAAATTCATATCTCCTGCTCTGTTAATTGCCTTCTAGAGCATGCAACAGCCTTATGTATGTGATTAAAGTTCAATTAATAGAGCAAGAGATAAGAACTTCTAAAGTGAACACCTTGTGCTATCAGATCATCGAAAAGGAAACTTTTTTTTTCCCCCATGCAGGCTGTGTCAGTCACAGCCTAGAGAGGTGTGGCTAGGGCTGAATAAATGGAAACAAAATTGATTTAACTCCTAAGTGGCAGATACTTGAGCAGTGAGATTGCAGGGGCATAATCTATACACAAAACAGCTGTATTAAGCTAAGGTTGTTTTGGTGCTTGGTGTATCCCTTGGTGTGTCCCTTTGACTGCCCACTGCAGCTTTGTGGAGTGTGTGTCTCCTTGCACACCTTTTAGTATTTTATGAATGATAAATGCCAGAGAGACACTAAATAAAATAGATAACAGCAAATTTAATTATGGAAAAACTTTGATTCTTGTACGATAGATTTATTTTACCAGAGAAATGTCAGCATGTAGTTAAGGACGGGCACCCCGCCATGCATGCTGTATATATGACGTGATAATGGAAGCGTCAAGGTCGCAGCAATGTAATTAATTACTTTGTAACACTGCACCACTTCAAGGACAAAGTCAAGATCATTTCATGCACACAAACAAACAATCAGAGCTGGTTTATAATCCGTTAAAACATATAAAATAATATCAAAAGAGTGGGGTGTTTGTACTCAGACAACACTTAATCCTGTGCTTTTTGGATTATGGATATAATGTGGTAAACTGTCATTGTTTGTTTTATTAGTTCTAAACTTCTGCTTGTTCTTTCTAAAGGTCACCTTGATGTTGCTTGACCAGAACAATCGGGAGCATATGATAGATGCCTTCAGACCAGATATCACATCTTCTTCCTTCCAGAGGCCCGTCAGTGAAATGAACATTGCCAGTGGTTGTCCACTGTTTTGCCCTCTTTCCAAGCTGGAAGGGAAAAATTCTTATGTCCGTGAAGACACCATTTTTATCAAAGTCATAGTTGATCTCACTGGCCTCTAGTGATTCTTAGAGCTACACCAGTGTCCTTCCTTCACTTTTCATGGGATCCCTTGGAATACATAAGTCACCAGTTGCTGCAGTGCGATGTTCAGATGCAGTGCCATTTCTAAGAGGAGAAGCCACAGATATTTGCAAAGACCATCTGGAAATGAATGCTTGTGGTGACCTGTTGAAGCCTTCATTCTGTTCCGAGTGGAGTTGAGAATTGCAAGATGAAAGGAGAGCAATGTATTTAAAGATTTCAGAGGAGAATTTAAAGAACGAATCAAAGTTGGGTGGTGGGAATAAGCAAGTGATCATAGAATGCAGCAATGACAGGAATGTTGGGGGGGGGGCTGGTTAGATTTTGAGAAGGTGAGGAAGACGAAAGGATGGTGGGTGCAAGTTGTGAGACAAGGTTTGGTTATAGTGGATGGTGTGGGACAGATAAAATTTGGGAGTTAAAGCAGTGGAGAGTCAAAAAATGCAATAGCCAATAGCCATTTATTGGGCAGAGAATAGCTTGTAATATTATCAAGTTCAGTGATGCAATGCATCTGTACACATCAAATGCATGTACTCTCCCTTTTTGGAAGTTCAGAGAAATGTCTTCAGTTTCGTGGAGGAAAGAGAAGTGCAGATCTCGCCTATGAGATAACTATGCAATAGGCTCTGGCAAGGTAAAAAGAGTCGTTTTTCCTCTAGAAGATTAAATTACTGTCAGAAAAGAATTGATGGTCATTCATACCCTTTAGATGTAGATGTGTCCCATTCATAGTCAGTCCTGGAGAACGGGTTCTTTACTCGCTTTTGTTGGGTTTCTTATTGTCATAACTTCCCTATTGGAGATGCCAGATGAAAACCAAGAAGAGAGTTTTTGTTACTTGAGGAGACTTTCGTGGAGGTTGTCTTCTTCAAAAAGAACACCGCATTTATTATTTAGAAACTGTATCTAGTAATCCATCTATTTTGCATTTAATTTTCACAAAATGCCTCAAAGTATGAAGGTTATGTAGAGTCCATTTATGCCCCTCAGAAGTTTTTGGTTGGAGACCCAGCAGTTGACTAGGCTTTAGAGGTGCTCTTAAGCTTAACATTGTTTTTGTATTAAAATGACTCTACAAATCCTGATTTCCAAGCAGGGATGGCTCTAAAAGTGGATTTGCAAATTCCTTTCCAGCATTTGAGAAAATTATAAAATCTATTCCAGGAGTGAGAGTACGAACTGCGAGCTTCCCAAGTATGTAGAGAACATGCATTCTGCAATGTGTGCAAGATATTGGATCACGGAGTTCAATGGGTTTCTGTAAATATAACTTTACACTTAATATTTATCAGATGTAACTAGTTTCGTAAACTTGTATGTGATCAGCTATTGACCACATTTCTGTATCTGTGACCACAAGTATTAACGTGGTCTGGTGACATGTGACCTATATTAATGAGATGAGTTTATACCACATTGGGAATCCAATACACCTTTAATATACTGTGTAATTTATTGTCATTGTTCAAACAACCATACAGCTATACTCCAAGTACAGGAGTACAAACATGGATTCCTAACTTTGAAGTGACTTCCTAGCGAAATAGATTATTAGGCTCCATAAACAAATAAAATTAATACATCTTTAACCTTAGTTCCCACTGGCACGCCAATCTTGCTGAGCTCATCCCTTGGCTTCACAACGAGGCATTGGGGTTTAGGGTGTGTGCGTGGCAGTCGCAATCAGCATCTCATCTTAGAAATGTATTTAGTGCAGGTCTATGGGGAGCGTTCAGCACCCTCATGCTCACTGTGAAGACACAAGACGTAAGTCCTGCAAAGATTTCAGGACTGCAACAAAAAGCCTCCCTAGTGGCTGCCCGAGTGACTTGACAGATTGACTGTTTGAGTGACAGACACTAGAGGGAGCTTTAGGCAACAATGTAAACTCTGTCTTTTATCAGAAAAGGCAGTGTTTACAATTGTTAGCCTGTAGGGAAAGGCTCTCTACACCAGAACCATTACATAAAGCTAGTTCTGATAAACAAAGTGTCCCTTTAAGTGCCACATCCTTTAAATATATGTCATGACATAAACATGGGTAGACCATGTTTTGTTCCAAATTGGGGTTACCTCACTCAATCCTCTAAGGACATCTCATAAAATAAACATGGGTGGACCACGGTCAGTTTTATCTCACCTGTTAACGGGTAGATTCATAAGCAGCACTTCAAAACATTGTTATCCATACTTAATTTTTTTCTTTAGAGAGGACGGAGATTGCTACCTTGATCGTATCCCCTTGCCAAAGAACACCTTTCTCAAGTGGGCTTTATTAAAAAAAAACGCAGTCAGCAGGTTCAATGATACGTCTAGGGACGTTATACAATGATGTGCTGAGAAATGATCAGAGGGGTTCAATATCTAATCATCTAAATCAGTGGTTTCCAAACCAGTCTTTAAGTACCCCCTAACAGACCAGGATTGAGGAATTACCCTGTTGTGTCTAAGGTGTTTTTAGAAAAATAAAACACTTTAGACACAACATGGTAATCCCTAAATCATGTACTGGTATGGGGTACTTGAGGACTGGGTTGGAAACCCCTGATCTAGATTATTTTAATGGATATTTGGAGGGGGATCACTTCCTGGAGTAGTCCTCCCATTTTTACACATTGATGCGTGGCCAGGTATTAGAAGGAGGTGTCTGGGACATTCTCTGACCTCCTGGCTGTATGTATTTTTGTTCTCAAGTAGGCCTTGGGACTCTTTAACACTTTAACTGGAAAGATGATCAGGTTTTTGTGTAGTTAAAGTGGTTGTTATATGGTGATTTACTGGTGAATGGTGGTGTAGGATACTTCCCTGTTAGGAAACGCACAACCTGGATTAATTAATAGGGGCCGGGGGTTATTAAACCCCAGCGGGAGGAAGTGTTGGGTCTTCAGCAGAGGCTGGCCAGATCACAATGTGCATTTCTAGACCTTGATAGCAGATTAGACAGCAGGAGGAGATGCAAGGTTTTCCAAGACTCCTCGGGTTACCTCGTGGGTACATTGAGGAGTTGTGATCAGTGGATGTCTCTCCTGATCTCTGATGTTTTATATGTTACATTCAATCCATCGCATGTCACCCACCTCTTCTACAAACCAGTGAAAGTTAGTGTTGTACTAAACTTGGTGACCTACAACCATCTGTCATGCCAGCCATGCATAAAATCCACACTGGTGATTATTTTTACTGTTTTAATTTAAAAGTTAGTATTTAATCAATTAATTAAAAGCTCTAAATAAAAAGTTATTAATTCATTAAAAAAAAAAAAGTTATGAGTTGGCAGACATTTTTTTTTAAATATCTCTAAATTGTTCCTTGTAAGTCTCCAACAGTTGGATTGTGGGTAATGTTAATTAAACCAGATGTGATTGTGACACTGTCCTGTGTTTGTTCTTTCCCCCACGACACTTGCTTTTGTTTTTTGCCGTTTGACCTTCTGTGGGAATTTACTGCATTTGTTTCCCATTGTTTTCTTAGTTCAGCTGTTATGAAGAGCATAATTCATGGAAAAACATGAATGAAACTACACGTCAATAGCAGCCACAATTTGGCATTTGTTGGGCTTGAGAGTAGCTTCATTCATGCTTTTTTTTTTTTCCCATGAATGAAGCTATGTTCCATTCTGTATGAGCTATGAGAGCATGCTAACTGTTCACATGGTTGGTCATGATTTCCCTGGGTTGGTGGGGGCCAGTTGCGTTAGTTTAGCGGTTCTAATGAACAGAATAAACAAGGTCTGTCCACTAACCAGCTGCTGTACAATAATTCAAAGCATGTTTTTATTTATTTTTTTGAAAATCTGTTTATTGAAGAAAAGAGAGGGTTACAGAAAGAATTCGGCTCGCAGGCCTACTTAGAAGACAAGGGTATTGTAGCGATATTTCCATATTTTGAGTCACATTTTTTTGTGCCCACATAACCACGTCTCCTGACAGGGTTTAATTACAGCGATAAGTTACGTAACTAACAGTAGGCGTACATAGGATAACAGAAAGGTAAGGTATGTAGAGTGACAACCGTCATTGTTTTGGCGTACGTACATATGTATAGTATGTAACATCCTTATTGCTAGTAAGCGGACTTTTAACATAAAGCGTGGCTCTAAGTCGGGTGCCTTCATAAGACACAGTATACTTTGTAGCAGGAGTGCCTAATAATAGGCTGGACATAGTTAACTAGCTCCTGGCATGAAAGGAGCATAGGCGCTTTGGTCTTAAGGTTAGGCTTGGTTATCCTATGGGTGTGTTCCCATGTCCCGCAATTCGATGTACCGATAATAGTGCCAGTATTATGTATTCCTTTTTTTTTTTGGCTTTCTTGACTCTTGGCTTCCCCCTCCTCCCCCTGTCCCCCAGGCGTGTGCATTGTGTATCAGACATGTAAGAGGGGTCAGCATGGGAAAGAGTGTCGAAAAGGGAGAAAAGAAAGTAGCGGTCCTATCAGGTTCCCCTCCCCCCCTTGTCCCCATATCGCGTCCCGTGGGTGCCCAGTGGTTATAGTAGCGTGCGAGAAGGGAAGTCTCGGTTGGGTCACGTATTTTCAGCGTTTCGGAATGTGTGTGGGAGGGTTGGGTCGGCGGGCCGATGTTGGTTTCATCTGCCCAGGGATTATATTTCCAGTGATAGAGTGGTCCCAACCCCCACGGCTTTGGCGGGGTAGGCGCGTGATCTGTCTCCCCGTCCACCGTAACTCCCTCCCCCCTCACGAGACCTTTAGTGCCCTCCAGCCTGGTAGACGAACCATGGTTGCCACATCTCCGCGTGCCTGGTCCCCCGACCCGTCAGGGATGCCTGTAGTGCTTCCGCCAACTGTATGTCTCCGACTCTGTTTCGCCATTCTGCAACCGTGGGGACCTCAGTTCGTTTCCAATATACAGGGATAAGGGCTTTAGCTGCATTCAATAGGTGACGTAGGATGGACTTCTTGTAACAAGATATGGATCGCGAGGTGATGTGCAGGAGAACTAGTTCCTTGGACCATTCCGTGTCCTCCCCTAGTACCTCTTTGATTTCAGACCGAATTCGTTCCCAATATGGGATAATGATCTTACAATCCCACCAAAGGTGTATGATCGTGCCTCTCTCCTCCTGACATCTCCAGCATGTTGGGGACGCCGTTGGGAAGATCCTGTGTAGGGCAACTGGTGTTCTATACCACATGGATATCAGTTTATAGTTTACTTCCTGATAGTGTGAGCTGGAGGAACTCTTGTGTTGCCATAAAAGTGCTGCGTCCCACTGTGATTGCGATATCGGTTCGCCCATTTGTTCTTCCCATTGTCTCCTGAAGGTGTTGTTAGTTGGGGTAGCTCCCAACAGCAGGTGTTGGTATAGCAGTGAAATTGCTTTGTCGAGTGTGGCGCCTCGTTGGCAAAGACCCTCAAACCATGTGAGGTCTCTATGTAGGTGTTCCCTGCGTGGAATGGATCTATAGTAGTGTGTTAGTTGCAGGTAGCGGAGGGACGCCATGGGCGTATTAGGTCTGTCGGCCATTAATGTGTTTAGGGGTCGAAGTGCCCCTTCTTGGAGGACCGTTCGAATCGGGATGTAGTCCCCCCCTCCAGAAATATCCAGGCCTTGGCCGAAATGCCTCCCGCCAGATTTGGGTTGGGGACTATGGGGAGCAGGGGACTGGGGGTCGGGGACACATGGCTGGTTTTCCGTATCGTTGCCCAAGTCTTCAGCGTCTGCGTCGTCGGGTTCCCTGCTCCTTCGCCATCGCGACACCTTGGTCCCCCTTGCCATACCGCCGCTTTAAGTGTGGCCCGTGATTCTCCCCCATCCAGGACGACCCATTGTTTTGGGGAATCAGCCGCGTGCCACTCCAGGATTCGTTGAAGTGTGGTGGAAAGCATGTTTTTATTGACCAGAAACTCACTAGAAAACGTGCCATCAGAGCTGGTCCCCAGGGAAGTCTAAAAACCATACTTTCATACTTCCAAGGTCAATACAGTGAACACCATTAAGTTGGGCAACGGCATCCTGAACCCAGGACCTGCTTGGAAACTAGCGACAAGCTGAAAATACCTTTTAATATTATTTTAAGCAGGTCTTCCTTACCCTCTCCTAGTCGTCCTGCAGTTGCCTTTTAACTGTGCATCCCATTCCCTTTCAGTTCTTTAATACTCCCGCAACAGAGTAAAATGGGTTCTATTCTTAGTATGTCACAATAATCACACTCTGAATGGTAAATGGATATGATCAAACTATAGTTAGCGCTATAACTTATGGAATGAGCACAAGTAGTTGTGGAACATTCAATTTTAACACCTTGTATAATATCAATTTTAAGTAATTTTTCTTTAAGTAGTCCGATTTTATTTTTTCCGCAAAAACCTTAAACAGATACTACTAGCACCATAGCCACTACAGTGTGTTTTGGTTATGGTGCCAGGAGTGTCCTGGTGTTATCCCTACCCCCCTTCCATTAGCTCTCCTGATGGCTATAATGGAGGCAGGGTTTGACTACTAACGGTAAAACAGTTTGAATACTAACAAAGGGAGAGCACCAGGGCACACCTTGCACCATAACCACTACAGTGTGCTGTAGTGGTTGTGGTGCTTGAAGTGTTCCGGTAACACTGCATAAGGCATATGTGTAAATGCTAACATTTTTACAGGTATCACTTATTATTAATTGTATCTATTTATTTATTTAAACGAGAACTTTCAAAGTATCGCTGAGAAAAACTCGTTCCCAGTCTCGTAATGACAGAAAATGAAAGCAGGATTATCTGAATTCTCAAGGGACTGCATAATAATGCTTGATAATAATGGACAAATACACAAATCAGGAATTATGGGAATACATTGTAATAACAAGATTAGTACACCGTATAGCAAACCGCAAGTTACTTCTATGACTTGCGCTACTGTGAGGATCCTTTGATTTGTCAGTGACTTGACGCAGTGTATGCAACAATATCTGAAAGTGAGATGGGGAAATTAGACTGAAAAACGTACAAGCATGGCTTTAAGAATGCAAAGTATAAACTACAAATCCTGGATAACCGTTGCTAAAGATACCATAAGAGCTTACAATGCCGGATCAAGGGCATTAAAGATTAAAAGTTCTGATATGTTGTTATATTGTGTTATATAGTAGTTAATCTTTTTAATTTGTGTGATAAGTAAGATGATAGAAATAATCTCAGCATTACAATATTTGTGTTCCTTGTGTTACAGTGCCACTATAGACAGGCGCAGAGCTCTTTTTAAATGTCATATAGACGATGCATTAAGTAAAATGTAAATAAAATTCACAGTGTTAAAGTGCTACTTCGAGCAAGAAAAGCGTATAGTCTGCTGTAGTGGTTATAATGGACTCTTGGCCCTGCAGTGTGGCAAACCGTTTAAACAAACCCTTACCTACATCCCTACTGGACTCTGATGCTACGTGGCGGTCCGGTAACATGGTTCTGGTTTCGGCAGATCCACAGAAGCTGCGTCCATCGCCATTCATTGGCTGAGAACATCAGCCGGCCAGCAATGACCATCTTTCTGTGCAAGAAAGTTATACAGAATTGACATTAGCCAGCTTGGAACTGGTTGATGTCACCCCAACATTTCATAGTGAAAAGCTGCACATACAGACTTCAGGCACCATAACCACTTCAAATTACTTAATTTTCTTTTAGTAAAAGTCTCAATCTACAGTTTTACTCTGCAATAATGATGATTGCATTTGCTTGATAAACTGAACGGAGCCACACTGCAACTTATATCAGTTTATACACATCTATGTTTACAGGTTTTTTCCTGGTCTTACTGTGCATGCACACTACTGTGACTCAGGCTCTCATCAGTGGAGGAGAGAAGTCTGCCTCAGACACCCAAACTTGTGTTTTCCGTACCTAACTGCATGTTATATAAGTAGCAAATACCATAAGGCATCTAATTACAGGAATAGAAACAGTATATGGTTGTATTGTGTTGTATTTTTAACTTTGTATCTGTAACATGGTTCATATCATAGACTTACTCCCCTACTATGACACAGACTGTCTCTCCTTAGTTATTATAATGTACCGAACAGAAATGCTGCGTTAGAGCGTCTCACAAGTACTATATTTTTTTATTTTATTTTTTTAAAGTACCTGTTATTTTGTAATAAAATATTGCATGTTTTTATATCTAATAATCGTAAATAAAAAATAATAAAGGTTTGAAATTCAAGTAGCAGCTTTGCCTTGTCTTTGTTTTGTATGCAGTTTTTAGAATTGTGTGAACGGCTCATTTATTGCATTAAATTTCTCGCACACTGTCCCAGTAGAAAGTAATATTATACAGAATATATGGTTTGCAAGAGAGTTTGTTTTTACATTTATTGTCCCAAAAAAATAACTGGCTTCCAAAAAAATTCTTCTTACCTGTAGACCGACTGTAATTTGTATCCTGACTAGAATGGCGGAAAGCATTCATTCACAATACAGGTGTGATTACCAATGGGTCGGATGTTATTGATGTATATTTTCTCTGTAAACTTGTTTATACGTCACTAGCATTCTGTGCTGAGTGGATTAACCTTTAACGGGAGCCCAGCTGTGTTACATATCGGCGGAAGGTGTTTCTATTTGTGTCCGTCTTTCAGAGCCAGAGGTGTGGTGTTATTACTTATGCAAACAGTTGTGAACAAGCTAACCCTTGTGACAAAGCACAATTAGACAACATACTCAATAAGCAGACCATACAGATTAATTGAAAAAGAAAATGTCACTCTCTGCGTCATGAAAAGACAGACACAAAGCAATGCCTTCTGCATCTCGCAACATATCAATAACACTACGTTACACATTATAATGTTTATGGGCTGCTTCTAACTGTACATTTTGCCTTCAAATTAGCAGAAACTGTGTTACCATATTAGGCATTATGGGCCTAACTTTACAGTCACCTTATTAGATAGAACGAGCCTCGCTATACAATCTCCTTATTGGATAGGACGAGCCTCGCTATACAATCACCTTATTGGATAGAACAGGTTTCGCTATACAATCACCTTATTGGATAGAACGGGCCTCGCTATACAATCACCTTATTGGATAGAACGAGCCTCGCTATACAATCACCTTATTGGATAGAACGAGCCTCGCTATACAATCACCTTATTGGATAGAACGAGCCTCGCTATACAATCACCTTATTGGATAGAACGGGCCTCGCTATACAATCACCTTATTGGATAGAACGGGCCTCGCTATACAATCACCTTATTGGATAGAACGAACCTCGCTATACAATCACCTTATTGGATAGAACGAGCCTTGCTATACAATCACCTTATTGGATAGAACGGGCCTCGCTATACAATCACCTTATTGGATAGAACGAGCCTCGCTATACAATCACCTTATTGGATAGAACGGGCCTCGCTATACAATCACCTTATTGGATAGAACGAACCTCGCTATACAATCACCTTATTGGATAGAACGAGCCTCGCTATACAATCACCTTATTGGATAGAACGAGCCTCGCTATACAATCACCTTATTGGATAGAACGGGCCTCGCTATACAATCACCTTATTGGATAGAACGAGCCTTCGGTATACAATCACCTTATTGGCTGTTACGGCTCTCACTATACAATCAGCAGGCTCTCTGTATTACTATACACAGCACACATACAAGGGGTTAATCACTATAGGCACAGCACACATACAAGGGGTTAATCACTATAGGCACAGCACTCATAGAAAGAGTTAATACAAAAATTTTGTTCAGAACTGCATTTTATACATAACTTCAGAGTTTGCAGATTCCACGCAGATGCCATCGTGTTTCTTCTAGAACAATTAAAAAAAAAAAAGTAAAATGAATGTCAGTATGGCAAGTATGTAATGCCAGGAGCAACGTGCCAGCACCAAAATGTATACAAATAGCTGAAATAAAAATGCTGTTTATAAAACCGTGTGTCGCTATGTCCAGAAATGCGTAGAACACCAATACATCGCGCTGAACGTCTTCTCACAGTCTGGACAGTATGACTAACAATGAATGGACTTCACAGAACAGCGACGATATTAAGTACAGTCTCGTGTCCCACAAAGTACCAGGGCTGCTTGAATGGTAAACTTTCCCCTTTTAGAAGGAAACTTCACTGTCCACAAATCAAATCACTGTTTAGTAGCTATACCCCCAATGAAAATATATGTGGAATTAAATGCGTGCATACATTTATTGGGGGCATATTGATTTACATAGTTTGCCCACTTAACTGGATCCTGCTGGGCTCCTCCTCTTGGAAGGCACATTTATGACATCTGGCATCTGCTGCTCATTGATTGGCTGAGGGCGTCCAATGAATGAGTGTTTGTGCATCTAAATTTGCACAGAACTGACATTAGCCAGGTGGGTAATGATCCCCAATGATGTTGCCGATGGTGGAGATACACTTTCGGCAGCAGATTTGTTTAACTCCACATGTGCAGCGTTTAAAAGCAAGATGCAGTACAGACTTCAGGCACCATGACTACTTCAAGTCAATGAAATGGTCATGGTGTCCGGAGTAACCCTCTACCATTGCTGCATATTACTGAACAAGTAAAAATATTTTGCTATAAAATGTCCATCCTGCTGGAAGTGATTAGCCAGATACTTGATATCAGTCGCGTTGCAGCCTCTTGCTCCAACCCTTTTTTGTACTAAATAGAATAATGCTCTTGGGATTATTCTATTAGTTACCCTACAAACACACTTAAATCAAAGCTTTTACTTACATTAATACAGTACCGGGCAAAGCCCTAGGTGAGACATGCAGAGGCTCAATACAGGCTCAGGGTGCATGTGCGCGCTCTGATTCCACAAGGCGAGGGAGGGATTAAAAAAAATAAAATATATATATATAGAAGCGGAGTGGATAGAGAGGCGGGTAGCACTAAAATCAGTGTGGGATGGAGGAGAGGCAAGAAAGTTATGTCTGTCGGCAGCATGCAGTTCACGCTGACAACAGACATTAGAAAGCTGATGGCTGAAACATCCAGGCTCCTAGGGATAGACCGAGTATCGGATTATTCCATATTTTGGCAAATAAATCGGTATCGGCCACTATTGATACAGATATTGCCAATAATGTTAGAGACGGCAGTGGCCCAGCGCACGCAGAGCCGGTCGCCTTAGGGGGCACTGGCTATGGAGGCGCAACAATAGGGTTACCAGCGGGAAGACACCATGTCAGGCTAAATGGCGGACATGGAAGACTACTCCCGCCGCAACAACCTCAGGCTGAGAGGTATAGTGGAAACGGTCGGCGTGGTGGAGCTGCATGCCCACCTGCAAGGCCTGTGTAAAACTCTGGTCCCAGATATGCATCAAGACATGCTACTACTAGACAGGTACCACAGGGTCCCAAAACCCAGATTCCTCACCACGGAGGCACCAAGAGACGTATTGGTGAGGCTACACTACTTCCATGTGAAGGAAAACATAATGAGGGCAAGCAGACAACGCCCCAACCTACCACCTCCATATCAGGGGACCACGATATATGCGGACATTTCAGCAGCCACGCTACAAAAGAGGAAAACCTTCTCTGGCGTTACAGAACAGCTCAGAATCCATAAGAAACCGTACAGATGGGGCTTCCCGGTTAAGCTGCCAATCACCCACGACGGCAAGACCATCCCAGTCATCAGCGAATGGGGCCTACCGCCGCCGCAACAGCAACCCACTACGGCAAACCATGACCGACCTATCCCAACGTGGAAGAGGGTCCCCAAGCACGGACAGAGGAACCACACATAAACCGCCGAGCGCGGCAAGTATCATTAGAGAGACCCTGGGATTGATAACACAATGGGAGGGTGCTGACAACAAAGAGATGGGGGGCTTGAGAATGCCAAACATGCCCCAACATAACCAAAGTGGGAGAAAAAAAAAAAAGAGAAAAAACCCACTGGGGACACTTAAGGGAACACAGCACCCAAATGGCTAACAAAAAAATATAACCAATTGGACAGCTAGAGAGGGGAGAAAGAATATGGGAACGAAATAGCCAAGGCCTAGACCGAGTTGCACAGGCATGGAAGCAAGTAGCTTCCTACCCCGATGCGCCTATCATTGGCGCCAGGCCACACATGTGGCAAAATGTTTAGTTAAATGTTGGATTGTTTATTTTATTATGTTAAATTTATGTGAATCACCTTGTACATACACGATGGCTACACTAACTCAGCAAACCACCAAAGCTGGTGTAGGCTGCAAGCCCTAACCAAATACCCACCCCCAATAGGGAGATGCCACCCGGGTCGATGATGCTGGGAAGGGAGGCACCCCCGAATGTGGCAGAACCAACCTCGCCACTGGGCATTGGAGAAGCCTGTTTGCCCGCCTCCTGCCTGTTGACTATGGCCCCTGGGCGATTTGACACTTTAAATACATGATTTGGGCATAATGGATTTGTGTTGTGCTACTGCTGGCCCTTTAAGAACCATCTGGGGACATACTGTGGAGTTACTGGGTGGCCACCATTTCATGTATCAGAGGCAAATGGTGAGAACAATGGATGAAGCACATGGTGAGAACAATGGATGGCAGCCATTTTAACTCACAGACACTGTGTGGACTTTTCTACACGGTGCCATCTTGCCGGTATTTGGTGCACAGAGACATCGTGCAGTAGTTTTAAACTATACAACAGGGGACACAGTATACAGTAATTATTTTTTATATAATCTGTATATGTTCTGTGGAATCTGCATTAAACTATCTTCCAAAGTACTGAATGGATCTGGGTTAATTTTAGATATGTGGTTCACCCATATCCCCAAGGATATACTTTTTATGGGGTTATTGCATGTTTTGGGGTCCCTGTGATATGTTTTATAATACTGTATTTCTCTGCCTGTGATAATTATATTAACCATTGTGTTCAGTAATCATATCACAGGCAGAGGGGAGGATTTTGTGTGGGAGTGTCTGTGTGTATTTTACGGATTGATTGGCTGTGTTTCAAAACCCTGTGGGCAGTACTATATTTGTGAATAAAAGAGGCTGTATGTGCCAGTCCAGTCAGTTCTGCTTGACCTCAAAACGAAGTGTCGTCTCGTTATTGGGGGGATTGGATTGTATGCTGATTGCCAGGAGTGTAAGCTGATTGTATGTTTTTCCTGTTCAGCTGCTTACAGCATTCATATGCTTGAGAACATTTATATGCTTCTCCGGTTTGGTGGTTGGGGTGTCTGCTGCAGTGCTTGGAGTCCTCAGGAAGCACTTCAACGGAGGTACCCAGTCGGGGTGCCAGGTGATCCCTTACACCGAACGATAGAGAAATAGCGACACTATCAAGCACACACAATATACACACACACACAGAACAAAGGGGCTTAACCACCCATTAAAACGGGGCCTACTTCGTAGAGACCTGATCAAACACAAACCAGACGTAATTTGCCTCCAGGAAACCCACTTTAAGACCAACGCACACTCGCCCCTGCTGCCACGGGACTACCCGCACCAATATCACGCCACCAACACAAGCAAATCCAAAGGCGCTCCATACTCATTAGCAAAGACATAGCATTTAGTCTCTCACATCTGGAAATAGACAAGGAAGGGAGATATGTCATAGTAAGGGGGACCTTCAACGACCTAGAATATACAGGGAGTGCAGAATTATTAGGCAAGTTGTATTTTTGAGGATTAATTTTATTATTAAACAACAACCATGTTCTCAATGAACCCAAAAAACTCATTAATATCAAAGCTGAATATTTTTGGAAGTAGTTTTTAGTTTGTTTTTAGTTATAGCTATGTTAGGGGATATCTGTGTGTGCAGGTGACTATTACTGTGCATAATTATTAGGCAACTTAACAAAAAACAAATATATACCCATTTCAATTATTTATTATTACCAGTGAAACCAATATAACATCTCAACATTCACAAATATACATTTCTGACATTCAAAAACAAATCAGTGACCAATATAGCCACCTTTCTTTGCAAGGACACTCAAAAGCCTGCCATCCATGGATTCTGTCAGTGTTTTGATCTGTTCACCATCAACATTTGCGTGCAGCAGCAACCACAGCCTCCCAGACACTGTTCAGAGAGGTGTACTGTTTTCCCTCCTTGTAAATCTCACATTTGATGATGGACCACAGGTTCTCAATGGGGTTCAGATCAGGTGAACAAGGAGGCCATGTCATTAGATTTTCTTCTTTTATACCCTTTCTTGCCAGCCACGCTGTGGAGTACTTGGACGCGTGTGATGGAGCATTGTCCTGCATGAAAATCATGTTTTTCTTGAAGGATGCAGACTTCTTCCTGTACCACTGCTTGAAGAAGGTGTCTTCCAGGAACTGGCAGTAGGACTGGGAGTTGAGCTTGACTCCATCCTCAACCCGAAAAGGCCCCACAAGCTCATCTTTGATGATACCAGCCCAAACCAGTACTCCACCTCCACCTTGCTGGCGTCTGAGTCGGACTGGAGCTCTCTGCCCTTTACCAATCCAGCCACGGGCCCATCCATCTGGCCCATCAAGACTCACTCTCATTTCATCAGTCCATAAAACCTTAGAAAAATCAGTCTTGAGATATTTCTTGGCCCAGTCTTGACGTTTCAGCTTGTGTGTCTTGTTCAGTGGTGGTCGTCTTTCAGCCTTTCTTACCTTGGCCATGTCTCTGAGTATTGCACACCTTGTGCTTTTGGGCACTCCAGTGATGGTGCAGCTCTGAAATATGGCCAAACTGGTGGCAAGTGGCATCGTGGCAGCTGCACGCTTGACTTTTCTCAGTTCATGGGCAGTTATTTTGCGCCTTGGTTTTTCCACACGCTTCTTGCGACCCTGTTGACTATTTTGAATGAAACGCTTGATTGTTCGATGATCACGCTTCAGAAGCTTTGCAATTTTAAGAGTGCTGCATCCCTCTGCAAGATATCTCACTATTTTTGACTTTTCTGAGCCTGTCAAGTCCTTCTTTTGACCCATTTTGCCAAAGGAAAGGAAGTTGCCTAATAATTATGCACACCTGATATAGGGTGTTGATGTCATTAGACCACACCCCTTCTCATTACAGAGATGCACATCACCTAATATGCTTAATTGGTAGTAGGCTTTCGAGCCTATACAGCTTGGAGTAAGACAACATGCATAAAGAGGATGATGTGGTCAAAATACTCATTTGCCTAATAATTCTGCACTCCCTGTACTATAACAAATGTATACGCCCTCAATACGGAACAAAGGAACTTCCTACACCAAGCACTTAAGAAAATAGAACCCGTAAAAAGGGGAATAGGAATTATATGTGGAGATTTTAACCACGTACTAGACCCTACGATAGACACCTCAACCGTGCACACCGCAGCTAGGATGAGACCACTAAAGAGACAGTCAAAAGCGATAAACAAACTACTTCATGAACATCATTACTACGACGTGTGGAGGGCAACGCATGTGGGGGAGAGAGGATATACTTTCTTCTCCACAGCGCATAACTCATACTCTAGGATAGATGGAATACTAATAACTGGCCAACATGTGGACCAGGTTAAAGCATGCACCATAGAACAGATTACCTGGTCAGACCACGCCCCAGTAGTGACAACTCTAGCTGACCTATATGCAGGGCCGGATTAACATAGGGGCTGATGGAGCTGCAGCTCCAGGCCCAGGCCTATGGAATAGGCCCATTGATTTATTAAAAAAAAAAAAAAAATTATTTTTTTTTTTTACATTTTTTTTTTCACACTCTACTCTTAGGGATTCCACCTGGCTTTTATTTTATTGGCACAGCCAGTATTTGAGGCTGCCTGGCTGGTGCCAATATTACAGTGATACTGCCAATACAAATGTTTTCTCAGTATAAACAAGCGATTACTATGCAACACCAGCACTGGCCAGTAGGGGCCGCTGTGTGTGGAGACAGGCAGGGATAGGAAGTTCCAGCATATCCCTCCCTGCCTATCTATACTTACTGATCTGCAGGGGTGCAGCTACAGAGAGTCCAGACAGCAACTCCCACCCTGCAGAGACAGCCTACAGCTCAGGGAAGTAAAGGATGGGGGGAAAGGCTGCAAGGAGACATGGGGACACTGAGACACTAATGGACACTGGGAGACATTATGACACAGACACATGGGGACACAGTGTCCCCATGTCTCCCAGCCAGTGTCCCTGGTGTCTCAGTGCCCCCTAGTCTCCCAGTGCCCCCAGTCTGCCAGTGTCTCACTGTCCCCATGTCTCCAAGTGCCTCCATGTCTCCCAGTGCCTCAAGTGTCTCAATGTCCCTATGTCTCCAAGCTAGTGTCCCTAGTGTCTGTGGCCCTGGTGTCTCCTTGTCCCCATGTCTCCCAGTGCCCCCATGTCTCAATGTCCCCATGTCCCCCAGCCAGTGTCTCTAGTGTCTGTGTCCCTATGTCTTCAAGTGTCCCCTATTTTCCCAGTGTCCCCATGCGTCCCAGCCAGAGTCCCCTAGTCTCCCAGTGTCACTGGTGTCTCTGTGTCCCTAGGTCTCCCCGTGTCCCCAGGTCTTCCCGTCTTCCTAGTGACATGGGGACCCTGGCATACATGGAGACACAGGGAGACATGGGGCATTGAGACACTGTGATACATAGGATCACTGGAAGACCTGGGGACACGACAGTAGGGGACACTGGGAGACATGGGGCACTGAGACACTGATACATAGGAACACTGAGACCTGGAGTAATCGACACATGGGGCACTGGGAGACATGGGGCCACTGGGAGGAATCCATCCATACAGCAGACTCAAACTAAGTAGTTTTTTGGTGATTTTACAGCATTTTCTCTTATGTCACTCCTTGTGATTTACATCATGTGATGTCACCCATACATATTTAATTATGCAAATTAGTAAGGCTGGCATGTTTTTCCAAGAAAGGTGGCAACCCTAACTACTTTTCACATACTCTTACTTAAGTATGGAAACTTAAGAGGGATGTATGGGAACAAAACTTGTGTGAATATAGTTAAAGGGACACTAGAGTCACCAGAACAACTACAGCTTATTGAATTTGTTCTGGTGAGTAGAATCATTACCGTCAGGCTTTTTGCTGTAAACACTGTCTTTTCAGAGAAAATGCAGTCTTTACATTACAGCCTAGTGATAACTTCACTGGTCACTCCTCAGATGGCTGTTAGAGATCCTTCCTGGGTCATGGCTGCCTACAATGCATCCAAACATTCAGTGTCTCCTCCCTCTGCATGCAGACACTGAATTTTCCTCATAGAGATTCATTGATTCAATTCATCTCTATGAGGAGATGCTGATTGGCCAGGGCTGTGTTTGAATCATGTTGGCTCTGCTCCTGCTCCTGATGCTTTGTCAGTCTCAGCCAATCCTATGGGGAAGCACTGTGATTGGATTAGGCCACCACTTCTAATGATGTCAGCAGACTGCTTGTTTTTCTGAGTCTAACAGCATGCAGAGTTACAGCTTCAGGCTTGAATACAGTAAGATTGTGCTATATTTATGGAGGCATGAGGGGCCCAGGGGGGCTAGATGGTGGTGTTAACACTATAGGGTCATGAATTCAGGTTTGTGTTCCTGATCCTATAGTGATCCTTTAAGGTAATGCGGACTTTGGTCTCTCTAACACTGTGGCATGTTCCCTTTCTTCTACACTCACTACATACAGCTTTTCTCTGTCCCAGACTATATACCAGGAGCTTCTGCCTGCTAGTAAGAAGGTAAGGAGACAAGTGGACCAGCGAGTGCTAGGGGACAGTCCTTAGAAAGCATTGAGCGAGCGCATCATTAGATGCATTTATGCCAAGCTCAGGGTGCTGTCTGCATAGTATGCCCTTAGTTGGCCAGCTGCATGATTGGCAGACAGCCTGACATGCATTCATACCAGGCTGGCCTTCTAATTCTTTTGGCAGACATATCCTCTTTTTGGGCATGTTTGCCCCTTTTGGCAGGTTACGTGATTTGTGTAAGTGGCACGCCCTTTTACCATGCCCATTGACTTCCTGCTTGACTGGACACTGCTGTTAGGGGTTATGGATTTACTTGAAAGATGAAAACATAAATTAGTGAGAGATTAGCCTAGGGTATGTGTTTTCTTATAGCTGCTGTTTTCTTTCTCTCCAGCACCATATCCATCAGATACATGACGCTTGGGAGTGTTTTACTGTTTTTGGTCGATATGATTCTGTAATAAGGCCCATCATAATTGTCAGCACCAGGCCCACTGGGCTCTTAATCTGGCCCTGCCTATATGAATCCATACATAGGAGCCCGTGGAGACTGAATGACTCCTTGCTCACAGACCCGCAATTCACAAAAACAGTAGAAACAGAACTGGAGCACTACTTCACTGAAAATGCTACAGACCACATGTCACACAACACCATATGGCAAGCGCACAAAACAGTAATGAGGGGAAGGCTGATACAGAGAGCAGCTCATCTAAAAAAGCAAGCGCAAGCACAAACAAGGGCTTGGCAAAACGAACTCCAGGGCTTAACGGCTCAAAATCCACGGGCCCCAACACAGGAATTGAAAAACCGAATGCCGATCGAATGCTGGAGATGTAAGGGGAGGGAAGGCTCGATGAGCCACATATGGTGGTCATGCAAAAACATTAAACCGTTCTGGAAAGAGGTGGAGAGGGTGGCGACAGAGATGCTGGGTAGAACTTGGCCCATAAACATAGAACAAGGCATACTATTCATGATACCAACAACACTAGGGAAAACTGAAGAGAGGTTGATATTCCACCTTTTAATATCAGCAGTGACCATTATAGCAAGAGCATGGAAGTCAACACAGACACCCACCAGAGAAGCCCTAATAACCCAAACATCTCTCAACTGGAAATATGAGCAAATGGCAGATAAACACATAGGGCAGAGGAAACACACGAGTCAAGCGGGGAAGAGATGGAGATCGTACCTTAGCGCACAACCAGGTCAACACGGGGGAGGGTAGGAGACCAGGGGCTAGGAAGGAGGGTGGAAGGGGGGACGGAATAACGAATAGAGGGGATCACACAACAAGTACAAAATTCACAACCATAACGAAAACACAAATACCGACAAGAAGGGAATTGGAGAATTCCCAAAATAACCTATAGAAAGACCAGAATTGCGAACTAGAAAAAAAAAAAAAAAAGTGTTGTGTATTGGAGATAAAGTGTAACACTGGAATTGTATTTAACCCCAATGATGTAACGAAATGTCCTGCATAACTCCCACTCTTCCTTTTCTGTACCCTGGTGGGCAGGCGCCGCAAAATAAACAATGTGATTCACTAATAAAACCAAAATTTTAAATTGAAATTTTTTTTTTTTTTTTTTAATACCGGTCGATCCCTGTCTAGTACCATAACCACATCAAATAACTGAAGTGGTCATGGTGGTTGGATTAACCCTATACACTTGACTTAAAGGAACACTAATATTAGGAATACAAATGTGTTCGAATGTTACAGTGATCTAGGGACTAGTTGGATGAATTACCCCCCCAGTATCAAAATAAAGATTTCTACCTTTTAGACCAGTATTGCTCCTCCTCTAGTTGTGATTATTCTTGTATACGATCTCAGCCAATCCAATGCTTGCCATTCGCCCTGCTGCACAAATCAGCATCTTCTCACAGAGATGTATTGACTCTGTGCATCTCTATGGAGAGTGTTCATCACCTTTTTGTGGAGTTTGAACACACGGAATAACAGTCCTGCAAATATTCCAGGACCGCACTAGGAAGCCCCTCTAGTGGCTGTCTGTCACTCAACTAATCAGTCGCTAGAGGTTGCATTAGGCGACAATATAAACACCAGAACCACTATATTAAACTATCATGGTTCTGGTACGTGGAGTGTCCATTTAAAACCACCAAGGCTGGGAGTCACAGACTGGTGCAATGGTAAATGGTTGATATAACCTGATCTTTTAGAAACTTACATTTTTCTTTTAAAACAGTCTCGCACTCAAAAAGGCTAAACCTCAAACAGTCTTGCTGCTGTGTAACACTAAGCCCCTTGGATACAAACTGCAACAGAAATCTGTTTGTTGGTTGTTCTGTCTGAGCTTGGATGATGTAAAAGACTGAAATCGTTGACAGAACCCTCCTATCCTTTGACGATTGGGTAGAAAGGCCCGTTCACTCTAATATAATACCGGCACACAGCTTCTGGATAAACTATACATATACGCACACACACAAACACAATGCTTCCATTTACAAAGATTAACTGAATAAAATAATACAAGGTCGCTAGGTATTCAAACAGATCATTTATTCGGCAGGTAAGTGGGAACACACCAAATGTTACAATTGACACAATGCTTTGCAATGCCTGTGACTACACAATAGACAAGGAGAGGGGATTGCGTGGGTGCTTAGTGGATGGTTGAGAGTTGCGAGCTTGGAAACCAGTGACTGGCATCAGTTTCTGATAGAGGTGCTGCCATACTAGAATATTGAGAAATGTTAACATAAAGGAATGTTTGGCACAGATATAAAACAATATTAATCGGATCTCAGTGGACACGTGTCCTAGGGTTTCCCACCATGGTGAGGGTTGAATGGGACCTATGGTCGATGTTTTAACCAAGCTATCTCTAAGTAGGTACGAATCCATACTACAAATGGAGTGTATTATAACCGACTTGCTCTAAACTATCACAGAGCCCAGTATTATCTATATCCCGTAATAAACAAGCATTAGCGTTCAACTAAATTCTCATTTACATTGTTAAAACATTTTGTTCCCCCCAAGACTCATCATCTTACACAAGATCTCAGCTTGCTTCCGATTTCTGTAGTAATTAAGAAACAGCAATACTTACATTTAGTTGACACGAAACAGAACATTTAGAGAGTTATTCCATAAATCGAAGTATTTCAATTCAAGGTCCAAGCCGCTGAAATAGCTTTCAAATTCTGCCAAGATTTACATGTCTTCCATTTCTGATTTAGTGAATAAACCCCTTTGACTTCCAAACATCCAAGTGATGTGCTGCCTACATTGTACAGCACAATGGGGGACGCCTCATCTATGCATTCTCTTGTCACTTACCTGGATTCTAATTCCAGCTGCAATCCGATTGGGTAAAAACCAGAATTAGCCAATCAGAGTACAGCTGTGATTTCCAGTTCTCTCCCCTTTCACAGAGCGCCTTGCAGCAGTAGACCTTGTAACAAACCCACGAAATTAGGCCCTGCGCTCAAACTCACACTACTCCTGGCCGGCAGCAACAACTATAGTACACATCAATACAAATACATAGAACAACAGCAAAAAAACTGTTACCTGCGCACTACCCCAAATCTCTGAGGTTTTTAGGATCACTCCAATGGCCATTAAAGTGTTAGCTCACATGCCCCATCGTGGCAAACTTCTACAAACAAACAATTCAACTTGCTACTTTCAGCTTAAAAGGTAGAATCTCTAATGAGACAGAGAGGGGTATTTATTAACCCTTAATAGGGAACACACGGGGTGAGCAGCAGCATTGTAACATGGCTGTGTAATACAAAAAAATACAAACACACAAAACGAATCCCTGCACTCAGTTTTACGCAGTCATATTACAGTGCCGCCACTCACCCCATGCGTTCCCCATTAAGGGTTAATAAGTGTGTAGCACGAGGCTGCCCAAATGGTAGATCCCCAGATGTTTTAAAACTACAGTTACCATGATGCTTTGCCATTCTAAAGACGTGTAAAGAATCATGGGAGTTTAAATTCTACAACATCTGTGGATCTACCTTTTGTGCACACCTGGTGTAAGGGTTCATAAAAAAAAACCTTTAGGTCTTGTGACTTGGTAGTGTAGGACTCGCATAAGAGGTTACTCATTACGATGCAGGTGAGCTCACACTTTACTGGCCATTGGAGTGATACTTAAACATGGATTTGGAATAGAGGGGAGGAAACATTTTTTTTTTGCTTTGAAACATGCAAACTTCCTACAATTCTTGAAATAATCTCGATGCTGTTTCATATGAAATTAAGACATGACTTGGGCTAAGTGACAGAATGACTACATTTTCCTACCATGTGAACTGCGGACACAAATGAAGCGTATGAGGTCACAGCACTAATATAACATGTAATGAAACGTACAATACTAGTGAAATGAAACACCGAAAATGGATTAAATACCGTGATCTCTACAGATTCTCTCAGATTGTTACCGGCTTTTCTAAAGACTGCCTAGACAGGGGTAGCAGCTTTAAAAAAAAATCAAATAAATACAAATCTGAATAGTTACTCACTAAAACAAGAATTGTGGAGAACTGGCAAGGGAATTGCAAACTTGTTGGCCAAAATATTAAAATTGGATAACGCTACAATTTTTTTTTGGCTTAAAATGCCTACCGGTAGTTCCTGAACCAATTCTGTACAATTACTAGATTAATGAATAAAACCTCTTTCACATTACCCCTTTAAAACATGAATCAGACCTCGCAGGTCCTGACCACAGAGCTGGAAATAATGAACAAAATTCTTCTTTAATGTCATCTCATACAACAATTACTTTTTTTCATTATCTGCCTCACTATTAGACAGCAGGGGAAAGAATTCAACTGTGAAATAGAGAGAAACAGAAATAGTCAGATTTTGGTGAAACCCCTTTTAGATAAAAAGTATCAGTTTTAGAGTATTCAAAGTCAACCACACATTTTAGACCAAAAAGCCATACTGAGCGCATAGCTGGCAATGTTGGCCAAACATTCCCTTGTAATTCCTGACAATTCACATTTTTTTGTAATTGTGTTGTCATTTCTGAACCAGAGCATTTAGGATAAAAACAGACAAATGTTCTTCCCCAGATCAGGTATTTTTAAAGATGTGGTCAATAAAATTTGCCTTTTACAGAATAGCACAGCACTACAGTACATGTTGGAACTTTATAAATAACGGCTAAATAATAACAAGTGGTCTTTGGAAATATGGTGATAGGAAACCTCTAGGAAAACAGTGCTCTAATTCCACTGGTCAATGGAAGGCATTAATACGTCGTGTAGGATTAGAGTATAAGCTCAGTGGACCACAGTTTGCTCATGGGGTATTTATTAATACTAATACCGCCATTCACGTCACACTCATTTAACAAGATGTAAATCTCCAACGGTATTCAGAAAGCAAAGGGAACCTAAAACTTTACTAATTAACACATTTCTCTAATAAAACATAAACGGAGTGTCTAATCACCAAAACCACTATTTTTTCTTAAAGCACAGATACAGTCGATCTGTTCTTAAACCATATAAAACATTGCAGTATTGGCATTTGGCCAAGAACACCCCTCTATTGTCTGTCAGACTCATTTCCCACTTACATCCTTCGATTTTCAAATGACTTCACGTTCAGCCTTGATAAAAAAAAACACAAAGCACAATGTCGCCGGAGAAACACTGGATTCAGTGCTTCTGGATTGGCAGCAGGTGTCCTCGGTACTTCTCCACGAGAAGTATCGGATTGGACAAACATCAGGATTGATGAGTTTAATGGAGTTCGATCAGCTGCTGCAAAAAGATTATTGCTGGAGTAATGGTAAAAGACAAACAAACAGGGGACCTGTAATCTAAACATAAAGGGAACACATTCAATATTTTTTTAGAACTGTGTTCCTTAGAGTTACGATCAATGTTCTGGGAAGCACTCTATCCCCACCTAGTGATAACCACCTTGTACTGCAGATCGAATTTCCCCCAAGTGTAGATAGATCTAAAAACGCTTCTGAATAATTAATTATTGAATAATCATTAATTAATAATCAATGACTAGAACCACTGTAGTCCTGTAGTTATAGAACAAGGATAAGTAAATGGTTTACAAAGCCAAAAGCTGGGTTCCGGTGAACAGGTTAACATAAATGTTGATCAAGATTTGCTTCATTTTCCCATTGTCTTCTTTCTGCTCCCATCACAGAGTTAAAACAAGGAGCGATGGTTTAGCTGGTTATTGGAAGGTGGCTGTTTACTCCACAGCAAAGCGTTTCAGATATCTTGATCTTGATAAATTTAAAGGGTGATTGGTTAAACTTGGCAGCTCAGCAGCAAACTATGGATAGGTAGGTACTGCAGTGTCAACTACAATCATAACAGCCAAAAAATGCGGCCCCCATCGGTTCTGCATCCTCTACACTACAAAACACTCTTTATTTCCCCAATGATCCTGACTCTGTAAACACACTGACGTGCTAAAATGCTATCAGTAAAAGTCACAAAATATCTGAAAAATAATGAATGGTAACAGATCGATTAAAAATAATAAATATACCTTACGCTAACTGTGATACCAACTAAGAAATTATTACAATATTATCTATAAATCGCCAACATATTCTGCAGCACTGTACAATGAAGTCACAACATATCTCTACTCTGCAAATCTGTCAAGTTATTATTTGTTTAATTCTGCGTTGGTGCACTCTCCATGTCGGTGCCAATAAATTAAAAGTTAAGCTTGTGGTGTACAGATAGCAGGGTTCACCTTGTACTGTGAGGAGCAAGTTAAATTGCACACTGAATAGTCTCACCAGGATTATCGCTCAGGCCTTCCTTTCGGACATCAATTCTCTTGCATTACGCGGCATTAATGGAGTACGAGAATGTTAAATAAAAACACCAGGTAATACATTCTCTGACCCAGATTCTGTGGTCCAGCTGATGGAGGACGACAATCATTCCGCGTAGCACCTGGCTGCTGCCATATTAGACGCAAAAAAGAAACCAAGTTGCTTGAAGCGGTGGTCGGAGGACTGACATGATATCTGTTGGGCTCGTGGAGGATCAAAACTTGGTTCTCAACTCTTGAGTCTAGAAGCCCTTGGAATAGTTGACTTTAGGGAACATGAGGAGCGGTATGCAGCGGAGGCGCGCAAAGATCGTCGGGAACGCCAAACCTTGATGGTGTAGTCATCGCTGGCGCTGAGCAGTAGCTCCTGATCCACTGGACAGAAAGCCACAGAATTCACTACATCCTTGTGAGGCAGTGTTTCCAAGGAGACACTGTAATGGCGATCCCAGATGTAGCCGCAGCGATCCTCAGCTCCACTAGAAAACGTATGAAAAAGAAGAAATCACTCATCATTGCAAGACAGCAGAGTACAGACAGATCCAAACACCAATACTAGAAAATAATTAAGGAACCCATAACAAGTTCATATGGTACAATGGCGAGGGATTTAGAGAATGAGTTCTGAACCAAAAGCTTCAAAATGAGGCTACTGAGAGGTTTTTCTTCTCATGAATGGTTGTGTAAAGACCCAGCAATTGACATCACAATCCAGCTCAGTCCTGGTCACTGGGAGGGGGGAAACAGTATATTGGACTCTTTTTATGTAACCCACAATATTTCTAACAATGGAAACCAGCGAAACCAGCAGGCACGTTCCATTAGTAACTCAACCCTTTTTAGATCTTAGAACCACTTCTTCGAACAGATACTTTTTAAAATAGAGGGTTAGGAACATTTGCAAAATTACCAAGCAATAACTTCTAGCCCAAAACATCAAACTATAAATAAAATGTAACAGAGAGCTAGACACTACTGAGGTTTGTGAATTGCATCCTATCACTGGCGTTGAGTCAGAACAATGGTGGCCAATGGTAATAGATCAGTCATCAGAATCTCAGAATGTACTACCAGTGACAGACCATAAAACACTGAAATCTCCTTACCATCACGGTTCCAGTCACCGAGCACACAAAATGAACTGCTCTTACTTCTGTTAGCAGCGAGAATAATTAAATCGGACAAATGTAGGTTATTAAAGGCATACACACAAATGAAGCTCATCTGGACAATGTTAATCTAAATGTCAATATTCATGTGGTTAAGGATTTCCTACCTGGCTACAAAGTCTCTGCTGACATCGAGAAAGATAAAGAAGCACTCATTGTTGGGTGTGTAGGCACGGTGGGCACGTAGAGGAGCTTTAACTTCACGTAGGCTCTTTAGGTCAAAGACACGTAACTCAATCTCCTCTGCAATAGGAGGTGGGCACATGGGGTCAGAGATCACACAGTCACGAGGCCAGGATCGGCTGTTGACATACAGGTACCTGGAAAACATGATGAAACAAAAGGGGTTTATTAGGCCCTGCACTGTGTGCAGGCATTACTGGAACAATCTCACTAAGATTGACCACCATTTCAAGAGCACATTTACCGAGAAATAGCTCAAATATAACTTGTATGTTATAGGATTAAACAAAAATCAACAAAATTCATCAGGTCATCCCAAAATAACTCAGATTACAGATTAATGTGAACATAGAATAGGAATACATCCAAATGGCTAATAGTAAAATGGCAACAGACCTGTGGTCAGGGGACAGGCCCATGCCAATGATGTGACCATGAATGTTGATTACATGATCGAGAGAATCAAAGAATTCATTGCGACTGCGTTCCTCGCCCAGCACCGGCCCTTCGGTAGTCATCTGATGGGGGAGAAGCTGTTTAATCCCTACAAGAGTACAAAACAAAATACCAAGTACAAATCTAATATCAATAATTTGAAGATTAGTACAAGTCTAGCTAGAGACACAAAGATATAACCAGATGTTAGTCAGGAAATACAAGTTTCTCTTTCTTTCACAGAATTGGTTGTAGATGCTCGTTAAAGGGACACTGTAGGCAGTGGCACCCATGCCATTTCAGCTAATGGAAGTAGTCTGGATGCTGTGATCCTTTTGCACTTAGTGCTGCAATGTAAAACATTGCAGCTCTAAGTCTGCCTTTTGTGACTGTCTAACAGACAGCCACTAGAGGGCTTCTTGAATCCAAACAGACTTTTTCCTATGGTCTAAGTCTAATGCGCGTGGCCACTGCTGTGCATGCGCACTGGGTCTCCCCCACCGGCGTCAGCGTGGACGGAGCCTGATGCAGCGCCGAGGAACATCAGCGCTAAATTCAGGTAAGTGGTTGAAGGGTTTTTAACCATTTCAACCTAGCGGGAGCGCCAGGGAGGGGGGCACTCCAGGAGCCTATAGTGCCAGTGCCAGTTTTGTTTTCCTGGCACTATAGAATCCCTTTAAAAATCATTTTAAAATCTGTGCTTTTTGATAAAGAATTGGTGATGAAGACGGGCCAAAGATGGCTTTTAATATGATGTCATATTCTGGGTTCTACCTTGTCCTAATCCATATCTAGGTTCTACCTCCTCTTAACCCATATCTAGGTTCTAAATTAAACCTCCTCCTGATCCATATATAACTTCTACCTTATTTTAACCAATATCTAGGTTCTAGATTGCTCCAATCCACGGATAGGTTCTAAATCTAGAAAATCGTCCTAATCCCTATCTAGGTTCTAGATTAAATAACCTCTTGATCCATATCTAGATTCTGTGCCTTCATTACTGCCCAATTATAAGTGTCTCTGTATATTAATATATGTATATATAAATATAAAAATACACTTAGTTTGACATTAAGTATACAAAATATATATATATATATTTACAGTCAGGTCCATAAATACATCGACACAATTCTAATCTTTTTGGCTCTATACACCAACACAATGGGTTTGAAATGAAAAACACAAGATGTGCTTTAACAGCAGACTTTCAGCTTTAATTTGAGGGTATTTACATCCAAATCAGGTGAACAGTGTAGGAATTACAACAGTTTGTATATGTTCTTCCCACTTTTTAAGGGACCAAAAGTAATGGGACAGATTAACAGCCATAAATCAAACTTTCACTTTTTAACACATGGTTACAAATCCTTTGCAGTCAATTACAGCCTGAAGTCTGGAACGCATAGACATCACCAGACGCTGGGTTTCATCCCTGGTGATGCTCTGCCAGGCCTCTACTGCAACTGTCTTCAGTTCCTGCTTGTTCTTGGGGCATTTTCCCTTCAGTTTTGTCTTCATCAAGTGAAATGCATGCTCAATCGGATTCAGGTCAGGTGATTGACTTGGCCATTGCATAACATTCCACTTCTTTCCCTTAAAAAACTCTTTGGTTGCTTTTGCAGTATGCTTCGGGTCATTGTCCATCTGCACTGTGAAGCGCCGTCCAATGAGTTCTGAAGCATTTGGCTGAATATGAGCAGATAATATTGCCCGAAACACTTCAGAATTCATCCTGCTGCTTTTGTCAGCAGTCACATCATCAATAAATACAAGAGAACCAGTTCCATTGGCAGCCATACATGCCCACGCCATGACACTACCACCACCATGCTTCACTGAGGTGGTATGCTTTGGATCAATGTAATTACAGGACTTACCATTATGACATGCTAAAAGAACTAAACTGGCTGTCGCTGGAATCGAGACGCACCCTTCATCTTTCCAGCCTTGTGTTTAAGAGCTTTACTGGGAAACTCCCACCCTACCTGAACACAATGCTTTCCTCAGCTGTTCCCACTTCCTATAACCTCCGATCCAGTACCAACACTTTACTTAGTCTACCTCAATACAAAAAGAAAGCAGCCCGATCCTCCTTCTCCTTCTCCTACAGAGCACCGCAATTGTGGAACGACCTCCCGCACAATTTAAAATCTTCCCTAAGTCTAAAGTCCTTTAAGAGATCCCTCTCTACATACCTCAAAACAGAATGCACCTGTCATGGTTGATTATATATTTCCTACCTGTTCTTTGTTAAATTTTGTATATATTGTGTATTAATATTGTTTTTGTATTTTATTGTACCCTAATTGTAACAATGCAATGATTTGTGGACCCAGGACATACTTGAAAACGAGAGAAATCTCAATTTATCTTTCCTGGTAAAATATTTTATAAATAAATAAATGAGCAGTTCCTTTCCTTCTCCATACTCTTCTCTTCCCATCACTCTGGTACAAGTTTATCTTGGTCTCATCTGTCCATAGGATGTTGTTCCAGAACTGTGAAGTTTTTTTTAGAAGTTGTTTGGCAAACTCTAATATGGCCTTCCTGTTTTTGAGGCTCACCAATGGTTTACATCTTGTGGTGAACCCTCTGTATTCACGCTGGTGAAGTCTTCTCTTGATTGTTGACTTTGACACATATACACCTACCTCCAGAAGAGAGTTTTCTTGATCTGGCCAACTGTTGTGAAGGGTGTTTTCTTCACCAGGGAAAGAATTCTTCGGTCATCCACCACAGTTGTTTTCTGTGGTCTTCCGGGTCTTTTGGTGTTGCTGAGCTCACCGGTGCGTTCTTTCTTTTTAAGGATGTTCCAAACAGTTGATTTGGCCAAACCTAATGTTTTTGCTATCTCTCTGATGGGTTTGTTTTGTTTTTTCAGCCTAATGATGGCTTGCTTCACTGATAGTGACAGCTCTTTGGATCTCATATTGAGAGTTGACAGCAACAGATTCCAAATGCAAATAGCACACTTAAAATGAACTCTGGACCTTTTATCTGCTCCTTGTAAATGGGATAATGAGGGAATAACACACAACTGGCCATGGAACAGCTGAGCAGCCAATTGTCCCATTACTTTTGGTCCTTTGAAAAGTGGGAGGCACATATAAAAACTGTTGTAATTCCTACACCTGATTTGGATGTAAATAGCATCAAATTAAAGTTGAAAGTCTGCAGTTAAAGCACATCTTGTTCATTTCATTTCAAATCCATTGTGGTGGTGTATAGAGCCAAAAAGATTAGAATTGTGTCGATGTCCAGATATTTATGGACCTGACTGTATGTATATATATATATATATATATATATATATATATATATATATATATATACACACATATACACACACACACACACATTTTTAACACTGATTGCTTTTTTTAAACTTTATTTTTTAATTTTACAGCAGCAGGGAGACTGCCTGTCAGCACAGACAGTCCCCCTGCAGGCAGATACACAGGCACCTATTGCGGCCATGTGACCGCTCTGTTAGAGTGATCACGTGGCCATGTGGCCTAATTCGCAGAGGGGGGACTGTCTGGGGTGATGGGCAGTCCCACCCGGACCCCCAGCGGAGATCAGGTAAGCACATAATACCGTTATGACGGTTCAGGACCGTCACCGGTCCTCAAGGGGATGTTTCCGGTGACGTTCCTGAACCGTCGTCATCGGTCCTTCAGGGGTTAATGTAACCTTCCTGGTAAAATATTTTACAATTAAATTGAAAAACCTGCTTAACACAGATGTGGTAAGTAATATTCCTTGTAAGTATTTTTGTGAGTAGTTATGCAATGAACAGGTGGCAATACAATATGCAGTCTGCATGAATTAGCCATTGTTTTTAAACGAACTGCATGGTTTGACTGTGTAAAACTGATTTTAAACCTGTGCCTCCTACAAAAAGGTTCTTACAGAACACTTGTGGTAACCTGACAGTTACTGTGCAAAAATTAGCCAAAACAGCAAAACAGATCCTTAATCTACCCTGAGCCTCAGGCATTTAATGAAGAGAAGGAACATCTTACCTATTTGGTGGGGGGAGTAGGTGAGACAGCCAGTTGTAAAGATGAGGTATTTCCTGGTTTGATTTCCTTCCGTGGCAGGCAGGTTTCTATCAGGACACTTTGTCCGGTACTTGGCGTACCACTGAGCCACTTTGGTCTCAAACTGTTCTTCATGCACTCTGGCACTGAGAGGCTCTGCAAAGGCACCGACTTCCTCAGGAAAGAACCCGAGTAAACCTCGTGCCAATGAGGGTTGTTCCCCAGCAAAATCACTATCTTCCTCCTCTCTTTCTTCATCCTCTTCTCCCCTTTCCTCCATCTCAAATTCCAGAGGGTGAAATTCTGGGCTCTCGACCCCCTCATCTCCTGCCTCAGCCAGCAGTTCCGGACAGTCAGCCACCATCACCATTCGGATAGTGCTGGCATTCAAGTTCTGGATCTTATAAAGTCTCTTCACTACATTGAGGTTCTCCGATTCCACATCCTAAAAACAATAAGGGGTAGTATCAGACTAGAGGTCAGATTAGGGACTAATTGACTTGCTAACAATTTTGATTTAAATGCCAAAACAGATGAAACATTCTCATACTGGATGTTTCACATAAATCTGCTTTATTATGGAAAACAGATTTTACGGATAAAAAAAAAAGCCAAGTTGTAATTAATAACAATAGTCCCAATGCATTAACGAGTAAAGAGTTCCCAATGCATTAACTCATTAGTGGAGAATTAGCAAAATTAAACAATAAATCAATGGTTTAGTACAGTCCATTGGGGTTAGGTGCCTGTGGCTGTCAGAAATCAGGGGGGTAGTGTACATGGACCATAAAGTCCAAAAAGATCTAAAGACTTTAGATTAAAAAATAAAACAATAATAATGAAATCTCACGTATAGAACAGCCCGCCTACCCGTGTGTCAAAACTCTGAACTAAAGCTCGGTCTCTTCTACTTTACATATGTATAACATACGGATTAATGTGTCTGGTTAATATATGAGTTCTGAAACCTCTAAATATTATCAGGCGAAACATGTCGTCAATTGTGTCACGATTGATGTCATCATGCCATGTGGCACTGACTTCCGGCTAAACGACAGCGGCGAAGCTAAAAATAGCTTGCGAATGTTTCTTGGTGAAAAAGGAAACCAGGCTCCAGGGAAAGAAAAAATGGACCCAGACGGTGACCCGGAGAGGGGGACATCCTGCACTAATACAGAGTATAACTGCAGAGCTTTATACTGAAAGCACAAAAAGTGGGTTTAAAAAAAAAAAAAAAAAAGCCCCCGAAACCAAATAAGGACACTGACCAACCCAAAAGACTCTGCCAGCTACACTACCTCTCAGGCTACAAGTTCAACCTGTAAAAAATCTTGAAATATTGTCGATAACATTTGACTCACACCGTCTACAACACATTCTCTTTCCTGCTCAAAATTGTGCAGTCCACATTCACATACCTAAGGCTACATCTCACCCCGCTTAGAGGAGCTACACAGCCTAAACTATACTCCTCTGCTTCGCACAGCTTATAAGGACCTGAAAGGATGGGAACCTATGGGAGTATCCTGGCCGGGAAGAGTGGCCGCAATAAAAATGAACTTGCTGCATTGCTTCCTATATCTCTTTCCCATTGGGAAATCAGACTTCCAGCGCTTACAAACAACCATTGATCATTTCATATGGAAGGGTTGGAGACCGCTCATGTGCAGAATGACTCACATGGAGGCCTTGGTCTACCCAGTTTGTGCATTATTATAACGCAGCCCAACTAGCACACATATAACAATGGCATGTGACACGTGGTGATGGGTAGACCTTTAACACAACAATTTTGTTTAGGAATACCCCTCCTTCTATATGTGGGTCCCCCAGATCCACAGAGCTCTACCCCCACCCAACTATCCAGCAATTACGCATGTGATCGCTCTCTGGAATAGACTTAAGGTGAACATTGAATTCACTTAATTTGTATCCCCTCTTCCACCCTTCCTTCGTAACAAACTGTTCATCCCGACAATGACAACACAAAATTTCGCTAAATGTTGTTAGTAATGCTAGGGTTTAGGAAAGGGTTGACTATATGCCGTTCACTAGAGAACAACATTGTTATAAAGCCATACGCCTTCTTAACCCTGGCAGGGAGAACATACAATTCTGTTGCTGTGTCTTTAATATAATATTTAATCTTTTCAATGCTGCACCTGGTTTTCTTCGTATTGATGACCTAAATCACCTTTTTTTAAATTTACCCTATCAGGAGCCCTAAATGGGCCTATTTATTTTTATTTTAAAAAGCTGGACAATATACAATAATAATAATAATGATTCTTAAAGCTGTAGATTCCATTCCGGTGCTAGTGATGTCAGCTTGGTGAGTGATATGATCAATTTTAATATAGATACCTTGGTATAAAAAAATTAAATAAAAAATAAAGCCTATCAGAGTACAATAACCTGCATAACATCTCTCTGTTCTAACAGAGCTGTCCAGCATTGCATGAACTATGCCTCCTGCTGGACAAATAGCACATTGCAGGATAATTGACAGATTCAATCGTGGTTGTGTTTTGCGGTGATGAGAGTGGGGATTACCCTTTGTACCTGAAAGGCCTTGTTCAGCCACAAAACGGAGCAGGACGTGACCCTTCCCATGCGATGCAGGTTCCCAGAAATTAGATGAGTATTATTAAGCCAGCAGCCAAACACATCATACGGTTTATTCCTTACTCTTGACAACAGATTAAAACCATCTATAGAAGAAAAAGAGTGAGAAGATGTTGGAGGAACTGTATAGTGTACATGTAATGTATGGTCCATTAATTAAAGATACAATCCACTCAAAGCAGCTCTGTAATATATTTAACATCATCATAACAGTAACAATTATTCATTGAAATCTAGTTACATATTGTATTTCTATGTTAACTGAGAAATGTTATCATGATGGGGATACCAATATTCCATCAGAATGTTACTTAGACTCCAGCTCTTACAGGAAATCTGGTTATATATAATGTAAGAAACATTGTACCGCCTCCCATTGTCCACAACCAATAGAAGGCACCCACGCCATGCCAACCCCTCAGAGCAGATAACAGAATATTAATATAAAATCCCCTTACCAAGGCTAAAGACGGCAATCTCTCCTGCAGATGAGTTATGGGGTCCCACAAAAACCCCTGACACCAGAAGGAGGGAGTCATCTGCATTAAACTGGGAGAACTGTGTGTAGCTCCAATGGTGAGGCCTCATGTTGGCGCTGTGCAGGAGGGAGAGGGGATGGATCGTGTTCCATATCTGCAGAACAGGAATAAATTAATGAAAGAGAACCAGCAGGCGGTGCAGACCAAATCCAACTCCTCACGCGGCTGGGGTGAGCAAAGCTAAGAGTTAAAGTACAAATGACTCTACACAGGACAAGAAATTCATGATCTGGCTGCAAGATTGGGGAAGTCAACCAGGGGCACATGCAGGGTTAACATGGGCCATTCCTGCTTGCAATATTGACAAATAGAGAATTTTTGGTCAGTTTGACCCCACCTTTAATTACACCTCAACTATTCTGTGACATTTACTTACTGTATAAACCACTATGACGCACAGTACACCACCTCCTCATTCTGCTGGGGGTGTGCCGACCTATCTGTACTTACCTTGACCGTACAATCCTTGGAGCAAGAAGCGCACAGGTCTCCGGTGTGGGAGAAGCTGATATGCAGAACCTGATCAGTGTGTTCAGTCAATTCCTGCACCTCTACGCAGGGAACGGTATCACTGAGACGCTGGAATTCCTTGTACCAGGAGTCTGAACCTGAGGTTGGAGATAAACTCGGTTATAAAATACAGGATCCATTAATCTAGCACCCCTGTCTGACCAGCATTACAATGTAATAGATTGCCTGTGCTTCACAGCATTGTGGGAGAATTACTCACAGTTCTATCTACGTTCCAAAGAATCATTACAGAAATACTGATAACTGGTACCTGTGTTACCATTGGATAAAATAAATACAGCTGGGTAAGAGAATCACTAAAAGGAAATTAGCTTTGTGCTTTAAAAACAACCTCCTCATTCCCATATAATAAGAACCATCTCATGCACAGTGTTTGCGCTGCATGCATTAAATCAGCGCGGTCGGAGCTCAAGAAACAGATGTCTGCAAGCTGTGAACAAGAGTATTTAAAGTGACCTTAATAATATAGTTTGAGGAGTACAACTGATCGTGAAAAGAAGCCGGTTTGTATCTAGATCCATGCAGACTTTCACTGTGATTCTCTCAGTTAGAGGCGCACTCCCACACCAATAATTCAGCCAAAATACACAAACCGGGATCAGTGCACAGAAAATGTACTGCTTAAATATGTCATGTAAAACCCACATGGAGCTGGACACAGCATTAACAGATCAGCAGTTTGTTATAGTACCCCAATATTAGTGGGTCATGTCGTCATTTTAACATGGAAAATAAGTATACATTACTGCTCCGTGTTAATACCGAAGTACAAGTCATTAAATACCCTCTTCGTACATTCGGTCAGTCATTGTTAAATCGCAACTCCCTTTCTGGGTAACTTACTAAGTCAGCCTGCATGATTCATCGTGAAACAAGCGGGCAATGGAATGTATTTTAATAGGTACTTTTTAATGCATTTCTAATTATTTATTTTTTAATCATGTATCCGGGTTATCTCACTGACTAGTGGAAATGGACTATACAATCTATTCTGTATTGTACGGTCTAGCATGTTAAAATTATCCAAATGTTCAGTATAATAGTAAGCCATACGACTATTATTCTATGCATTTTGATGTGGCAACACAGGCTTGTCTGTAATTTTCAGCAAAGCAAAAATAAAGTATAAAATAAAAGTATATTAAAAAAACAAAAAGAAAAACATGGTGGATGACAGTTTAGGAATGTGAAATGCCAAGGTGCACATTAGATCTGAAATTCACTGTAATATAGTTAATAAATTGCATGCTTGCAGATCAAAACAACAACAACATTGCATTAGTTAGCCAGGAGCAGAGCTGTGCCAGATTACGCCTTGCGCACCAAAAACAGTTTATTTACGTCAATTGGTGATAAAATTATAACGGATTTATTGAACAATGGTAATCGTGACCAAACTAGGATTTAAAAGAGGAAATGATATATGGATCAGGTGTGTAAATTTGCCGCCAGTATGATGATCCAGTCTGATCACACACTTACCTGGGTATCGCTGAATGTGTCTCTGCACCTTATAGAACTTAAAAAATAACTCTTTCCACAGGAAGTCATCGCGGGACACGGCATACCAGCGTCGGCACACCAGTCCGGCTGAGAGCAAGTCTGCGGGGCCCAAGCTTAGAAAGATCTGGTAGAGGATACTGTCAGGGAGTAGGAAGGAGCTGCAATCATCCATTGTGTCATTCTGTCACCTTCCACCCTGTCCTAAAAGAGATAAAATAACAGAATCCAGCACACTTAGACCATCATTTCAATCTATTGGGTCATTATATTCCTGCTTTCTAAAATAAATAAAAGCCATTACATTTAATACAGTGTTAGTTATACTGGGTGGGTTTATATTATTAAAGGGACACAATCCGGGCTGCAGTTAGTTATACTGGGTGGGTTTATATTATTAAAGGGACACAATCCGGGCTGCAGTTAGTTATACTGGGTGGGTTTATATTATTAAAGGGACACAGTCCAGGCTGCAGTTAGTTATACTGGGTGGGTTTATATTATTAAAGGGACACAGTCCAGGCTGCAGTTAGTTATACTGGGTGGGTTTATATTATTAAAGGGACACAATCCGGGCTGCAGTTAGTTATACTGGGTGGGTTTATATTATTAAAGGGACACAGTCCAGGCTGCAGTTAGCTATACTGGGTGGGTTTATATTATTAGAGAGACACTCCAGGCTCCCACACACGTTAGGTACACTGTGTAGGTTAGGTTACAGTTAGTTATACTGGGTGGGTTTATATTATTAAAGGGACACTCCAGGCTCCCACACACGTTAGATGCACTGTGTAGGTTAGGTTACAGTTAGCTATACTGGGTGGGTTTATATTATTAAAGGGACACTCCAGGCTCCCACACACGTTAGATGCACTGTGAAGGTTAGGTTACAGTTAGCTATACTGGGTGGGTTTATATTATTAAAGGGACACTCCAGGCTCCCACACACGTTAGATGCACTGTGTAGGTTAGGTTACAGTTAGTTATAATGGGTGGGTTTATATTATTAAAGGGACACTCCAGGCTCCCACACACGTTAGGTGCACTGTGTAGGTTAGGTTACAGTTAGTTATACCGGGTGGGTTTATATTATTAAAGGGACACTCCAGGCTCCCACACACGTTAGATGCACTGTGTAGGTTAGGTTACAGTTAGTTATACTGGGTGGGTTTATATTATTAAAGGGATACTCCAGGCTCCCACACACGTTAGGTACACTGTGTAGGTTAGGTTACAGTTAGTTATACTGGGTGGGTTTATATTATTAAAGGGACACTCCAGGCTCCCACACACTTTAGATGCATTGTGTAGGTTAGGTTACAGTTAGTTATACTGGGTGGGTTTATATTACTAAAAGGGACACTCCAGGCTCCCACACACGTTAGGTACACTGTGTAGGTTAGGTTACAGTTATACTGGGTGGGTTTATACTATTAAAGGGACACTCCAGGCTCTCACACACGTTAGATGCACTGTGTAGGTTAGGTTACAGTTAGTTATACTGGGTGGGTTTATATTATTAAAGGGATACTCCAGGCTCCCACACACGTTAGATGCACTGTGTAGGTTAGGTTACAGTTAGTTATACTGGGTGGGTTTATATTATTAAAGGGACACTCCAGGCTCCCACACACTTTAGATGCATTGTGTAGGTTAGGTTACAGTTAGTTATACTGGGTGGGTTTATATTACTAAAAGGGACACTCCAGGCTCCCACACATGTTAGATGCACTGTGTAGGTTAGGTTACAGTTAGTTATACTGGGTGGGTTTATATTATTAAAGGGAAACTCCAGGCTCCCACACATGTTAGGTGCACTGTGTAGGTTAGGTTACAGTTAGTTATACTGGGTGGGTTTATATTATTAAAGGGATACTCCAGGCTCCCACACACGTTAGGTACACTGTGTAGGTTAGGTTACAGTTAGTTATACTGGGTGGGTTTATATTATTAATGGGGCACTCCAGGCTCCCACGCACATTAGATGCACTGTGTAGGTTAGGTTACAGTTACTGATACTGGGTGGGTTTATATTAATAAAGGGACACTCCAGGCTCCCACACACATTAGATGCACTGTGTAGGTTAGGTTACAGTTAGTTATACTGGGTGGGTTTATATTATTAAGGGACACTCCAGGCTCACACACACGTTAGGTGCACTGTGTAGGTTAGGTTACAGTTAGTTATACTGGGTGGGTTTATATTAATAAAGGGACACTCCAGGCTCCCACGCACCTTAGGTGCACTGTGTAGGTTAGGTTATGGTTAGTTATACTGGGTGGGTTAGTTAGGTGCACTGCGTAGTTTGGGTTAGTTAGTTACACTGGGTGGGTTATATTGGCGTCATCTGCACTCTTGGCACTATAACCACAACAGAGCACTGCAGGGGTTATGGTGATTGGAGTGTTCATTTAACCCCTTGCCTTGCATTTTCATGAAAGAAACAAAATGTCCTCAGTGGTTTTATGATCATATTTTCCATTTAAATAACCAGCCCTGGAAAGTCAGTCATTCTCCTGGTAATTTAATGAATTGGCTGAATAAAACCCATTAAATAAACAGCTTGTGGATGGTGTTCATACACATTAGGTATAGCTCTAAAAAGCATAATGGGACGATGTTAACGGGTAAACACTCGCTACATTTACCCTTTCAGTGCCATAGAGCAATGCATTGCTTTGTCCGTGCTGCCCTCGTTTGGATGTTTCAGACTATTATTCTGTTGCACAGAAAGAATATTGAACATAAATTAAAAAGGAAAACCAATCAATGTCCGGAGGAACAGTCTGATAGTAATGAGCCAATCAGAGCGCTAGGGCGAGCTGATCTCACCATTTTATAAGTGGCCGTGTTCCATTTTCAGGAGCCGTGCCGTTGAAGATGCATGTTTTGTTTTTATCATTAAATCAATTTTTATTATAGTTTTAATATTTAAAGATAACACAAACATTGGAACATTTAGCGAAATACACCCCCAACGATATCAACAAGAGTTCATCCAGGAGTATGGCTAGACGTGTCAGACTTTATTTTGGATTTTCTCAATTTTCAGGGCTGTTATTCAGAGCACAAGAGTACCATTTAAAACTCTCCATAGAGCAGTGTAAACCGTTTTGGTTTATCTCCCTGACATATTCTAGAAAACAACGTATAGGCATATTTACTAAAGTAAGAATTCAAATTGAATTTAAAAAGGGTTTTATATTTAAGGGCAGAGTGTCAGAAGTTATAGCATATCTGACATAGATAATGTTTACAGCTCAGCCAGACTGACCATGAACTATAAATTCCCCCTGAATCCTCACGTTAGTGAATTAGTCTGCCAGTGCCCTATAAATACAAGCCATTAAAGCTGGGGACTGGAGCTGTTATAATTATTTAATCAGGGTCGTTGTGAAGGTTGAAGGTTTTATTATCAAACATGTTTTATTAACGGAGGTCCAGAGTTTGGGGCATTTCCTGTGCCTTAAATTAAAGGCATGCTCTACGCACCAAACAAAGTTACCATACTGAAGCAGTTTTGGTGTATAGATAAAGCTCCCGCAGTCTCACTGCTCAATTCTCTGCCATTACAAATGAAATCACTTTGTTTATGCAGCCTTAGCCACACACCCCCGGCTGTGACCTACACAGTCTCCCTAAAGATTTCCTGTAATGAGTCATCTAATGTTTACACTTCCTTTATTGCACAGTCTGTTTAATTTTAAAATCCTCATCTGTGTGAGTAAAGCTCACATAATTACTTAAGGATGGTTATGCCCTCACCATAATGGGCTTTAATGCACTTAGGGCGTAATGACATGTCCTGCAGAACTGGTATTAGAAGTGGGGAACCTTTGGGTTTAGGAATAAAATAGGAATTAAGATTATGGCATAATATTAGGTTTAGAAGTTAAGGTCATTTTATTACAGTGGGACTTATGAGACTTAAAAATAAAGCAAGTCCCTGTTGTTGCCCTCTCTCTGTATACTGTCCCCATTGTTGCCCCTCGCTCTGTATATTGTTCCCATTGTTGCCCTGGCTCTCTATACTGTTGTTGCCCCTCTCTTTGTATATTGTCCCAGTTGTTGCCCTGTCTCTGTATACTGTCCCCATTGTTGCCCCCCTCTCTGTATACTGTCCCCATTGTTGCCCCTCGCTCTGTATATTGTTCCCATTGTTGCCCTGGCTCTCTATACTGTTGTTGCCCCTCTCTTTGTATATTGTCACAATTGTTGCCCTGTCTCTGTATACTGTCCCCATTGTTGCCCCCTCTCTGTATACTGTCCCCATTGTTGCCCCTCGCTCTGTATATTGTTCCCATTGTTGCCCTGGCTCTCTATATTATCCCCATTGTTGCCCCTCTCTCTGTATATTGTCCCATTGTTGCCCCCCTCTCTGTATATTGTCCCCATTGTTGCCTCTCTCTCAGTATACTGTCCGGATTGTTGTCCTTTCTGTATATTGTCCCCATTGTTGTCCTCTCGCTATACAGTCACTGTCCCCATTGTTGCCGTGTCTCTGTATATTGTCCCCATTGTTGCGTCCTCTGTTTGTATATTGTCGCCCTGTCTCTGTATACTGTCACTGTCCCCATTGTTGCTCTGTCTCTGTATACTGTCACTGTCCCCATTGCTGCTGTATCTGTATACTGTCACTGTCCCCATTGTTGCTCTGTCTCTGTATACTGTCCCCATTGTTGCTCTGTCTCTGTATCCTGTCTCTGTCCCCATTCTTGCTCTCTGTCCTCATTGTTGCTGTCTCTGTATACTGTCACTGTCCCCATTGTTGCTCTGTCTCTGTATACTGTCCCCCATTGTTGCTCTGTCTCTGTATCCTGTCTCTGTCCCCATTGTTGCTCTGTCTCTGTATACTGTCACTGTCCCCATTGTTGCTCTGTCTCTGTATACTGTCCCCCATTGTTGCTCTGTCTCTGTATCCTGTCTCTGTCCCCATTGTTGCTCTGTCTCTGTATACTGTCTCTGTCCCCATTGTTGCTGTCTCTGTATACTGTGACTTTCCACATTGTTGCTGTCTCTGTCCCCATTGTTGTCCTGTCTCTGTATACTGTCACTGTCCCCATTGTTGCTGTCTCTGTATACTGTCACTGTCCCCATTGCTGCTGTATCTGTATACTGTCACTGTCCCCATTGTTGCTCTGTCTCTGTATACTGTCACTGTCCCCATTGCTGCTGTCTCTGTATACTGTCACTGTCCCCATTGTTGCTGTCTCTGTATACTGTCTCTGTCCCCATTCTTGCTGTCTCTGTATACTGTCTCTGTCCCCATTGTTGCTGTCTCTGTATACTGTCACTGTCCCCATTGTTGCTGTCTCTGTATACTGTCACTGTCCCCATTGTTGCTGTCTCTGTATACTGTTGTCCCCATTCTTGCTGTCTCTGTATACTGTCACTGTCCCCATTCTTGCTGTCTCTGTATACTGTCACTGTCCCATTGTTGCTGTCTCTGTATACTGTCACTGTCCCCATTCTTGCTGTCTCTGTATACTGTCACTGTCCCCATTGTTGCTGTCTCTGTATACTGTCACTGTCCCCATTGTTGCTGTCTCTGTATACTGTCACTGTCACTGTCCCCACCATTGTTGCTGTCTGTCTGTCTGTATATACTGTCACTGTCCCCATTGTTGCTGTCTCTGTATACTGTCACTGTCCCCATTGTTGCTGTCTCTGTATACTGTCACTGTCCCCATTCTTGCTGTCTCTGTATACTGTCACTGTCCCCATTGTTGCTGTCTCTGTATACTGTCACTGTCCCCATTCTTGCTGTCTCTGTATACTGTCACTGTCCCCATTGTTGCTGTCTCTGTATACTGTCACTGTCCCCATTGTTGCTGTCTCTGTATACTGTCACTGTCCCCATTGTTGCTGTCTCTGTATACTGTCACTGTCCCCATTGTTGCTGTCTCTGTATACTGTCACTGTCCCCATTGTTGCTCTGTCTCTGTATACTACCCCAGCCTTGCTGCCCCTCCCTCCATTAAACTGCCCCAGCAGCAGAGCTCACCTTCACTTCCGCAACAGCTTCCCTTCTATCCTCCGTACTTCCGCTCTCTATGGTGCTGGAGGACGCTCTGTCTCCACCTCGTCTCTATTGTAAAGGAGCCTGAAAACACAGCTGTATATGGGCAGAGAGGAAACCAGGGGGAGAGAGAGTCCAGGCTGGGGGGGAGAGAGAGGGAACCAGGGGGAGAGAGAGTCCAGGCTGGGGGGGGAGGGGTGGGATAGAGAGGGAACCAGGGGAAGAGAGAGGGAACCTGGGGGAGAGAGAGGGAACCTGGGGGAGAGAGAGGGAACCAGGGGAAGAGAGAGGGAACCTGGGGGAGAGAGAGGGAACCAGGGGGAGAGAGAGGGAACCTGGGGGAGAGAGAGTCCAGGCTGGGGGAGGGGTGGGATAGAGAGGGAACCAGGGGAAGAGAGAGGGAACCTGGGGGAGAGAGAGGGAACCAGGGGGGGAGAAGCATAGGAAGCACAATCCCTATTTTAACCCAAATCCCTCTGTCTCTATTTTTTAAGAGCTCCCTATTGTTGGTGTCTGACTGTATATCAGAGCTCCACAGTAATAATACTCCCAGTAATGTGTCTGAGTGCATAACAGAGCTCCACAGCAATAATACTCCCAGTAATGTGTCTGAGTGTATAACAGAGCTCCACAGTAATAATACTCCCAGTAATGTGTCTGAGTGTATAACAGAGCTCCACAGCAATAATACTCCCAGTAATGTGTCAGAGTGAATAACAGAGCTCCACAGCAATAATACTCCCAGTAATGTGTCTGAGTGTATAACAGAGCTCCACAGCAATAATACTCCCAGTAATGTGTCAGAGTGAATAACAGAGCTCCACAGCAATAATACTCCCAGTAATGTGTCAGTGTATAACAGAGCTCCACAGCAATAATACTCCCAGTAATGTGTCTGAGTGTGTAACAGAGCTCCACATCAATAATACTCCCAGTAATGTGTCTGAGTGTGTAACAGAGCTCCACGGCAATAATACTCCCAGTAATGAGCCAGTTGTACAATCTGTGGTCATAAGAAAACTTAAACAAAACCTGGAATTTGACTATATGTCTGTTCAGCCGTAATTCACCCACACTTATTATATATCATTTTATTTAAGAAAAACAGGGATTTCATTTAACATCACATATTTTGCTATGAAACATAATTTCATATAAATAAAATATAAAAGAAAATGTGAGAAATTAAGAAAAAAAATTTTTGTTCTGCCCAGTGGCGGATACAGGGGGGGGGCAACGGGGCAATTGTCCCCCCAGAGATTCTCCCCTGCCGGCTAATGCAGGGCTTGCAGATCACCCTCCCCGGTCCGCAGGCACGGTGCTGGCAGCTGGCAGGGAGGGAGGGAGGGCCCGGGAGCTCAGCCTGCAGCTCCTGCGGGTCCTCCTCTCGCGAGCACGGAGCGTTGCCACAGTTACCACGGCAACGCTCCAAATCTCGCGAGAGTGAACTCTAACCACTGGAACCACCAGGGAATCCCCACCGGACCACCAGGGATCGAAATATGTCCCCCAGTATAGGTAAGAAGGGAGGGGGACATCAATATATTTATTTTATTAAATAAATAATTTATTTTTTTATTAAAAAGTCTCCCTTCCCTCCTTCCCCCCATACACACACTACACACAGTACCCCACAAACACTGCCCCCATACACACACTACACTCACTGCCCCACAAACACTTCCCCCATACACACACTACACACACTGCCCCACAAATACTGCCCCCATACACACACTACACACACTGCCCCACAAACACTGCCCCCATACACACACACACTCTACACACACTGCCCCACAAACACTGCCCCCCATACACACACTACACACACTGCCCCACAAACACTGCCCCCATACACACACTACACACACTGCCCCACAAACACACACACTGCCCCCATACACACACTACACACACTGCCCCACAAACACTGCCCCCATACACACACTACACACACTGCCCCATACACACAACAAACACTGCCCCCATACACACACCGGCCCCTGCAAACACTAATCCCCACACACTACACACACCGCCCCACAAACACGTTCCTCATACACACACTGCACACCCATACACACACGGCCCCACAAACACTGCCCCCATACACACACTGCCCCACAAACACTGCCCCATACACATACTACACACACTGACCCACAAACACTGCCCCCATACACACTACACACACTGACCAGCACACTCACACACACACTGCCCCCCATACACACACTACACACACTGCCCCACAAACACTGTCCCTCATACACACACTGCCCCACAAACACTGCCCCCATACACACACTGCCCAACAAACACTGCCCTCCATATTCACACTGCCCCACAAACACTGCCCCCATGCACACACTGCCCCACAAACACTGCCCCAATACACACACTGACCTACAAACACTGCCCGAATACACACACTACACACACTGCCCTGCACACGCATACACTGCCCTGCACACGCATACACACACTGCCCCCCATACACACACTGCACCCCATACACACACTCCTCCAAACACACATACAGTGCCCCCCATACACACACTGCTCCAAACACACATACACTGCAAGCCTCACACACACACACTGAAACTCTCACACACACTGCACCTCTCTCACACACACACTGCCCCCTGACATACACTGCCGCCCTCACGCACTCGCACACACACTTCACCGCTCACACACACACATACACACGCACACTGCACCTTTCACACACACTTCACCCCTAACACATACCACTGCTCCTATGCCCTATATCCCAGCAGACCCCAGGTAAGTTGTCAAACTGTTCTTAAATGGTTTGACTACTTGCTCTGAGGTGGGATCCTGGCACTACTGGCACCATAACTACTACACTGAGCTGTAGTGGTTATTGTGCCTGGATTATTTCTTTAAATAATCTACAAGTGCCCCTCCTGAGATCAGGCTCTGAATCCGCCACTGGTTCTGCCTGGCATTTTAACTGTCAATGTCACAATACTGTTAGCTGTTACTGCAATAAAGTGCACATATTTGTATTCAGCAATGTCTCACAAGTAAAATAGTACCCCCGATGTACAAGGTTTATGGTATTTGGAAGGTTACAGGGTCAAATATAGCACATCACATTTTTCAGTTTATACACATTGAGATTTGCCAGATTGGTTACGTTGCCTTTGAGAGCGTATGGTCAGGGCCACCTGTTAGGGGAACTAGGCATTTTCCTAGGGCGCCGGTCTGCTGGGGGTGCCCACCGGGATATTTCCTGGTGGGCTTCCACTGTCTTGGGCCTGTCACAGTATGGCAGAGCAGGCACCTTCTTACCTTGATGACAGGTGCCTGCTCTGCCATCAAATGCCGGTGACTGGAGGAGAATGCAGGCGGCGTGGCAGGCTCTTCTTGCAGCCTCTCACTCCTCCCTCGCGCGCACTCTGTGATACCGGTAGCTGTCATTCCGGCCCGGCATACTAAACCACATTGGAAGGAGTGAGGAGCTGCCCCACACTGGACCCCAGGGAGGTGAGTGTTTGCCAGTCAGTAAGTGTGTGTCTGTCAGTGAGTGAGTGTATGTATGTCTGTCAGTGAATGTCTGTGTGTGTGTGTGTGTGTGTGTCTGTCAGTGAGTGAGTATATGTCTGTCAGTGAATGTGTGTGTGTGTGTGTCTGTCAGTGAATGAGTGTATGTCTGTCAGTGTGTGTGTGTGTGTCTGTCTGTCTGTGAGTGACGTGAAGGGGCAGCAAAATGGATCTTTGCCAAGGGCGGCAGAAATTCTTGCACCGGCCCTGCGTATGGTAGCCCAGCAATGAGAATTACCCCCATAATGGCATACCATTTGCAAGGTATTATAAATGTGGTATGTCCAGGCTTTTTTAGTAGCTACTTAGTCATAAACACTGGCCAAAGTTAGCGTTCATATATGTGTGTGAAAAATGCAAAAAACTAATTTGAAGCCTAATTTTGGCCAGTGTTTGTTTTTCACTTAACTTAACCGTGTGGAATGCCGGGAGGTATGTGTAATGGAACTCCCTGTACTCCGACCGAGTACCTTCAGTTGATGGACGCTTTCTAGCCTGCGCCGAGGACCACAAGCACCGCACAGGACACCACAACCACCGTAGACTCCACAACCGCCGTAGCTTAACTGGAGTCTCGCCGCCATCTGTCCACCCTGGATCAGCTTCTGTCCTCCAGGACCGTCAGGGGAAAACCTCTCCTCCAGGAGAGCGTATCAGGAACAAGCTCTTAAAAGAGCTAAGTGATTAAAGCTCAGGGGAGTATGTAGAGCATAGCAATCCCCAGTGTGAGTATAGCTGTCCCCTCCAATCACGAGACAAGACTACGTGTTGACGGTCAAGAAGAACTGTGTTTAATTAGCACCAAAGGGCCTCCTTTTATGGAGGTCTTACACATGCAGGACTGCCCACAGGGTTTTTCAGAACAACCAATAAAAACATGACACATACAATAAAGTAAACCACTCCCAGCACAAATCCTCCCCTCTGCCTGTGATACAATTATCTCAAGACAGTAGACTAACTTAATTATCACAGGCAGAAAATATAGTTAAATAGTTACATAGTTACATAGCTGAAAAGAGACTTGCGTCCATCAAGTTCAGCCTACCTCACATTTGTTTTTTGCTGTTGATCCAAAAGAAGGCAAAAAAACCCAGTTTGAAGCACAATTTTGCAACAAACTAGGAAAGAAAATTCCTTCTTGACCCCAGAATGGCAGTCAGATTTATCCTTGGATCAAGCAGTTATTACCCTACATTGAAAGATTATATCCTTGAATATTCTGTTCTTGCAAGTATGCATCTAGTAGCCGTTTGAACATCTGTATGGACTCTGATAAAACCACTTCTTCAGGCAGAGAATGCCACATCCTGATTGTTCTTACAGTAAAAAAACCTTTCCTTTGCCTTAGACGAAATCTTCTTTCTTCCAGTCTAAACTCATGGCCTCGTGTCCTATGTAAAGTCCGGTTTGTGAATAGATTTCCACACAATGGTTTGTATTGGCCACGAATATATTTGTATAATGTTATCATATCCCCTCTCAGGCGACGTTTTTCTAAACTAAATAGGTTTAAATTTGTTAACCTTTCTTCATAGCCGATATGTTCCATTCCTTTTATTAATTTTGTAGCCCGCCTCTGCACTTTTTCTAGTGCCATAATATCCTTCTTTAGAACAGGTGCCCAAAATTGCACAGCATATTCAATATGGGGTCTTACCAGTGATTTATAAAGAGGCAAAATTATATTCTTGTCCCGAGAATGAATGCCCTTTTTCATGCATGACAATACCTTACTGGCATTGGCCACTGCTGATTGACATTGCACATTGTTGCATAGTTTGTTGTCTATAACAATTCCCAAGTCCTTTTCATGTGTTGTTATCCCTAATTCGCTTCCATTAAGGGTATACGTTGCTTGTGTATTCTTTACGCCGAAGTGCATAACTTTGCATATAGTTTTTACACAATTCTTATAACTTTAAAAGTATGCATGCAGTATTAATAAAAAATTACATATTTGAAATCAGCGTCCTTTAAATATAAATATACTCAAAAATCATAAATATCCGTCCAGTAGATCAAAAGTTAGCTAGAAGTCCTTTATGACCAACCGCAAGCACATTTTTGGAACTTTGTGAGTTTACATGCAATATCAATAAAACTTATATTTTTGTGGCAAACATAGCCACTTGGACACTATAAGGAGACTGTGCCTTTAAGGGTTGCCTATAGGGTTGTGGGATATGGGCTTAACTATGTTGAATGTATGCGGGTTGTAATTTACATGTATTTGTTGTATTGGCTATCTGCCGAATGCAGATAGCTGTTTGTATTGGATTTTTCTTTCGTTTCACGAACGGCACTTTTGCGGGCCGTTCGTGAACCGAAAATACCCCCATGTAATAGCCCACACACTTAGAGGCGTGTGGCGCTTGTTAACCGATTGCAACATTGTAGAGGCTCTCCTAGGTGGCTGCCGTTCGACTATCGACCATGCGTTTCACCATAAGTGGCTTCTTCCCATTCTGAAGAAGCCACTTATGGTAAACGCGTTTATGGTTATCAATTCAGTATTTTACTGTGTATTTTAGATCAATAAAAGTTTTTGGGCTACTTTATTGTACCAATCCTCTTTTTATTGCACTCTTTATGCACTTTAAACAACTTTTTTTTACCTATTCCTGGCATTTTAACCTTTCCTGGTTACTTTTACTTCCACTGGCAATTTTAAAGTTCCAGTACTCCAAGAAATCCTAGGTGGGGATCATACCACCGGCGCCTATCCATAGAGCAGTACCTCTGCTCTATCTTTGTGAGTATTATTTTATTTTCTCTACTACTCTCTTAACCTATCACAATTGAGAGCACTATTGTTGCTTTTTATTCTTCTATATTGGAGCCTTGGATCACCAGACGGTGCTGACGGACGTATCGCCGCTACATATCCTATAAGCGGGGATTATACCGCTGTACGCTATCCACACCAGAGCTGGCCATAGCTCCCTCAAATGTGAGTTTTTTACCTCTTCTTATCTGCACATTGAACCACATCAAAATTGAGAGCACTATTGTTGCTTTCTGTCTTTCTTTTCCGAGTTCTGGACTACCAGACGGTGTTGACGGAGACCCCCTCCCTACATATCCCATAAGCGGGGATTATACTGCTGTACGCAATCCACACCAGAGCTGGCCATAGCTCTCTTGAATGTGAGTTCTTTACTTTTTGTTACCTATCACACCCTGAACTTTCATACTATACCATTAGTCGCCTCTACCTCTCTTGTATTTACATATACGGAATGGTCTACACTAGACGCATCCACAGAGGAACTCTATCAAGTATCCTAGACCATCTATTGGCACCCTAGCAATACTTTACTGGACTATCTACCCTTATTTGGCGCAGCCCTTCCATATCTTTTTGTTTTTATTACCACAGTTATGCATTTTAATATAAATTGTCGGTTCTGCTGCACGGAGGGATAATCCACTTAATGGTACATTCCTGTGGGAGGATCCCTCTCGTGCAGCAGTGCCTGAGGGGAGAAATGCCCTATATTGTAAGTCCCCCATGTAGTCCCCTCTAGGAATGCCCCTGGGAGGGGACTCAGGAAACCCCTTGCATGGGGACTTGTATAAATTGTGGAGCTGCAAATAAAGACCTCAGTTGACTCTCAGAACTGTGTTTCATCCGGTTACTGGGAGGTTTGGGATATTGCCTTGCTTTTTCCAGCGCTTGACTGTGAATTACTTCGTGAACCAGCGGAATTCGTGGATTTAATATTGGCGTTCCACTACAATTTTTATAACCAGCATAATTTGGGGACATACATATCCAAAATTCACTTGAATCGGTTAAGTGGTTAAGGAGATAGGTGGAAGTCATATTTTGACTGAGGAGGGACAAAACAGCCAGTTCCAACTGGTTTGGCAGTGTCTCTGGGACAACGCCCTGCTGGGGAACAATGGGACAGGGGGAGGGGAAGAGGCACACCTTCCCATGGATTCAAAGGGCAGAAAAAGTGTCCCAAAAGATTCAATATGTCCATAGACTGTTTTTAAAGGGCCATACACCCCAGGGCCATACACCCCAGGGCCATAGTCATGTGGCAGGAGGCTGGCAATCAGTCCTCTCCAATGCCCGGTGGCAAATGGCAGTTTGTCACAGTATGAAATATAGAGGCTTGGGGAGATAGAAAAGGGGGGGAGTAAGAGGGTTAGAACTGTAAAGGACAAGAGACATGACATGCGCATAGTCGTCCCTTAGGCATATACCTAATAAACCCACCATAAAACCACCCCCCAATGAAACACGGACACATATTTCTTGGCAAAATATCACAGCTTTTTATTAATGATAATTGTTTTAAACATAAAATTGTAAATAAGGGGTCAGAGTCAAACACACTTAAAGACATTGAAGCCCAACAATTTTCCAATGTAAACATTTACAGACCATGACCCCTACTTAAAACGGCAAACTTAAAACAGCATTTATAATACGACCCCCCCCCCCCCTTTTCCTTATGCCTGCCTCCTAGCTAAGCCAAAGCCTACTCCACTTAGCTGTTCCCTGGGCTTCAATCTATTGTATATTCAGAATATTTTCCTCCAATCATTCCATCATTGTCATACAGAGAGACATAAGGCTATATATGAAATGGGCCAAGCAGACCCATATATATCTGGGTATGGACAGACAGACCTAGGACATACACACAGATTGAGGGAATATCTCTGCACTCAGTTTAAATATATAATTATCAACTTGTTATTACTATATTCCCGCAGTTTATCCAATGTGTGAAGAAATCAGCCAGCTGGCACCGGGCAGGGAAGGGCACACCTTGGCAGCTATAGAGAATATGACACTAAGTGCACCTATGGAACGTATAAAGACCCTAAATCCATCCTAGTGTGGTTTGCAGCAATTAATTGAGAGAAGGAAGTTGGGGTTCCCGGATTGATGGGTGCTTGGCATGGCAGGAGTGGGAGCCGCCATGGAGAATATGTTCTGCAATTCTGACATTACTGTCATGTTAATCAAATAATTATACAGATGTAACAGGGCTGTTAGGTTTTACCTGACCCAGTTTACATATCACAATTAGTTTAAAACAATTCTACACTTCCAATATGTTCACAGCAGTCATATAAACACATTGCAGGAGGATTCACAAATTCCAGTGACGAGGAACGGAATATCATATTCCTGGTTGTTCTAAAAAGACCAGTCTTGGGATATACTTAGCATTTATTCCCACACATTTGCAAGTTAACAATTACCCCAGAACTCTGCCAGTGTTGATTGGTGATATGATCTCCTATGAGGTTTATTATTAAATGTATATGTTGCCTTGTGAAGTTAAGAACTGACTGTGTTTCACCAAACAAAGGCACCAGGATTAATAATTAAATGGATCAAAACATTCTAATCACAAGAGACAAGACCACAAAAGTCCAGTCCCCCTTAGATTGTCAGAGATAGAATACAGCTTGATTTCTGAATTATTGTCCAAAATTATATTTCAATTCTTGGTCATAAGATGCTATTGGGACATATTCAATAATTCAATATTGATTATGAATTGTGAATTTTAGGCCCAAACTGATGAGTTGGGAAAACCAGTTGCAGAATTATATTGACCTAGGATTTACAGTACCCTTGTCAGTTCTCAACAATCCCCTGTTTAGTGGATTAAGACTTTTGTTTCCCAGGGCTGGTATTCAGGGTCACAGACCACGTTATCACATGATAAACACAGAAACCAAACAAAACGCTATTTCCAGTAAAGAGGAAAAATAAACAGTTTCACAATCTCCCAGCAAGCACCAAGGGGACGAGCACACCTCCAATTGTCTGAATCCAGCTTAATGTAGGGAAGGTGATATTTTTAGTTTTTACCAGTTCTCTAATACAGGAGCCATGTTGGCCAGTTCGGTTTTCACTTTTCTCTTATTTCTCTGGCCTCCCCAAGTTTTGGGACAAAAGAAGAAGGTCACAGAGGACCCCATTGATAAGATACAAGTCCAAGCCAACTTTAACATGGACAAGGTAAGTATCAACAGGCAACTTAGTCAATTCAGGAGGAATTGGGACACATAGTGTGGACAGAGTGAGAGAGATATAAAGTATCAAACAAGACGTAACAAGGAGATTTATATTTTAATACCTTTAAGACCAGTGATATTTAATGTGCCATTATTGCAGTCTGGGCCTTAAAATCCTATCAGGACTATTCACTAAGGTGGGAATTCAAAGTAAATTTCAGTCAGCTATGCTTCCATTTTGTCTACTTTGGCCTTACATTTTAAATTCACTATAAATTCTCACTATAGTAAATAAATAACCCTGAATATATTCTGTTTATTTTGCACTGTCAGCTCACCGGTTTCTTATGATGAAATAGTTCTGTCATTGGTCATTAGGGGGTATAACGAATCAATGGTCTGGTCACCCCTTGGGTACCTAAAGGAATCATTTCACTTATATGTATTTTTTGGGATAATGTTTAGGAGCTGTAAGACGTGTTCAGTTTTTCTGGTTGTTTTGAGTCTGTGAGCCACAGATTAAGCCTTTACCCTGTTTTGTGATCACAATACCTAAAAAAGTTACTTTGGTGTAATTCAGATTTAGCGATAATGTGTAGATAAATGTGAGAGAGTGGTAGAGCAAAGAGGGGGTTAATTTAGAATTAAGAGTTCATAAAACCTCTAAAACATTAATTTAGTACATTTTGTTCAGAAAATAGTTGACATGTAACTAATGATTTTACAGCCAGATTGGAAACAGAGAAAGTTTAGTTCTATTAATGTAGTTATTGTCGAACCTCTTGACACCTCGGGGTTGCAGGTAATATTCACAGCAGAGTCAACGCAGCCTTTTTCCTTCCAAGGTTAATAAATGAGTAACATTGAGGTAAATAGCTCAAGCAGCATAGTAATGGAATTAACATTGTAATGCCGGACTTGTGTTATGTGACTTGGCCTGAATTATACAATGCAGGCAGATAAGGGGGGTGGCAGAGTGATTTCCAACATCTGTATTGAGTTGGGTATTAGGGGTCATTGAATATTTTGTATTGAGCAGGTGTAGGTAAAAGGTAGATCCTCAATGGCTGTAGAACTCTCACAATTCCTTACCAGGAGGGCATCTACTATTTGCCCACCACTATAAGGTACTACATGTTTGTAGTACCTGAGTGTTTGAATATGACTTTTTTTGTATGGCGTAGGTGTATGTAAACGCAGGGGTGTATTTGTGTGTAGTATTGGTGTTTGAATCCTGAAGTGTATTTGTGTGTAGTATTGGTGTTTGAATCCTGAAGTGTATTTGTGTGTAGTATATGTGTATTTGGATGTAGATTTGTTTTCATACGGAGTATGTGTGCGTGATTACAAGTGTGTATTTCTGATGTAGTGCTGGCATATGAATGCAGGGTATATTCACATACAATTACACAGATTTGCACACACACAAACACAGCTACCCTTAAAGAGTTATACACAGACAGACACATATACAGACCTACATACACTGACACATTCACACACAGTTACAGAAAAGACATATTTGTAGCCAGCCTCTTGTTTCATTACTTTTTGGGTGCAGGAGGGTGGCTTCCCTGGGGTCCAGGAAGAGCGGGCTGCAGCAGGTGACAGTAGGTTGGATCTGGCTGCGGCTGATGGGAGAGAACTGCCACTGGTCCAAGCTCCATCTCACTCTTCTGTCTCCGCTACTCCTCTCTGTCTCTCTACTATCCCATGCGCACTCTCTGTGCGCTTGGAATTAATGAAGTATAATCACTTTCCCCTGTCACAGAGGACGCTTGGTGGCGATGGCAAAATGGCAGGGGCAAGATACAGCGCACAGGACATGTTCCAGAACTCGTTTTTGCCAGTACAGTATCCAACTCATGCTGGTATATTAGACAGTCAGGCTGAGTAGATAACCTTTTCTCTGTCTGGGATTGTCGCTTTATAAGTAAAAGAACAATAAATCTAATTTTGTAAACGTGTCTCAAAAATATTTCCTTTGCCCCTGGTGTGCCCAATGATTGCTTGTAAAATGAAAAATGTGACGTGCGCAGAAAAATGTCTTAGTCCATGTACTGTTACTTTACAGGGAACACATAGCAATGGGGGAGGTTTATAAAAGGGTCACCTAAACCTTTGCATTTCATTTTCTGCAAAGTTTTGGTTTGATTTGTCAGACACACTCAGCCTATCAATGTGTTCCCACTGACAAAAATAGTACAGACCTTTTTTTTCGATGAGCACCCATTCATAGACTGAAGGTAAGATGGTGCCCAGTCCCCGTAACAGCTTAGCGACATGCATCATTTCACAATTATTTTTTTAAACCAGTAAGCAAACACTTTTAACTAAATATATAAACCAATATAAAGTAAGACAAACTTTGAAAAGTCTGTAGTAAACATTTACAAACTTATTATGAACTTGGTCAGATTGCGTTGTTGGACACGCCTCTCAGCTAGGGGAGTTTCTTCACCCCTCCTCTCCTTCTGGCCCACCCAGCTCAGTTTCAGACCAGTCCACTAATGACAGAAACATGGCATCCTTGTACAGTAGCAGGAGATGATCTGCATGATCACACTGAGCAGATGTTGCAAGGTGACGAGCTCTTCCAACTGCACACGTGTAAATGTGTCAGACACACCCAGTACACTTTTCCATTATTCCTAGGGATAGGATACTGATTGGTTAGATCAGTGTACCCCCTGGAGCAGGTGTGGAAAGCATAAGAAAGAAGCAGAAAAATATTTTAAGTAATGCTTAAGCTTTGAAATGAGACAGTTGTCTCAAGGTGATGCATGTTCCTTTTAAATAAGCATATGTTGTTGTGGGTGTGAGAGAATTCCATTAATTCTATTTTTCGGAGCACTCAAAAACATATTTGTTAAATGTAGGGAGAATAATAAAGGTACGAGATAGTATTTTTCACTTCGATACTGTGTGCCCTGACCCGATGTTTTCTGCTGACAGTTTGCAGGACAGTGGTATCTGCTGTCTGTCGCATCAGAATGTAATTATCTGAAAGCAAACAACCATCGCGTGGAGGCAACAACGATCAAGGCTGCGCGATCCACAAAACCAAGGGAGACGGAGAACCTGCTTGTTCATACGCTGCGGAAAATGTAAGGAGACTTTCAATCTCTCATGCCGTTTGAGATAGGAGTATTAATGAATCCAATACATAATATCTATTTTTATTCCCAGGGCTAAACCACTGAGATTTTACTGCTATATATTGAATGTCATGTTTATTTTTATAGGGACGGGATCTGCTGGGAGATTAAACAACAATATCGCAAGAACAAAATCAACGGCAGGTTCATATTAAAAGGTTGGTCCACACCCCACGCCCCACAGCTTTCTGTAGCTTGTATTGCCAGACGTTGAAGACTGATGAAATCCTTTCTGTTTGCCCAGTTCGTGGATCTATTCGGCAGCTGGACATGGTGGTGGCAGAGACAGATTACGAGAATTACGCCATTCTGTATTACCAGCGGCAAAAGAAAATTACCATTAAGCTATACGGTCAGTTTGTGTCCACTCCAACCCCTCCATAGAAAGACAATCAGTGCACTGCTGTATGCAAAGTGGTGATGGTTACCTATAGAACTGCAGATGTTTAAGAACAACACGTCCCATAATGCTTTTCCTTAAAGGGACACTATAGCCACCAAAACAACTTTAGCTTAATGAAGCAATTTTTGTGTATAGATCATGTCCCTGAAGCCTCACTGTTCAATTCTCTGCCATTTAGGAGTTAAATCACTTTGTTTCTGTTTATTCAACCCTAGCCACACCTCCCCTGGCTATGATTGACACAGCATGCAAAAAACAGCTTTATAAGTTTTTATCTCCTGCTCTGTAAGTTGAACTTTAATTACACACTTCTGTAGGGTCTAGCAAGCTAATAACAGAGCAAGAGATAAGAAATTAAAATTTAAACATAATTTTCAATAAAGGAAGTATAAACATTAGATGACTCTTTTGAGGAAGTGTTTAGGCTGTGTAAGTCACATGCAGGATGGTGTGGCTAGGGTTGCAAAATCATAGTGATTTAACTTCTAAATGGCAGAGAATTGAGCAGCGATATTGTAGGAGTGTGAACTATAATCAAAAACTGCTTCATTCAACTAAAATTTTTTGGTGCCTATAGTGTCCCTTTAAGGTTGGCAGAGTAGACTAGTCCATCTGAAAACCAGGAGATTTCCTAGTGGACCCTTCTAGCCTGAGGCCGGCTGCGTGTCAGAGAGTGTGCGGTTCTGGTGGTCTGAAGGTTCTGGTGGTCTAAAGGTTCTGGTGGTCTGACGGTTATGGTGGTGTGATAGTTCTAGTGGTGTGACGGTTCTGGTGGTCTGACGGTTCTGGTGGTGTGACGGTTCTCGTGGTCTAACAGTTCTTGTGGTCTGATGCTTCTGGTGTTGTGATAGTTCTGGTTGTGTGATGGTTATGGTTGTCTGACGGTTCTAGTGGTCTGACGGTTCTAGTGGTGTTACAGTTCTGGTAGGATGGGTCATATCAGTAGAGAGGTTTACCAATTACTGTACTATAAGTTGCTCTTAGAGTACACTAAACAGAAATGCAAAGTGGCTATGGCGCTTAAACTAGACTATATATTTAATAAATACTCGGCTGCAAGCTGGGCTCACTTAAACCCAGATGACATGACGTAGTGAATGTAGTATCTGTCAGCTTGGCTGGGGTTTTTAATGCTCTGGGCTTGGATTTGAATCCATTATCGATATCCTACATATAATTTCTATTCTCTGCTCATTATGCAGGACGTGGTAAGACTGCGAAAGACGATATTTACCGCAAGTTCGATGGACATGCCTCTAACCAGGGCATAGACCTGCTTTATATCTACCCATTTCCAACATATGGTGAGCACATATATATAATTATATTATATTATAATGCCAGGTCACCTTGTGGTCTATTCCCTGAATTTAGGGAAATGGACCCAACACATAGATGTGACGGGGAGAGAATGGTAGTGATGAAGGGGGTTTCTGGTGAAGGAGGGGTTTCTAGTGGCAAGGGGAAGGGGTTTCTGGTGAAGGAGGGGTTTGTAGTGACAAGGGGGAGGGGTTTCTGGTGAAGGAGGGGGAGAATTTTTGATGAAAGAGGGTTTTTCTGGTGAAAGAGGGGGAAGGGTTTGTAGTGTCAGAGGGGGGTGATTTCTCGTTAAGGGCATAAGAGTTTCTGGTGAAGGAGGGGGAGGGGTTTCCTGTTAAGGAGAGGGTGGGGTTTCTGGTGAAGGGGTGGGGTTTCTAGTGACGAGGGGAAGAGTTTCTGGTAAAGGAGGGGGGAGGGGTTTCTGTGAAGGAGGGGTTTCTGGTAAAGGAGGGGGGAGGGGTTTCTGTGAAGGAGGGGTTTCTGGTAAAGGAGGGGAAGGGATTTCCTGTGAAGATGGTTGTAGCGGAGATGCAATATTACCCAGGTTATCTCCGCTTATAATCCAAGTGAGACTCAGGAACAAGTAAATAGTAAATCCAAAGGCAGGGTTTCCAGCTGGTAAAATACAGCAATATCCCAACAGCAATCCCAATAACTGGACGACACACAGTTTCAGGAGCATAACTGACAAGCTTTTAATCCACAGTCTCCTTATAAAGCATGCTCCCATGCAAGGGAGGAACTTACAGTAATTATTACAGTAGCCAATCCTGTCCTGGTAACCTCCCACACATCTCCTCCCCTCAGCCAGCATCATAATCCCCTTATCCAGCACACCAATTCCCCCCATTTCTGGATGTACCCCTAAACGTAGGGGTACCTCTTTAAATCCTACATCCCCTGGTAGCCCTGATCTGGGTGAACAACATATCCAAAAATCACCCAGATCAGACCAGGGGTTCGGGAAAAGTATGGAGGGAATAAAATGACCGACCGCACGAACTGAGATAGCCGAATTCGGTTCCATGTGAATGGGCCTTGCGGTCGGTCCTGGCATAAGGGAATAAAATACACGAAAGCCTCTAGCTATAGAGGCTAGGGAGGGTTCGCCTGAATCCCCTCGTTCGGTATTTTCTATCTACCGAACGAGGGGCCGTTCGGTAGTTTGGAACCGAACGGACCAGGGCTGTGGAGGTCTCAGCGGTGTTCGCCTACTCGAGTGTCCGATTTTAGTTCCAGACACTCGACGGCAAAACACCGCTGTTCGGGAGTTTTAAAATGGCCGCCGCCACGTGTTCGTTTGTCGAATGGCGGCCACCCCCGAGAACAAAGGACGGCTACTTACTGTTCAATTACCCGTTCGCAACAATGTTGCAACGGGTAATTGAGGACACACTTCACACAGGGAGGTCTGGTTGTTCGGTAGTTTCATTCGAATAAACTAAGGGAATGAAACTACCGAACAATCAGAGGAATACAATTCTTTTTAAATACACAGAAAATACAGCAGATACACGGATGCAGCTTTATACAGTATTTTTGTAGGGTCCCCTGGTGCCATCCGCTACACTGCTCCCCCTTGCCCACAAGCCGGCATACACAGTCTGATCCAACACGGATCGGCTTGGGGATGTCCGGGGAGGCTCACGGATCATTTCTCTAGGTCAGTTTGTCGAGACAACCCATCAGCATTTCCATTCTGTTTACCCGGGCGGTACTGGATATTAAAGTCAAAGGGCTGCAGCGCCAGACTCCAGCGCAGCAGCCGGGCATTGTCCCCAGCCACCCGGTTTAGCCATACTAACGGGTTGTGATCCGTGAGCAGGGAAAAAGCTTGTCCGTACAAATATGGCTGTAATTTCTTCAGGGCCCACACCACAGCCAGGCATTCTTTCTCGATGGCGGCGTAGCTTACTTCTCGAGGTAACAGTTTCCGGCTGATGTAAGCCACGGGATGTTCTCCGCCATCGGCCCCGACTTGGCTTAATACTGCTCCCAATCCAAACATAGAAGCGTCTGTGTGGACAAGAAAACGCTTAGTTGGATTGGGAGCGGCCAAGACAGGGGCATTTGTCAATGCATCTTTTAACAACTGAAATGCCTGTTCACACTCCGGGGTCCAGGTTACTTGGCGGGGTAGGTTTTTACGGGTCAAGTCGGTGAGAGGTTTGGCCAGGGCACTGTAATTCGGGACAAATTTCCGGTAGTATCCGGCCGTTCCTAAGAACGCTAACACCTGGGTCTTAGTCCTAGGGGTGGGCCATTGAGCTACAGCCTCTACTTTGGCTGGTTCCGGCTTTTGCTTGCCGCATCCTACCCGATGACCTAGGTACTGTACTTCAGCCATTCCTATGCTGCATTTGGCTGGTTTCAGCGTTAAACCAGCGGCCCTAATCCTGTCTAGGACCGCTCCTATATGGGTCAGGTGTTCCTGCCAGGTATTGCTGAAAATGGCAATATCGTCGAGGTATGCGCAGGTATAATCCTGGAACCCATCTAGGAGGCGGTCCACCATCCGCTGAAAAGTAGCCGGGGCGTTTTTCATCCCAAACGGCATGACCTTAAATTGGTACAAGCCGAATGGGGTGACAAAGGCCGACTTAGGGATGGCGTCTTGTGCCAAGGGTATTTGCCAATACCCTTTACACAAGTCAATTGTGGTGAGATAGTGCCCCCTCGCCATCCGATCCAGGAGTTCGTCTATCCTGGGCATAGGATAGGCGTCCGATACCGTCTTCTCATTTAATCTCCGGTAGTCTACACAAAACCGGGTCGTGCCGTCCCGCTTTGGTACTAGTACTACCGGAGATGCCCAGGGGCTGTCAGAGGGCTCAATCACCCCCAGCTGGAGCATCTCATCTATCTCCTTGCGCATGTTCGCCCGTACCGCTTCTGGGATGCGGTACGGGGTCTGACGCATGGGAAGTTGCCCTGGGGTGTCTACTCTGTGAGTGGCCAGAGGAGTGTAACCAGGTACATTAGAGAAGATATCCTGCTTCTCCCTCAACAGCTGTTGTACCTCGCTCCGCTCCTGTGGGCTCAACCGATCCCCCAGGGTGACCTCCCCTAAGTCCCCGGATAACTGACCCTCTCCCAGCAGATCCGGGAGAGGTAAACTGTCAAACTCCTCGGAGTTAGGCGCACATATAGCGGTCACTTCCTCCGAGCGCTCCTGGTAGGGCTTCATCATGTTCACATGGAGCATGCGTCGCCCCCCAGTACCAACGCACGAGCCGATTATATAAGTGGTGTCACACCGTTGTTCCACCACCTTATAAGGGCCCTGCCAGGCGGCCTGCAGCTTATCGTGTCGGACAGGTTTTAAGATTAACACCTTCTGCCCGACCTGAAAGCTACGGTCCCTGGCGCCCCGATCATACCATGTGCGCTGGCGTGTCTGAGCCGCCTGCAAATTCTCGCGTACCGTCTGAGTTAAGGCCTCAAGGCGGTCTCGGAATGCCAACACATAGGGTATGATGGGGGTACCGTCAGTGCTCCGTTCTCCCTCCCAATGCTCTCTGATCAAATCTAAAGGCCCTCGTACCCTGCGGCCAAACAATAGTTCAAATGGGGAGAACCCAGTGGATTCCTGCGGCACCTCCCGGTAAGCAAAGAGGAGGTGTGGCAGGAACTTCTCCCAGTCCTTGTGGGTCTCTGCGAA